GTATCACTATAGATAGGTTACCATAGCAACTCTACACACTGATAGAACTACATATCTATGGTTAGTATCACTATAGATAGGTTACCATAGCAACTCTACACACTGATAGAACTACATATCTATGGTTAGTATCACTATAGATAGGTTACCATAGCAACTCTACACACTGATAGAACTACATATCTATGGTTAGTATCACTATAGATAGGTTACCATAGCAACTCTACACACTGATAGAACTACATATCTATGGTTAGTATCACTATAGATAGGTTACCATAGCAACTCTACACACTGATAGAACTACATAACTGTGGTTAGTATCACTATAGATAGGTTACCATAGCAACTCTACACACTGATAGAACTACATAACTATGGTTATTATCACTATAGATAGGTTACCATAGCAACTCTACACACTGATAGAACTACATATCTATGGTTAGTATCACTATAGATAGGTTACCATAGCAACTCTACACACTGATAGAACTACATATCTATGGTTAGTATCACTATAGATAGGTTACCATAGCAACTCTACACACTGATAGAACTACATAACTGTGGTTAGTATCACTATAGATAGGTTACCATAGCAACTCTACACACTGATAGAACTACATAACTATGGTTATTATCACTATAGATAGGTTACCATAGCAACTCTACACACTGATAGAACTACATATCTATGGTTATTATCACTATAGATAGGTTACCATAGCAACTCTACACACTGATAGAACTACATATCTATGGTTAGTATCACTATAGATAGGTTACCATAGCAACTCTACACACTGATAGAACTACATAACTGTGGTTAGTATCACTATACATAGGTTACCACAGCAACTCTACATTGAAACAAAGAAGTTGTGGTGTATTGAAAAAACCAACACACACATCAGAAGTAAGACAATGCCATTAGATTATCACTAGAATGAAAGTTAAAAAATACAACATCAGTGTATGTACATCACCAAAACCTATGTCAATAACATACAGGTTGCAGAACAGCACTGTTTGTATACATCAGCAATTCATGTAAGTAGAGTGAGTAACAAAATATATAACTAATCCAAAATAATATTTTTAAAAACACAAGTACATATGTATATCATGAAATACTTAAAAAGTCTTAAATTCTTAAACAATTCTAAATATTTAAATTAAAGTATGGCACTCATTTTTTGGTAACAAATTAGTATTTACATGAATATACGTACCTGTATTTAATTATCGTTGCTTAGACAGGTGTATCTGCACTCCCCAGTGTGGGATTAATCATATCTGTTACTCCATTGGGGTTGAGATAGGGGCATCCCAACCAGAGGAGCAAGATTATTAAGTTCACTGACATTTTTGCTCCTTAAGAATCTGTCCCCTAAGGTGATGATCCCATTTCCTCAACCTCAAGGGGGTGAATTACTATTTTTTTTCTAACCCCTTTATGGCCTCGTATTGTTATCTCAATGCTTAGCATTTCTGGTGTGAAGTAATTTTTATGAACACTAATAAAAACACAAACGTGGGATGTGAATATATAGTTCACAATTATAGTTCATCTTTAGCAATGAGGGATCTCTTCAAAATTTCATCAAAATTGTTTAAAGATTTTTGAGAAGAATTTGAAAATTAAGTTGTTAACAAATGCATGTGTGATGCCAGAAAAAGGCTATCACAAAAGACTTTATCTCAGATGACCTATTAATACAGGAATCTAATACTCTCTGAGATATAAAATCAAGTTGCCAAACTTGGTCATATTGCCAGTTTTATAATCTCCCCCAGTGTCACCCCAAAAAATATTATAAATTATGTTTATCACCATGTCAATATATGTATACAGGTCTAAAACAACATCTTACACATTGGACTACAAGTATTTCATTTGTGATTTAGGGATAGCTTGTAAAATTTCCTGATATAGAAAAATCAGTGCAACTGGATTTAAATTTTAGCAGAGCTCAATAGATACCCCAACTCCAATATATCAAGTTGCTTTTTCCCTCAAAGGTCAAAGGAGGTCAAAATGCCCAAAAGATTGTATGAAACAGATATTTCCATGATACATGCCAAATTTGATGATGTCCAGACATAGTCAGGAAACAGCAGGCCTGATTGAATGCTTTGAAAATAATATCCAGGATGACTTGTATGACCTTGAAAGTGGGTTAAGGTAATTCATTTTAACAAATTTAAAAGCATGCTAATATCCAGTTATCATAACCTCATACCTCCTTTAAGTTTTAATATGATTGAAGCAACAGGATTTGCCTAATGAAAATTGAAATTGTTAATCACTTTAATAAAATTCACCACACAACCCCTGTAGCAGATAGAGAAAGAAAATCTCTGCTGTATCTCTCTGTTTATTGTAAGAGGTGACTAGGTAATTCTGGGGTGGCCCTTGCAGGTGGGGGGAGGGGGTGTTGGTAGTTTCTTCAATGTCTTCAGTAAGAGGACATCTGAGAACCAAAGAATATGGACTGATGTATTATGTGTGATTGAGGGAGGCCACTGAAAGTGGGCTCCTTGCAGAAATGGGGGTTTCCTCCTGTGTCTACCAAAAGGACATTGAAGAGAACAATACAGATCTGCTTCCCCCATGGTAATGCTTTGGAACCTGGTCTTTATTTTTACCATTGTTGGTGTCCTATTTGATAGCTATCCTTATATGACCCTAGCTGCTGTGAGGACATTAAACCTATAAAACAGAACAGTATTAACTGGTGTTCAGTCTAGAATTGAGCCAGACCATCTTTAGTATATCCCCTGTTAATGTAATTGATTGCAATATGTTTCCCCTTCCCAACACAACAATCATATGGCAATGACATGACAATGTCATTTTCTACACAGCATGGCTTGAAAGTTATGAAAATTGCATTATCAAGACCATGTTGGGGGATGCGGCACCAGGACTCTAAGACAGGGAGACACAGGAGAAGAGGATGAAGAGAAAAGAGAGGGCAGAAGAAATCTTAAATTAGTACCAATTAGAAAACAAACAAAAAATAGTCCAGTGTACACATTAAATGTAATCATGACCTCTCTACAGTGACCTTCCCCATTCTGACCTTGATTAAATACATTTCAAGTGTAATAAGCAAAGTATTTTTCCTATGACCTATCTTTTAATTTCCTTTTTTTTGTCACCTGGTCAAATTTTGGTGAATATATTGAAGAGTACGACCATCAGTATGATATCAATCTTTGTCCAGCAATTCTCTTTAAATTCTTCATTTCATTTGCAAGATAACATATGTCATATTCTCAATAGTAGACATTCTGGAACAATCAGACTGTAACCAAACCTGACTTCAAGAACAATACCTTAAAAATAAAAACTACAATTTCGAGCTTTTACAATAAAGTATATATTTACCTGAAAATCACTTCATGGTTGATTTCATATACCTAATTAATAATTTAACAATTGACATTCATCACGTATATGAAATCATTTGACTGATTTAATTTATTCATAAATTGCAAAATCTAAATGTTCAGTTTCTTACATTGATTACCTTTCTTACACTAAATACTGGTAAGAATTGTTTAAACAACAAACACTGTTAGGAATATCATCATACTGAGTGACAGTTATATGTGTGGAGGAGATATGATTGCATTTAAAACAGATTAAATCTACAACATATCGCTTCAACATCAATATCAAAAATAAAAATATCACATAAAAATATCACAGTAATAGCTTTGATTTTCAGTTTCATTTTTTCTGAAGATGTCAAAAATACAGCGTAGCTAGGACAAATTAGAAGTCATTAGTGGAATGTGATAGTTTTAGTATGAAACATCAGTGTTCAATATTGCAGTACAAATACTGATATCACTCCTTGATAAATATGCCTTGAACCACATCCTCTTGGTATGTCAATTACATTGTTACGGGGGCTGATTGATAAGTTAGGAGCCTTGTATTGAAGTGGTTAAGCATAGGTGTTTCTTTTTCAGCTCTACAATGACTATTTCGTATACTATAATGAAAAAGTGGGTGGTGGAATTTAAACATGGCAGGCAGAGTCTTGGGGATGATGCCTGTTCTGGAAGGCCTGTCACTGTTGCAACCCCAGAAATGGTCAACAAAGTCCATGTTAGTTTTATGACTGACAGGCGAGTTACAGAAAGATACATAACCAGTACAGTTTGGATTTCACAGGAAAGAGTACATTCCATTCTTATGAAAGATCTTGCAATGAGAAAGCTCTCAGCCTGTTGGGTACCAAGACTTCTGACAGTTGATCAGAAGCACACCTGGCAGACTTTATCATGTGCTAATCTGAACCTGTTAGAGGCAGATTCTGCTAACTTTCTGCAGAGGTTTGTGACTGTGGATGAGACACAAGTCTATCATTTCTCTCCAGAGTTAAAACAACACTCTAAACAATGGAAGCACCATGGTTCACCACCAGCAAAGAAGGCAAAGACTGTTCCATCAGCTGGAAATGCCTCAGTTTTTGGAATGCTGACGGTATTCTGATGGCACATAAACAATACTTCTTAAACAGGTAAGAAAAAATATTCAAGTGCCATGGTGAAGGTATGTTGTTCCACCAGGACAATGCTCCTGTTCACAAGTCTGTCATTGCCATAGCTGCCATTAATGACTTTGGCTTCAAATTGATTAAGCATCCACCTTATTTGCCTGATCTTACTCCATCAGTCTTTCATCTATTTCCAAAATTGAACAAAGCCATTTCCAGTACCCACTTTCGGTCAGATTATGACGTCATACATGTAGTGGAGGACTTACTGAATGGTCAAGAAAAGAACTTCTTTAAAAGTGGCATTGAGGCCCTTCAACATGGTTGGCAAAAGTATATAGATACTGATGGGGATTATGTTGAAAAATGATACAATGTGTCCACCAAATCTTTAAATATGAGGCTCAAAACTTACCAATCAGCCGTCATATCAAAGAAAAATCAAAGCAATTTAAATCCAGAAATATTGTTTCATTTGGTAATGTATTATGGCTTGAAGAAAAGAGTAGAATCCTGGGTGTTCCTTCTGGTTATTGTTGTTCGAAATAGAATGGCTGTTCTAGAACATTTATCTGTTCAAAAAGTCTGTTTTAGGTCCACGAGGAATGGCTCTGCGGGCTGCTGTGTTCCCACCAAATGCTTTGTGCTCTACAATAATATAACAAAGAAATATTCAAGACAAAATCTATTAATCTTGATTTCAATTTTATTTTTTGGAGGTGGGATGAGGTCAGATATAATCACTTGGGACAGGGTGTGTTCAAATGATTTATTGTTGGTGGTGTGCATTCAGATATACTTACTGGTGGTGTGGCGTGGTCAGATATACTTACTGTTGGTGGCATGTATTCTGATATACTTACTGGTGGTGGAGTATTGTCAGATATACTTACTGGTGGTGGGGTATTGACAGATATACTTACTGGTGGTGGGGTATAGTCAGATATACTTACTGGTGGTGGGGTATTGACAGATATACTTACTGGTGGTGGGGTATAGTCAGATATACTTATAGGTGGTGGAGTATTGTCAGATATACTTACTGGTGGTGGGGTATTGACAGATATACTTACTGGTGGTGGGGTATAGTCAGATTTTCTTACTGGTGGTGGGGTATTGACAGATATACTTACTGGTGGTGGGGCGTGGTCAGATATACTTACTGGTGGTGGGGCGTGGTCAGATATACTTACTGGTGGTGGGGTGTAGTCAGATATACTTACTGGTGGTGGGGTATAGTCAGATATACTTACTGGTGGTGGGGTATAGTCAGATATACTTACTGGTGGTGGGGTATAGTCAGATATACTTACTGGTGGTGGGGTATTGTCAGATATACTTACTGGTGGTGGGGTATAGTCAGATATACTTACTGGTGGTGGGGTATAGTCAGATATACTTACTGGTGGTGGGGTATAGTCAGATATACTTACTGGTGGTGGGGTATAGTCAGATATACTTACTGGTGGTGGGGTATAGTCAGATATACTTACTGGTGGTGGGGTGTGGTCAGATATACTTACTGGTGGTAGGGTATAGTCAGATATACTTACTGGTGGTGGGGTGTGGTCAGATATACTTACTGGTGGTCGGTTGTGGTCAGATATACTTACTGGGGTGTGGTCAGATATACTTACTGGTGGTGGGGTGTGGTCAGATATACTTACTGGGGTATTGTCAGATATACTTACTGGTGGTGGGGTATGTCAGATATCTTACTGGTGGTGGGGTATAATCCACTTTTTGTGAAAGAGAGGGTGAATCTCCATCTGGGTCAGATATAAACACACTGTTATAAAATCATGGTGGTAGGTAATTCATTGCAATATCACTATTTCATAATCATATAATTTGATTGTATTTTCTATCTATTGATTATCCCTCGTGAACACTGACAATATTTAGTTGAAATCATGAACTTTTCTACCAAAGGGAGGTTTGGCATGTATGGAACAAACTCTGCAATTTGCATTAATAGTAATTAATGGGATTAGGTTGTGGCATTTACAGAACTGAGTGTCTTACTATAAACATTGTCCAGTCTGGGGTGTGGTCTTACTATAAACATTGTGGTCCAATCTTAAACTGGTGGTGGGGTGTGGTACTATATACATTGTACTGGGGTATTGTCAGATATACTTACTGGTGGTGGGATATGATCAGTTAGCACAGTACAATCCACTTTTTGTAGAAAGAGAGCCACATACATCTGAATCTCCATCTGGGCATACCATCTGATATCATAAACACAGGCTGTTATAAAATCATGCTGATAGGTAATTCATTGCAAATCACTATTTCATAATCATATAATTTGATTGTATTTTCTATCTATTGATTATCCCTCGTGAACACTGACAATATTTAGTTGAAATCATGAACTTTTCTACCAAAGGGAGGTTTGGCATGTATGGAACAAACTCTGCAATTTGCATTAATAGTAATTAATGGGATTAGACAAAAGAGCATTTACAGAACTGAGTATCTTACTATAAACATTGTCCAGTCTCCAATCTTAGACAACAAAACTGATTATCTTACTATAAACATTGTCCAGTCTCCAATCTTAGACAACAAAACTGATTATCTTACTATAAACATTGTCCAGTCTCCAATCTTAGACAACAAAACTGATTATCTTACTATAAACATTGTCCAGTCTCCAATCTTAGACAACAAAACTGATTATCTTACTATAAACATTGTCCAGTCTCCAATCTTAGACAACAAAACTGATTATCTTACTATAAACATTGTCCAGTCTCCAATCTTAGACAACAAAACTGATTATCTTACTATAAACATTGTCCAGTCTCCAATCTTAGACAACAAAACTGATTATCTTACTATAAACATTGTCCAGTCTCCAATCTTAGACAACAAAACTGATTATCTTACTATAAACATTGTCCAGTCTCCAATCTTAGAAAACAAAACTGATTATCTTACTATAAACATTGTCCAGTCTCCAATCTTAGACAACAAAACTGAGTATCTTACTATAAACATTGTCCAGTTTCCAATCTTAGACAACAAAACTGATTATCTTACTATAAACATTGTCCAGTCTCCAATCTTAGACAAACTTTGGTATAAAGCTAAATGGGTATAATTCTCAAGGTGTCATACCAGATATATCCTTGACACTGTCAAGCAAGGTGAAATTAAGGGCAATAACTCTGTAAGTGATGAAGTAAATCAGATATATGGTATTTTGTACAATGTTATGTAACTTGAATAAAGGACATAGCTTTGTAGGTGATCTAGAGTATCAGATACATTCATATGGTACTCTGCACAAAGTTACAGAATGTGAAATAAAGGGCCATAACTCTGTAGGTGATAATAGACTTATGATCTACCTCATAGTACATCAGATATGCCATACTATGTACAAAGGTTTTTACTCAGTATATCATAGGACACAAGACAACCATCCCAAATGTTGTAGATGAATTTATTTTGATAATTTCCTGTCACTAACCTTCCTGGACACTGGTATCTTCCACCACCAAATGCCACAAATCCATCTAAAAACAGATTTTTTTCCAGGTCAGCATCTTTCCATCTATCCTAAACAAAGACAAATGACAAGATAAAATTTTAATGAAACATCATTCATAAAACAGATAACATCAATAAAATCTGACATCATCAATCTTTTATTTAACAATTCCTTTGACAATTCAGTGAAATTCTTAAAGGAAATATCATATCAAAGTCTGCAATAAAAGCATAGAAGTTATTGCTGCACTTACTGGTCTGAATTCTTCACAATCAGAAAAATATTTTGGGTTGCGATGGGCCCAATATGGAGACAGCATCAACATGTCACCCGCAGGTATCTCCATTTCCTATAAGATCAATGAAAGTAAATGGTTAAAGCAAGGACAATTATAAATAAAAAAGTATTGCTGCCACCACTTCTTCATACAATAATTAGTTGATTCTACATTTGTATACAAGTCAACATTAATAGGAAACCCGATGTATGCTGTAACAGGTACTGTTACAGTCAAGCATGGGGAACTGCTACTATTCCTTTTATGGTTAAAAAGAATATGTTTTAATGTACATTACACAGTGTTATTTAAACAAAGTCACAATGATTGAAAAAAGTTAATTCAGGCCCAACCATGCTTTAATTATACATGAGGCCCATGGGCCATAACCGCCATCCGACAATCAAATCATTCATTCAAAAAATTATTGCCGTTTTAACAAAATTTGGTTGAATCAACTTGGCCAATTAGGAATACTAGTACTGGACAGCAAATTTAGCTTATTTCTCCAGCCCCAGTCTCCAGAGATTGCAACAGCTTTAATTTTTGTGGTTATTAGGGAACATTACCACCATTTTGAAAATTGAAATAATTATTATTGGTTATTGGTGTGGGTGAAAGTCTCTTTGTACTAATAAAACCAAGAGTAAACATTATATATCAGTTCACTTTACAATACTTCAATCCAAAATAGATTTTACCTTTTGCTTGGCTTTCCTTAACAAAATACATAGCGATATTGTCAATCAATTTTAATTACTTTGCACAAAACTCCCATTAACTCTTTTTGGGCAATTTATTTTATACTGTTTGAAGATGGTTTTTAGCAAATGATTACAAATGGACACCAATAGGAAGTTGTATTTTTGATCTTCAGAAAATTTTGCTTAATGCAAAAAGAGCGTGTTCTTTCTCAAAATTCATCACATTTTACCTCCTGTTATCAATGGATTGAAAGCTGTGACTTCTTGCTTTACATATTTGATATCTAACATGTTATTAGCAGCATGTTTATGTTTAATTCTCTTAAAAAATGAAGAAATGATATTGTAGCATTTTCCCAAAAAACACATTTTTTTCATTTTTGGCACAAAAAGGACGCTATATTTTTGTGTATGTACAAGTTTGTAAACTATTTGTAAACGTACAACTACAGAGGCTACAAATAGCATATACAAGCTGTTGTATTTTCTTCATAGGCCATTTTGCAACCTTACCTTCAATAAAGTTATGCTAAAATGTATGAAATCTTAAAAGATTAAATGGCAAAACTGAGAGTAAATATATCAGGCAAGTACAGTTACCTTTATTTTGAAAGCCTTAACAACACGTCTGGTAATAATACCAGCAGGTCGCAGTCGTATGGCCTCAAGGACACAAGACCGAAGGAATGGCATATCCCTGATTTGCTTTTCTGTGATTTTGATCTGACCTACCATTTTAAAAGAAAACATGAACATTATGTTTTATACTACATTCTGAAGTACAGTCAAACTTCATTAACTTTATATATAAACTATAAATAACTTTATATACAAGTTGTCAGGGTTGTGGAAAAGCTTTCAGTTAGCAGAGTAACTAAATATCAATTCTTTTTTTTTCAACTTTTGATTTATTACCTGGGTAAGTGTTACACCGACCTAAATACTAATTTAGAGAGTAATACTACCGACACGGAATTCATTCTGTATACTACACGTATGACTTTTCAATCAATATCAAGCATATATGAACAAAATTTTGTAAATTTTCTTCAAACAAAATAATTATCACCTTTTACATTATCATTATCATTCATAAAATATTAGAGTGACATCCAATCATTAAACGATAAGGAGTAAAGTAAAGGGAGAGAACTCTTGATGACATCATAATTTAAAAATCGAAAAATTTATATTTCAAATATAGCCTGCATGTAAAAATAAAAATAGTGCTCATGTATATTATAAAATCCTTAAAAACTGTTTCAAGTTTAATCTATTCTTCTTAACGAAAAATGATTTTCATTCAAAGAGGTGAAAACACAAATAAAACAAAGAATGCCTTTTTTAGTTATACATATATGGCAGTGATGAATGTCCTTATAATCTTACCATTCCGCTCAGTTCCTAAGGTAGATGATATTTCCTTTTTCAATTCTGACCAAACTTTCTGATCTGATAGGATAAAAACTAGGCACCAAAAAGTTATCTGCAAATTAATATAGACATTATCATTAAATATCATTAAAAATGCCTGTCCCATACAGAGATACAGCATTTATTATGTGTTAATGTATAACAACCAAATCCTGACTGTAATCAGATAATATGTACATAAAACTCTACTCTTATTGCACCTCAATATGCATTGCATGTATTTATTATATCAAGGACAAAAATAAAAAATTAATTATATACACAGTACATCGTTAACATCAGGTTGTCCTTGATATGATGTGTTAATAAATTGTAGTCCCCTAATCATAACCATCATGACAGTAAAACACCTTATCTAAACAGATGCATATACAGCCTTGTCCAATTTCTGCATTTGTAAAGAACATTAGGAGGAGCAAATGCACATAATGACGATTGATTTTTTTTTCTTTTTCTTTTTTGTGCTTGAATAAGTGCACTTATATATAGATGATACAATTACATGTATAAGAAAAATGTGCATGTTAGCTGAAAGTCTGAAGGAAAAAATAAACTGTGACCAGCTGTAGGCCTATCTGTGAGTAGGTGTATATTTCACCTCGTACAACTAGTGTAGGGAATGGACTGGATATCATAACTGATGATGAGGTAACAGATCAGCAGCCAGTACTTACAGGGACAGCGTTAGCCAGAGATGCCCACAAAAACAGCAAGGCATAATTAGGGGCATGTTTATCATCCACCAGGTTCAGGAGTGTCTGTAATATTGTCTGCAGAAATGAAATTAAAAAAGTGAAATCAGATTGAATCATTTTGCCCCAGAATCTAAAATCATATATCTCTGCATAGCTAAGGGTAGATTTTACAGAACAAAATGCAGGAAAAAATTGCCATTTTATGTCCTTTAGCAATGGGAAAATTAAAAAGATGTGTATTGAATTTTAACAAGAATTCAAATTATCCTTTGTTGTTCCAATGTTTTTTTTTAATTATTTGACATTTTAAGTCTAATCGTTTCAGCTAGCTTGTAGCTACACTGGCACAGAATCTGCATCTCAGATTTTGTGACTGACTCTATGTATAACAATAACAGGAAGGGAACATCAGTATAATGCTTTATTATATAGACTTGAATCCTGTCACTTGAGTGGCCTTAAAGTTATTTATCCTCTTTTCAAATACATGGTTTTTCCTCTCCCCAGGGAATCGACATCCCTCTTTTAAACAACAATGAGCTCCATTTATTTGTGATTCTTCATACCATTCACCTCTGTGGTCATATCTTGAAAAGCAATTTTTTAAGGAGAAAGTTAATAACATACAGATGAATGAATTACTGGAGCAGAGAAATATTATATATTCCAAGATGGAGCATCAGAATTGATCTGTATGAATTCTCACTATATAATATATGGCCTGAATAAAACTGATCTTCTGAACAGCTATGGATTTAAAACATGTTGATCATGGCCTGTACTGATTTCTCTTAATCTATGCAAGGTTTTTTTTTATGTTTTTAGGTTAAATATTAAGGTAAAAAGCAAGAAAGGTTTTCGTAGAGAGGGCTTTTATAGGAATTGCCTGTTACCCAATTCCTCTTGTATTCAAAATATTCTGATATGAACAGCAATGGAAAAATTAAATGAGAAAGGTCAATCAAATAGGATCCATATAGATATTTTCTTATCACATTATAAGACAAGAGATCCCTGAGCGATCTTGGCGCCCACCATTGTTTTCTCTTTGAAAGTTGGATCTTTTCCCTTCTTTTCTCACCTTGTCTTTGTTTTTGCTTTTAATTATAAGACATTTGAACATTCCTTTTTAGAAATTGTGATGATAATCTATACCTGCCAAATCCAAAATAGCTGCCTGGAAGCCATTTGTTTTTTCTTACCAATCCCAAAATCAAATGTGCAAAAAGAGAGACCAAAGGGAACATACATATGAAATTTTTTCTGAAGAAATAGGGATAACAATATTTACTAGCCAAAATCCAAGATGGTTGCCTGTCCGCCATTTTGTTTTTCTAATCAGTCTCAAACTCAAATAGGCACAGCTATGGACAAAGAGTAATGTACACATGAAATTTAAGAAAGATATATACAGTACTTTTTAAGAAATAGTTATAACAAACTTTCAAAGTCAAATCCAAGATGGCCGCTTGTTGGTTATTTGGTTTTTTCTGACCAGTACCAGAATCAAACTGGCACAACTAGGGATCAAGGGAAACATACACATGAAATTTAAGAAAGATATATACAGTACTTTTTAAGAAATAGTGATAACAAACTTTCGAAGTCAAATCCAAGATGGTCTTTTTTGGGTTATTTGGTTTTTTCTGACCAGTACCAAAATCAAATGGATACAACTAGGGACTAAAAGGGACCTACATATGAAATTTAAGAAAGATCCATCAAGTACCTCTCAAGAAATAGCGGCGATAACAATCTTTCATTATCAAAATCCAAGTTGGCCATCTGTTGGCCATTTTTTTTCTGATCAGTCCTAAAATTACATGAGCACAACTAGAGAGCGAGGGAAACCTCCATATAAAATCCACGAGAGATCCATCCAGCAATTATCAAGAAATAGCGATAACCAAAACTGTTTACGGAGGGATGGATGATGGACAAAGGCTCAGGGTGATTTAAATAGAAAAATAAGTGATAATACTGACCTCATTTTCACTTCTTTCCTTGTTCTTGATACCTTTGTATAAATCTTTAAACATCCCAATCAACCACCATTTTGAGGAGGTCCAATCCCTAGTGCAAACAATATCCATATATTGTGTTTTGTTACATATGAATCAACACAGTTCACATTTCTATGTTTACAGTGATCACTAGTAAAAACTCTACTGGCTGTTTATGAAATATCTAGATAATACAGGTAAAAATAAATAAATAATTGATTGAAATGCATGCAAACAGAAGCATTTTGGATAAAATCCTTTCATAATACAGTTCTTTATACTCATGTTAATTCTGTTATTGATGACAAACAAAGTATGCCCACCTAATCATAAAGGTAGGTAGCCGTGCTCCATACTCAAACAACTCATCAAACAAGACAAAGTTCTTTTCCAATTCCTTGAATTTTGCCTGATAAAAAAAGAAGAAAAACACCAATGCCAACATTATACATACATTCTTAGTTTTCATTCATATTTCCACAACTGTATCATAGGTATTTGGTTCCAGATCCATCTATATCAGACTCTCTGCTCATAACCTGGTTTTTTCCTGGCTAAAGTAATACTGCCAATCAGACTTGATGAGTGTGCATTTACAAACATGAATATAAAAAAGTTCTCTATGGTCCTAAGATATTGGTTGATTATAAGTTTCTACTCCTGACAAAGGAATTTTTACCGGAATAGAGGTTCAAATTTCTGCTTAGATTTAGGACATACTGATTATCTTATTTTAGCTCAATACAAACATAACAAAAGTACTGTACATACCGGGTTTGTGGTAGGAAGGACTCCAGGTCCAAACAAGTTATTAATGACAGCAATATACATGGACTTTCTGACCACATCATGGAGGTTACAGGGACCTTTATAAACATTTAAGAGATTTTAACAGACAAAGGTCATTATGACTGAGACAAGTACAAGAATCTTTTATTCTGGCAAGAATAAACTGTGACAGATTAAATCAATTAATATATTAAAAGAATGTAATATTCTGTTTATCACATTACTTTGTTTGATCCTAACTCACTCCTGTGTTATATAATATGAACAAGGCACTGTCTTGAAGACAACTCATTTTGTTCATTAAGATGTACATTGATATTTGTATATAATTTTAAACTGCCTATTGTGTGACTTCAATCAAACAGAATTAAATTCAACTAATCATATGTGTCAAATAAAATACAAAAATGGAGATCCCAGAGGGATCATGGCATCCACCATAGTTTTATCTTTATTTGTTCTTTAAAAGTTCCATTCTTTTCTCTTATTTCCTCTGATTTTGCTTTAATCAAATTTTGTGAAATTTGAAAATTCCTCTTCGGATATAATGATAATTATTTTAACTGCCTAATCCAAGATGATCACCTGTCAGCCATTTTGTTTTTCTGACCATTCCAAAAATCATTAGGGCACATCTAGGCACTAAGCAGAACATACACATGAAATTTAAAAAAGGTCCATGTATTCCAGAAATAGTGATTACAAGATTTTTTACATTTGAAATAAGGACCATTTAAACACCATCTAATCAGATTATGGTGTGATAAAGATTTGCTATCAGTTTATCTAGTTATGCCTTGTGTGCTGATACTATCCTATAACAATGTAACCTTATAGTTTACCTTTCACTGACACAGCAGCTGCAATCTCCTTGTTAAATCCTTCACAAAGGTCATCGTGGAAATGTACAAGGCGTGAAGATGCCAATCTCCCTTTAACCATGTCATGAATCTTTGTGTGGAACTGAAAAAAGGACTCTTCACTTACTGATGCTGAAAAATAAATAAACAAATTCTGGTATTAGCTCCCCTCGTTGACAGTTGATCATAAAAGAACACTGAAAATGCAAAGAAAATCTTAAGATCAATGAAAATGAGCTGCTGTCTGTCTTAGCTGTATAGTTTTATTACCATCAAACAGAGATACATATATATTTGTATCAAAAACAAAATAAAATTCTTAATTTTTCATCAGAAATGTCAAACTTTCTGACTTTTTGATCCTTCTCTGCTTGGGCAGATATTCAACAATGAAACAGTGTCAAGGGAGAAATTTATGGAAGAAAAGGTTAAGAAAATTTAATATCACATCAAATTCATCTGATCCCTATTAAAATCTTTTCAATTAACATGTACTTCTTCCAAGCATATGCACCCATTTACATTCACAACCACAGTAATTGTTAATTCAGAATTTTGCAATCAGGCACCCCAAAGTATATAAATGCAGTAGGTGGAGTCCATACCAAACATACAAACTTGTTAATTGGTTACTATTGAAGACTGATGACTAACTAGATGAGATTTAAATCTGTAACTATATAAAAGAATACCTATACTATCTATAAACACTTAGTTTCTACAGGAATGTGTTTTTATTAATGGTGCATACCATTTCCAATCATTATCATTTTATAAATTTCTATAGCCTTGAAAATATCCTCAGGTACCACAATGTTTGAAACACCTATCATTCAACAGATGCAACTGCAGGTCTATAGAATGATTTTCATATGCCTATCATAAATGCACATACAACTGATGCATGATGATCTATTAATCTGATTAAGTAGGCCTGTGTATTATGATATTTACCTATATTCTGCACTGGATCCTGCACTGCTTTCTGAAAATCTACATTCGCTGACTGGAAAAAGTGGTGAAAATCATCTGCATCAGTGAGAAAAGTGAGACGTTCTCCTGCCACATACAGGGTGTAAACAGTGCCCATCTGAAAGAAATCCAATTATCACTGTTGTAGTCAATGTTACATGTTCATGCAGCTCAGCATGCAATTACACCTGTGAATCTACAATGATTGCGTTTAGTCAAACATGCCTTAAACTTTATAAATTGTATATAAATATCTTGAAACTTGCAGGCCAATCTGACAATGAATTGGTTATTATCGACAATAATATTTGCATTAACTACACTCATTATTAACATGCTTTCATGTCATTAAACGATCATAATTGAATTTTTTATGGCTCCAATATTTGTGGGGAGGTCAAAACAAATCAATAAAAGCATGGAGTTAGTCCACAATAAAAATGGATTCACCAGAAAATAAAACTCTGGATGTTAAAAAAAATTCCAAAGGTCACTGCAAAAAAGGTTATCATAGAAGTGTTTACAGGTTAAGTGCATAATGCATCTGCTGCACACTTTTTTTGATGCCATATCACAGGTAGAATGCCATTGTACAGTCATTCGGCAAAGGAAGGTAAATGGAGACGTTTACAAAAATGTGTGAAATTCAATCGCTTTTATATCAATACCAGTGCATAATATTTTCTTGAGTATTACTCAGGTAATTATGAAAAGTTATAACAATATAAATAGATTATCTTTTCTCTTAAAAAATTTAATGCAATGTACGTATATTGGGGCTTTAATGTATTAATCAAATATTTAACAATCAAAGCAACATTTATGAAAAAAGGAAATACTGTGTTGTTCTGACAGAACATACATAAGTGTTCCATTATGTACAGTACAGTACATAAGCAGAGACGCATATATCACATATACACTATATATGTGTTATATATGTCTCTGACATAAGTTACTTTTAAACATTACGAGGACAAAAAGTACCTCACCTTTTGTCTCATCTTATCAATGAAAGAAAGTGGTTCAACACCAAACTCAAAAGCACATCCAAGCCATGGCACCAAGCCTCGTCGTAGAGGAGGAAAATTCTTTTCATATCGAGGTTTAGTTAACCTGTAAATAATATACATTAAAACCACAATTAAACCGGTAAGTAACATGCTAGGCGGTGAAAATGAAACCAGACTTTGAGCATCCATGATGTTCGGGTATACTCGGGTGTTATCTGTTTATGATAAGAAAAACACTAGAGTGTTCCGCTTATACCTAACAATGACCTTCACCTTCTAAATAACATGTCACGGCGAAACGGGATCTGACAGATCGGTAGAATTGTAAAAGAGAGAGTGATTTTTCTACACAAGCAAGATGTCATTTAAAACGTTACCTTTACTGTTCATAAATCTAGGCGGGGAAATGATTTACATATTGGATCAGCGATTACGAGCTCAGAATATAGCTGATGAAAAAGCAAAGAAAGGTAAGCCGCTTGATTGGTATGAAATTCATTGAGAGTGATAAAGCGGGCGCAGAAAATCCGAACGTGTAGGCCTACTGGTATGAGTTACCATCGGAAGGCTTGTGACATGTGTAAAATCAGGTGTTTTTTGAACGTGTGTACTTGAACAGATAAAAATATATTTTTCGATTAATCGAACAGACTAGAGTCAGAATTATCATATATGAAACGCGAATTTTTAGTGACCCAGTGCATAGATTGTCATACAAGCTTTGTACATTTGATATGTTATTTACATACTGCATATGTGTTCAAGCAATTAAATGTTGTAAAGGAAGTATTTCCACTTATTTTCCCCATTTCCACCATATTTTGCAGTAGTTGTCTATACATAGTATATGTGGAGAAGGCATTTTAATATCACATGGTAGTATATGGTATCACGAAAGATCAGTATGATATTGGTACATATGTATGCATGACAGTCTTCTACAATTCAGTTAACAATACCTACCCAACAGACATTTTAAAGTACATGTTTAAAGTTGCTTCAGTCTAACTTTAGTGAACCAGCAAAACAAGCCATTGAAATCCTACAATTGGTATATATATCCTAGGTAAGGGATTTCTATTAATTGATAACTTTGTGATCGGTTGTCAAGGGATATGCACACAATTGAGGCAGGGACAGTTGCAATAAGGCTGAAACAAATGACAGACTAGAGAGCAGATTGTGAGATGCTTTGCACCTTTTTTGAATACCTGTTTGGTCCAAGGTTATGTATGGCTCAATAGAAAGTTTGTTGTGCGATGATCCTGACCAGAGTTATTTCCCTAGATTACATAGCAGTTTAGGCTTTAGAAAGATGTTGTTGGTTATTTTCAGAATGTCTATGTGTATTTACTATGAATGTGTAACAGAGGTCATTATTTATTTCAATGCTTCCACTAGTATTTGAACCCGGGACCTCTGGATTCCTAGTTTGACATTCAACCGATTGTGCTAATGAGAAGATCTTTCTAGTTGAGTGGTAAATTGCAGCGAGTATTTACTAGGGTTACAAATGCATGTGTTCATAATGTATTTTATTGTGTGATTATGTTTCATTATCATAAATAATAATACAAACATGAAAATTTCCAAATTGAAATTTGTTGTTCAATGAAGTCCAATTAACATCATGAATGATTTATTGAATGTCTACTAGATGTCAACAGTGATGTTTTACACAAAGACAACAGATCATCCATGATGTCTGAATATGATATGCACTGCATACATTGTATTTACATGTGTTTTGATCATTTCTGATGCTAGATCAAATTTACTGATGAATAAGACAACTTGTGTTCATTTGGGATTATTCTATTCTTAGAATCAAATAAGTTTGTTAAGATGTGAAAATGCAGTAATTGTATAATGAACACATACCCTACATGCAAGAGACTCATCAATTTAAATGAGCATATATGTTATTTTCTCTTAATTCAATTTCACGCATCACTACAGATAAAACGGACATTATGTATGTGCCATCTTTATCTGGAAGTATTGAACCCTATCATTATTAATCATATTCACTTTGTATTTTTATGATTTATAATATATCAAGCAAGTGGATTTTTCACATTTGTTCTCTATTTCATCTCATGATCAAACAAGTTTTGTTTATATCAATCATTCAAAACCATATTAAATACAAACAAGAGTATTTCTCTCTATAGAAATTGTCATGTTGTAAGTGCTTTTCAAGACTTCCTCTTCCATATTTTCTTTACAATTACGTGAATGTTTCTTGTATGACATGAGTTTCACAGATAATGCCTCTGGTGATAATCTGGCAACGGTCATATGACTATAAATATACCGTATAGCTGTATGCTATATACCTGTGGCATGGGCAACTGAACACCGCACATGTTCTTCATGTGGAAACAAAAAAGTCTGGACTAATACAGGAATATTACTATAAAAAATCCATTCCACCCCTAAAAGGTATTTCAAGAACCGAAATTGGAATTTCTGAACTGCTGAGTATAATTAACTTGTGGAAATTGGCTCCCAAAATTTCTGTTTGGATTGTTAGATTTTTGGACTATCAGCTTCGGGTTTATCATAAGATTATCACAAGTCCACTGTATAAAGGTTAGAGGCAAATTTAAAATGTAAATATCTTAGCCAATTCTTGAATCAAGGACTTCCTCTTGCATTTAGAGCTTTTTGAACAACACTAAGGAAAGGCTTTTATGTAAAAATGCAGCAAATCATCTTTCAAGTTCATAGATTGCCAAACTCTGTCTTCATTTTGCACTTAACTGAAATCAAATCCCTAAAACCCTGCATTCCATCAAGGATTTGACTCAAACTCAAGAAATTTATTCAGCCAAAACAAATAATTGATTCCAACATTTTGGTTTACAAGTCCAAAATCTTATTCATGATCAAGACTTTGACTTTTTGAATGTAAACCTTCTGTCTGGGTGCAAACTATTACACTACAAGGACAGATTGATAAATTGTGAGCCTTGTATTGAAGAAGTTAAGGAGGGATGTCCTTTTTCAGCGCTGCTGTTCCCTGACTATTTAAGGCTGTGTACCTAGTCTGATGTGGCACTCTAAAGTAAACAAGGAAAGTAACTTCTGTAAAATGGACAAAATCAGTGGAAGAACACTTAGTCAATATTACAAAATATAGGTTTAGCATCTAAGGATATCCATACTAATAGGGAAGCAACACTAGGGAATGATGTTCATATGCTACAGTGAAGAGGTGGGTGGCAGAATTTAAGCACATAGAGATAAATATCCAGTGCAGTTGGGATTTCACAGGAAAGAGTACATTCCATTCTTACAGAAGATCTTGCAATGAGAAAGCGGATATTTTGGATATTGTAACACAACTGATGAAGAAAGACAATTTTCAACTCATGCCCTGTCCAGACCTTGAACTCACAATCTAGCTACAGCACCAAATCGCCTAGCCAAGAAACTGCTCAACTATTACACCACCACAACATACCCAATAAAGGATGATTGGAAGTTTAGCTGATAGTAATGTTCAAAACTCCTGTCACTTTTTCACTTCAGCAATACATGCAAGTGATATCTTTTGATGTCATTGTAGGCTAGTTCAGTTTTATAGCTAATAAACAAATTTAATGAACCGTGTTTGGTTATTTTTGGTCCCAAAATAAATGAATTTTGCATACAAATTATTTGCAAATTTTCCTTTTACTTCTTTCAACACAGCAGTGGATTGCAATTTCTCACTGTAAATATTTTAGTGACTGTATTCCTTTGATTTAATTCTGTTGTGTTTTGTAAATCCTGTATCATGAGTTGACAACTGACATCTTTATATTAACATTCAAGAAACTTCAAGCACTTAAGAACAGAAACTATTTTCTTGTGGATTGAATCAATCTCTGTAGCTTTAATTAAAAAATGATAGAACAGTATTGTACTAGGCATAGTGAAATATTCCTTAAATATAAATTATGTATGCACTGATAAGAGAGATGGTGTCACTGTAATGTATAGAATGCCTTTACTTTCCTGTCGGTGTTATATGTAAACAAACACAGGTTATACTCTGTACTATGGTCCTGTTTTCTAGACTCCATTAGTCTAACTCAGATCACATAATCTGAGATGCTATTCAAGCACAAAGAGGATACAATAGTAGATACAGGGATAATTATTGGTGTGTGTATTGATCATCACCTGTAGTTAGTTTTATGCTGGCTGTACATTATTAGTGTCAGAGCTGGGTGAGACTTTGTATGCACGACCAAGCAGTAAAAACAGAGAAATGTTGTCACTACAGATTAAATGTACAAGGAATACAAATTTCATTCTACTTGATCTTGAAAAATTAAAAAGTGCAGATTGTCAGAGAATGTCTATATATATGATGTTTGTGAGAATGAAGGGCTTCTTCATGGAGATGTTTTTTCTGCAAATAACAATCAAACCTTGGTACCTATGCCCATAACTGGGTATGTTGATATCGTGTTTGAATTTTAAAGATAACTTCTCTAGACCATTTGGTGACAATTCACTCAAATTGCTATTGATTATCTTTAAGACCAGAAAACGAGATTTTTTTATATTGTATTAGGTAAGGAAGGATTCATTATAAACTTCATTTATTTTACAACAATTGTGGAAGGAAGAATTTTTCACCCATAATATTGAATGGCACAATATCCCAACTTTAAGGAAGAAAGATTTTAATAAACCTTATATTTTGAATATGATGTCTTAATATTTTTAAAAAAATCTAAGTCTACATATATAGATAGGAAAGAGAATGCTTTCTATTTTACAAGTTTGCCAATCGAGCCTTCATCAAACCCCACCTAAATAGGAAAATAGGAAAATCTTGTAAACATTGGGATCGTTTATCTTTTAAATTTGATTTAGGAGAAAGATTCCTTAACCACTCTCCCTAAACCTCTTTCATCAAACCCTTTTAGATTGTAAACAGTTAAGGTAATGTGAATTTAGTTATTGGCAGTTGTGGTCACCTTATTTGTGCATTGTTGTGTATGCATCCTTGCAATCACATACTGCTGCCATACTTATTTACGGTGTGATATTTTGCCATTTAGATTTTCCCAGTAATAGTAAGGAACAAAAAAAAACAAAAAATAAATAGATAAAATAATAATCATTTTAAGGATCTCTCCTTTGACTTTTTCAGTTTTACATGACATCATTGCAACTATGTATCACAAGAGGTTCATGGAGGAATTATTTAAGCCCCAGCCACTGTATTCCAAAAAAGCTATGAGGACAGTGTTTGATCGATTGGCCCATGCATCCATTATGAGGCTAAATGCTGCCAGTATGGACAAAGTAAGTAAAGTATTTATGTAGTTTTGTAGTTTACTATTTTTGTTTGCTGATTAGAGAAAAAAGGCAGACAGGCAACCATCTTGGATTTTGACAACACATTTTTGTTATTGTTATGTAATACATTTAATATTGGATGAATCTTTCTCAAATTTCATAACAATATTCCCCTTGGTTCATAATTGTATTCTTAGATTTTTGGATTGATCAGAACAAATGGCTGCCAGGTGGCCATCTTTGATTTTAATATTGGAAGTTTGTTATAGCTCTTTCTTGAAAAGTGCAGGAGGGATCTTTCTTAAATTTCATTTATATGTTCCCCTTGGTCCCTTGTTGTGTACATTTGATTTTGGGACTGATCAGAGAATAAAATTTGCTGATAAGTGGTCATTTTTTATTTTGGCAATGAAAGTTTGTTATCACAACGTTTTGAGAATACTGGATGGATCTATCTCAAATTTTACACAAACATTTCCTTTAGTTCATAGTTGTGCCTCTTTGATTTTGGGACAGATCAGAAAAACTGAAAATGGTTGAGAACTGATGGCCATCTTGGATTTGGTAGTTTAATATTTCTTGGAGGATTTTATCAAATTTCATTAGTGCAAAAACGGAGGAAAAAAGAAAATAAAATATCCCACTTCTAAAGAAAAGATAAAGATGAAATGTTGGTGGATACCTAGATCTCTCAGGGATCTCTGGTTATATACAGTGTTATATATAATTGTTTGTATAGCCAAAAGTGAAACACTTGATATAACATTTTGTGGAATGTTTGCTGGTATATTCAATTTTTATTTGTTTCTTGATTTTGGAAAAAATGAATCTGTTAGTGAAAATTGCGATACAGTCAGCTAACCTTTCTTTATGATTATAAAAAGAAATCCCTTAGTATTTTTCTATCAAAGCATTAAGTCTCTAAATATTTTTATTTCAGATCACTGTCAAATATATGAGGTTAAAACAATTATCCAAAATTTAATTGGTTACTATGGAGTTTTAAAAAAGTAACATGATAGTCTATAATTTACCTATTAGTATGATTTGCTGTTTTTTTATTAGTAGTGGGATTATAGACAATCGTGCCATATTATATGTACTGAACATTTTCAACTATTAAATCTTGAATAAAAAAGTTCCTAGGTTTTCTTAGGTCACCTGTTACCAAGTCCCAGGGTGCCTATATTCAGTTTGTTTGAATGAATGACTGTGACACATTGTTAAGGACACAGTGTTTGATCAAACATGTTAAAATCTTCGGAAAGCTTCTTCTTTATAACCAAAAGATCCAGTCTATTGATATAGGTTTGTAACATCATTGGATGAAGGGCTACCAAATTTATTAAAATGATTGACCATGACCCACTCTCAATGTCATTAGGGTCAAATATTTTGAGAATTTACAATTCTTCCTTTCAGCAAACAATGGCATGGGTCATGGTATTTATGTGGTAGCATGCTTTAGGAATAGTATTTCAAATTTGCATATGTATTGACGTTATTGTCTGACAAAGTCTGCTTTAAGTGAGTCATTCAGGCCCATTAAGTCTATATCATATATAGGTCTCTATACTCAGATGATCGTTAAGGCTAATGTAAACATTTTTTCAATCACCTACAATGTGCATTCTACCCAGCAATAACTGTCAGTATATAGCAATCAGCTACCTTCAAAACCCGGTTGTTTCTGGTGTGAGGTACTTAACCCTATGGAAATGTTTTGATAAAATCTGATTGAAAGTTAAGCTGACAATGACATATATTGTTGTGGATAAGTTCAGAAAATCATTGTTCCCAGATTATGGCAATATCAAAATAGTGGATATACATGTTAAATAATTTTAATCTTGATGTTGATAGTTGTACCCATTTCATACCTGAATGATTGATGATACTCAAAAGTAGTAGAAAATTAGAGTTTTGATACAGTACATAAATGGTCTGAATCCATTGAAGGTAGAACAATTCAGCTGTTTCTACTTCTTGTTTGAGGGTGGAGCAATTGCTTCATATTGGCTTCCTGTATATTCGGCCATTTTTCATTTAGCTGTCAAGTTGGGACTGTAGTCAACATGTTTTTGTTTACCAGTGTGTTGTTTAAGGAAGAGCAACTACTTTCTGTGTGAGAGTCATTAATGAAAGGCTTTTTATGTTGCTGTTTAATTTCACAATAATCTGGAAATGGAAATCACTGTTTTGAAGAGCTTTGATGTGAAAATCAGATCAGTAAATGAAATTGATGTACATATATTGGAAAATAAACAGTAAGCTTTAAAAAATGACGATGCTAATGTGTAGACTGTGGCCTTTATAGTAATCAATATGTTCTGTACTACAGAGCAGAAAGTCAATCAGTAATAGCCTGAATTCCTTCATCCAATACACAGTGGTCAATAATGACTTGTGACTCCTGTGATTAACCTGACCTGTTGATACTCACGAGTATACTGGAAATCAAAACATGTAAATATTCGTGTATAAAATCAATGCACATAAGGTTTGACATGAATTTGATAGGTGAATATATGAATCAAGTGTTTAGATTTTTCATATTGTCTCGCTCAAATGAAAAATTAATGATGATAAAGAAATTTAAGAACATTATCACATGATAGATTTGATGTTTTGTCTGTTTTATATCTGTTCTTCGATCACTTTTTATATGTGAAATTCTCATTTTACAAAATGAATGTATTAGATTGCATTGTTTAAGCAGAGCTACAGTGTTGTTGTCCTGATTGAGTGGGTTGAGTCCTAACGTACACTGTAGGCTATTTGAACAAAACAATCATGCAGTCATTTATCGTATAGCCTCATAATTTTTACATATTTTCAGAGATAATAAACTCTTTTTAAGATTCTGTATTTTTTTTCCAGCTTTATGACTTGATGACAATGGCATTTAAATTTCAAGTGTCTCTTAGTCTGCGCCCCAAAGACATAATCCTTGCCACCCTCAACCACATAGATGCAATAAAGGGCCTGCTGGATGGTGCTCCTCATGTACAACAACAAGTGGACTATGTCTACCGGCTTCTTATAGAGGTAATATTCTTCACACTTCACTCCTCAAATTTAACTCCGAACCACAGATGTGCTCTGGAACCCAAATCTCTTCGAATTCAATCTCACTTCATCTTGCTGGTGTGATCACTCTCAAGGCACCCTCAGGTCTTGACTGTGCCTATCCACTGGTCTTAAGAATACATTGTACATCAGATGGATAGAATTTACTAGCTTTATTCTTCTTTGTTAGTTTTCATATTAGCTCAGTCCTCATCCACCTATACACCTGCACTCAACCTCAATATGATATTTAGCTAAAGCACAATCTTAAACTGCACCAATGCCATACCATTACATCCTCTGACCTCACAAACACCAAAACACAACCTTAGACTACATCAAGACCACAACAACACACAACCTCATACTACAACTACAACACACAACCTCAAACAACACCAACACCACAACGACACCAACACCATAACACACAACCTGTAACCACTCTAACACCACATAAACACACGACCTCAGATCACACCAATTCCCTCACATCATTAACCTACACCAACACACAACCTCAAACCACACTAACATGGATGGAAAGTATGTTATAAAGTAGAGAGTATTATGTGGTAATCATATGGTCCCATTACTTACTTCCATGTGTACGAGTGTGTACACATACAGGTGATATGATATAAGGTATACATACAAGTGATAGGTTTAAACATACACATACAGATGATAAGTTTTAACATACATGTACAGGTGATATACAGGTGATAAGTTTTAAAATACACATACAGGTGATAAGTTTTAACGTACACAAACACATGATAAGTCTTAACATACACATACAGGTTATAAGTTTTAACATACACATACAGGTGATAAGTTTTAACATACACATACAGGTGATAAGTTTTAACGTACACAAACACATGATAAGTTTTAACATACACATACAGGTGATAAGTTTTAACATACACATACAGGTGATAAGTTTTAACATACACGTACAGGTGATATACAGGTGATAAGTTTTAAAATACACATACAGGTGATAAGTTTTAACGTACACAAACACATGATAAGTCTTAACATACACATACAGGTTATAAGTTTTAACATACACATACAGGTGATAAGTTTTAACATACACATACAGGTGATAAGTTTTAACGTACACAAACACATGATAAGTTTTAACATACACATACAGGTGATAAGTTTTAACATACACATACAGGTGATTAGTTTTACTACCGATGAAGGGAAGGTGTGAACGTTTCAAGTACTGTAGTACTGAACAAAGTATTGATAGTATTGTACTGAAGTACTTCACCAATCGAATTCCTTAAATTTATGCAACAAGCTCTCTGATTGGCAGAGCCAAGTCTAGATCGATTGTGGGTGGAGCCAGGTGAAAAAATACTGTGCAGACATCGGCATTTTACAAACACTCGACTGTCGCGAGAGGTTAATTGGAAGAGTCCAAGTCACAGGTGGCTTCAGATCAGACCTAATTGGGTTGTCCCATTTGTTTCGTTCTACACCCAATGATACCTTGCTTTTCCATCGATGGTACAACGAGAAAACGAAAGTTACTCAGTACTAAACTAATTTACGTACAAAATATATATCAACAGGTTAGATCACTGGGACCGGAGAATTCATAACATCTTAACAGTGAATATAGTCATATAGTCATTCTGTACTAGTTTTATTTATTTATTTATTTTTTTGAAAGGGGGGGGGGTAGGGTTGGCTCAAAATATTTCGGTTTAAGCCCAAGCTCTATTATATGTAGCAAAGAATTACGAATTACCTGGGACCTCCTGATATATGCCGATAATTTATACTGCATTAAAAAATAAAGGAATTCTGTGGTCCCATATATTTTTTATTTTATTTTTTATCTTTCCATCGAAAATTATACATATCCGCAACATGTGAAAAAACTTTGAAGTTGGTTGGGCGGAATATCTAGAGCATTTACTACTGCAAGTTCCAGAAATTCTGACACAAGTCGGGTATTTGCCCGAAGCCTCTGTCTCATGACATTGAATACATATTCAGTTACGTTGTATTCCGGGGAATAAGGCGGCTGAAAAACCAGGGACACGCCATATTCTTTCAGCATATTTCTTAAAATGCGCTCTCCCTGTCTATGGTGATGGAATCCACAATTATCCATCACAACCACATCGCCTTGTACAAAAACAGGATTCCCCATATCGTTCGTATCGGACATAATTTTGTCAAAGAAAATTTTGCGTACTGTTGCCGTCGTCGGACATTTTTCCAGTGATTACTTAGTAATTGTTATGTAACTGATAGTGTACATTAACTCCGCCTACCGGAACAAATTGGGTGTCAGATCAACTATTCAGGTTGTCTAAACTCCGCCCCCGACCAATCACAGAGGTCGTTGTATACTTGACTCGATTATTTGAATACTTCAATACAATAGTATCAATACTTTGTTCAATACTATAGTAAGTGTGTCGTTCACACCTTCCCTTCATTGGTAGTAACATACACATACAGGTGATCAGTTTTAACGTACACAACCAGGTGATAAGTTTTAACATACACAAACAGGTGATAAGTTTTAACATACACATACAGGTGATAAGTTTTACACATACAGGTGATAAGTTTTAACATACGCATACAGGTGATAAGTTTTAACATACACATACAGGTGATAAGATTTAACATACACATACAGGTGATAAGTTTTAACATACACATACAGGTGATAAGTTTTAACATACACATACAGGTGATAAGTTTTAACATACACATACAGGTGATAAGATTTAACATACACATACAGGTGATAAGTTTTAACATACACATACAGGTGATAAGATTTAACATACACATACAGGTGATAAGTTTTAACATACACATACAGGTGATAAGTTTTAACATACACATACAGGTGATAAGTTGTAACATACACATACAGGTGATAAGTTTTAACATACACATACAGGTGATAAGTTTTAACGTACACAAAGCGGTAATATGACATAAGGTATACATACAGGTGATAAGTTTTAACGTACACAAAGCGGTGATATGACATAAGGTATACATACAGGTAATAAGTTTCAACGTACACTTACAGATGATAGGCTATAAAGTACACATACACACAATGTGCTGTAAAGTTCATGTACACACACCGGTGGTTGGCTACAACGTATATATACTGGTAGTGCTATAAAAATGACAAATCAAATACTACTAACATGTCAAGAAAATCATAATCCAAACTCAAATTGAATAAAACTTGAAAAATATGAACAAAACAAAGATTTACGACAGCACACACCATGAAATTCAAAGGAAAACAACATAAGCAACAACAGAACCAAAATGTATACTCTTATCAAGCACCAAACATATCCAACTTCATATTTACCAATGAGATCATTACAAGATGTATACATGCAGGTTGTGTGCTATGTCAGTAAACTTATACTTATGAAAGATATTTACTTCATTTTACAGACATTTGGGTCTCTGTCACTGGGAGAGTTCCAGCTTATACGCCAAACACTCTTAAACTTCTTCCAAGACATGCATATAAGAGTAAGTTGCTTTATTTTATTACTGTAAAAACTTTCAGTTCAGTTAATTAATACAATGATTCTCAGGTCAAGTGATTTTTTTCTGTTTCAAATGTTGGATATAAAGTCTAAGCAGGTAGGATTAAATATTGATCACAATATCAGCCAAGTTAATTACATTATACAGCTATTCATTAAAATAGTATTTCATTGATCAATATGCTTCTTCAGTATTAAGACTATTTAACAGAATTGGGAAAGTTAAAATGCTCTTCCTAATAATAAAGATCTCTGGTGTTCTGTAGATGAAATTATGAGAATCAAAGTGCAGCACTTTGTATGTAGTGAAAAAATAACTTATCCTTCTTTTTTTAAATGTATCCCTGCAGCAGACAAGTCAGCTGGCATTCTTCCAATGTTTTTAATTAATTTCTCATCAATATTTTAAATATTGATCAGATTAAATGAGATCAGTTCCACTTCAAAAAATCTTAACAAGCGTATTTTGATCTTGTAAACAGGTATCTATATTCTTAAAAGAAAAAGTACAGAGTAGTAATGGTAGATTTGTATTACCGACCAGTGGAACATTACCATATGGAACAGAATCTCCTGGTGTTATAAGGTGAGTTTGAACTTATAGGGGTCAAGATCATGATTAGTAGGAGGTATGATGTTAGCAGGGGATGTGACAATAACTGATTGGGTACCTGATGGTAACTGGCAGGAGACAAAAATGATAACTGGTTGGTGATGATGACTGGTAGGGAACCTGATGGTAACTAGTAGGGGATGCAACAGTAACTGGTAGGGACCTGATGGTAACTGGTAGGGGATGTGACGGTAACTGGTAGGTAACTTGATGGTAACTGGTAGGGGATGTGACAGTAACTGGTAGGGACCTGATGGTAACTGGTGGGGGATGTGACAGTAACTGGTAAGGGACCTTATGGTAACTGGTAGGGGGATGCAACAGTAACTGGTAGGGACCTGATGGTAACTGGTAGGGGATGTGATGGTAACTGGTAGGTAACCTGACTGTAACTGGTAGGGACCTGATGGTAACTGTTAGGGGATGTGACATTAACTGGTAAGGGACCTTATGGTAACTGGTAGGGGATGTAACAGTACCTGGTAGGGACCTGATGGTAACTGGTAGGGGATGTGACAGTAACTGGTAGGGACCTGATGGTAACTGGTAGGGGATGTGACGTCAGCTGGAAGGGACCAGATGGTAACTGGAAGGGGATGTGACAGTAACTGGTAGGAACCTGATAGTAACTGGTAGCAATATGACAGTAACTGGTTGATAATATGATGGTGATTGGAAGGGGACCTGAATGTAACTGGTGGGGAACCTGATGGTAACTGGTAGAGGACCTGATAGTAACTGGTAGGGGATGTAACAGTACCTGGTTGATAATATGATGGTGATTGGAAGGGGACCTGAATGTAACTGGTGGGGAACTTGATGGTAACTGGTCTGGAATGTGACAGTGACTGGTAGGGGATGTGATGGTAGCTGGAAGAGAACCTGATTATAATTGGTAAGGGATGTGACAGTAACTGGTAGGGGACCTTATGTTGACCAGTAGGGGATGTGACAGTAACTGGTAGGGGACCTTATGTTGACCAGTAGGGGATGTGACAGTAACTGGTAGGGGACCTTACGTTGACCAGTAGGGGATGTGATAGTAACTAGTAGGGTACCTTATGTTTACCAGTATGGGATGTTAAAGTAACTAGTAGATGACCTAATGTTTGAACAGTAGGGGCTGTTTTAGTAACTGTTAGGGAACCTTATGTTGACCAGTAGGGGATGTGATAGTAACTGATAGGGTACTTAATGATGACCAGTAGGGGATGTTATAGTAACTAGTAGGGGACCTTATGTTGACCAGTAGGGGATGTGATGGTAACTAGTAGGGGACCTTATGTTGACCAGTAGGGAATGTTGTAGTAACTGGTAGGGAACCTTATGTTGACCAGTAGGGAATGTTGTAGTAACTGGTAGGGGACCTTATGTTGACCAGTAGGGAATGTTAAAGTAACTAGTAGATGACCTAATGTTTGAACAGTAGGGGCTGTTTTAGTAACTGTTAGGGAACCTTATGTTGACCAGTAGGGGATGTGATAGTAACTGATAGGGTACTTAATGATGACCAGTAGGGGATGTTATAGTAACTAGTAGGGGACCTTATGTTGACCAGTAGGGGATGTGATGGTAACTAGTAGGGGACCTTATGTTGACCAGTAGGGAATGTTGTAGTAACTGGTAGGGAACCTTATGTTGACCAGTAGGGAATGTTGTAGTAACTGGTAGGGGACCTTATGTTGACCAGTAGGGAATGTTAAAGTAACTAGTAGATGACCTAATGTTTGAACAGTAGGGGCTGTTTTAGTAACTGTTAGGGAACCTTATGTTGACCAGTAGGGGATGTGATAGTAACTGATAGGGTACTTAATGATGACCAGTAGGGGATGTTATAGTAACTAGTAGGGGACCTTATGTTGACCAGTAGGGGATGTGATGGTAACTAGTAGGGGACCTTATGTTGACCAGTAGGGAATGTTGTAGTAACTGGTAGGGAACCTTATGTTGACCAGTAGGGAATGTTGTAGTAACTGGTAGGGGACCTTATGTTGACCAGTAGGGAATGTTGTAGTAACTGGTAGGGTACCTAATGATGACCAGTTGGGGATGTTGTAGTAACTGGTAGGGAACCTTATGTTCACCAGTAGGGAATGTTGTAGTAACTGGTAGGGGACCTTATGTTGACCAGTAGGGAATGTTGTAGTAACTGGTAGGGAACCTTATGTTGACCAGTAGGGAATGTTGTAGTAACTGGTAGGGTACCTAATAATGACCAGTTGGGGATGTTGTAGTAACTGGTAGGGACCTTATGTTGACCAGTAGGGAATGTTGTAGTAACTGGTAGGGGACCTTATGTTGACCAGTAGGGAATGTTGTAGTAACTGGTAGGGTACCTAATGATGACCAGTAGGGGATGTTGTAGTAACTGGTAGGGAACCTTATGTTCACCAGTAGGGAATGTTGTAGTAACTGGTAGGGGACCTTATGTTGACCAATAGGGAATGTTGTAGTAACTGGTAGGGTACCTAATGATGACCAGTAGGGAATGTTGTAGTAACTGGTAGGGTACCTAATGATGACCAGTAGGGGATGTTGTAGTAACTGGTAGGGTACCTAATGATGACCAGTTGGGGATGTTGTAGTAACTGGTAGGGTACCTTATGATGACCAGTAGGGGATGTTGTAGTAACTGGTAGGGTACCTAATGATGACCAGTTGGGGATGTTGTAGTAACTGGTAGGGACCTTATGTTGACCTGTAGGGAATGTTGTAGTAACTGGTAGGGGACCTTATGTTGACCAGTAGGGAATGTTGTAGTAACTGGTAGGGTACCTAATGATGACCAGTAGGGGATGTTGTAGTAACTGGTAGGGTACCTAATGATGACCAGTAGGGGATGTTGTAGTAACTGGTAGGGACCTTATGTTGACCAGTAGGGAATGTTGTAGTAACTGGTAGAGGACCATATGTTGACCAGTAGGGAATGTTGTAGTAACTGGTAGGGGACCTTATGATGACCAGTAGGGGATATTGTAGTAACTGGTAGGGGACCTTATGTTGACCAATAGGGAATGTTGTAGTAACTGGTAGGGGACCTTATGTTGACCAGTAGGGAATGTTGTAGTAACTGGTAGGGGACCTTATGTTGACCAGTAGGGAATGTTGTAGTAACTGGTAGGGTACCTAATGATGACCAGTAGGGGATGTTGTAGTAACTGGTAGAGGACCTTATGTTTGACCAGTAAAGGATGTGCTATTTCTGCTGTTTTTAACCTTGTTATGACCTAGAACGTATTAACCATGCCACGTAGATTTCTAAGATACAGATGATTTGATATTCATTGTCTGTTATATAGCTGTTTGAAAGAAGTTTGAAATGAGAGAAATGATAATAATTAATAATAATTGTATAATATATATATGATAATTAATTAATGATACAGAACAAAAATTGTGGTAGGCAGTATGCATTAATATCTCTTATGTCCTGATGATAACTCAGTTGTGAAAATGATGGTTGTTGATATAAGAGTCTGATCAATAACTAGAATGTGCCAGGATTTTTTTATCTTTTATCATACCTTTTGTAGTCTCAAGTAACATTGTTGACTTCTCTGATACAATCTGAATGACTGTATTGTTGTAAAAAGCCTAATGAGGACACGATCAATCAGGTAGTAATAGTCTGGCACATCCTTGTTCAGCCATTATACCTTGATAATGCTATTGATCAATGGTTCCTGGCCTCATCAAATGGATAATATCACAAGGACTTTCATTTTCATTACTGCAGACATGGCAAGATCCATAAGAGGCTTTGGTATAGGTGTGCACTTTTATCTCATCATCACCATCATCATTATAGAATTGTGTACCTCTGTTCAGTACATAAGAATTAGATGAATGAATGTCTTTGTTACATAAATCAATGAAAATAATGTGTATATAGATGGAGTTAACAGGTTATGACTGACTTCAGTCACATCCAATAGAAATTTAATAAGTGATTTACTATAACCTGATAACCAGCTCTCTGCCAATAACATATGATATCATATTTAGTTTGATATTTATATATATATATAGCCAAGACACTTTCTTATTTACTTTTTTTGGTTTTTAGGTCATCTTACCCAAAGAGTTTCTATATATAGTTGGTGATATTCATTGTAATTTTAATTTGACTATATTTGCAGTCATTGAAGTAAGTGTAAAATTATGATATAAGTAAACATGCTTACAGTGAATAGAAGTCCTTGGAAATGTACATGTCACCTACCTGTATTCATGGACACCAATGATAGAAATTTAATCATCATGAAATAAGCCAAACTGAAACAACCACAAAAAATTGGCCTTGAGAAATAAAACAATTATATATTATATAATACAGATATCAGATGTCTTTCAATAGTACATAGTCAACAGAAAAGTAAATGACCATGTTTGATATTGCTCAAACACAGTTGTATTAACTGGTAATTACCAGCACTCAGGGACAAATGTATTTGAACTAATGAAAAGGTGTTTAAATGATTATGTTTTATTACATAACCATAGAAAATTCACACAAATAAAAATTTAAATAACACTTAAAAAATACTTTACAGTACTGTACTACTAAACATTTAGAAGACAACTACTGATAGAGATCTGCGACAGTTCTGATGGTTTGGGTATGATATTGATCTGTGTTGTCTAATTATCCATTAGTCATGTATAGACAGGTAATTAGTTTGAGGAAGTGACTGAATTTAACGCCTTGTTTTTGTGACTAGAATTTAACCAGGCGATTTAGGAACACCATGATTATAGTAGTTGGTTCTTAATTCTGCTAAGTTGTGTAATACTTAGGCAAACATAAAGAATTATTGCATTGTTTTCCAGAAAAATGTTATGAGTTGTAGAATATATAGAGTATATGTCATTTTTGTGCTAAAATTCTGGTTCATTATGAGTTATGATCCATTTTCTCTAAGGCAGAGTAGATATGGAAATCATAATATTGATAAATATTTTAAAACACTGCTCCTTTTGAAACAGTTAAACATATGTCTATGAGGAATCCCTTGTTACATTATATGTGTGAGGTATCTCTCTTGACATTATCTTAATGGGAATGGGGTACTTCTTGGTACATTATGTGTGCGAGGTACCTCTTGGGACGTTATGTGTATGAGGTATCCCTTGGGATATTTATATGTATGAGGTATCCCTTGGAATGTTATGTGTGTGAGGTATCCCATAGGACATTATGTGTATGAGGTATCCCTTGGGATGTTATGTGTATGAGGTATCCCTTGGGACGTTATGTGCATGAGGTATCTCTTGGGACGTTATGTGTGCGAGGTACCTCTTGGGACGTTATGTGTGTGAGGTACCTCTTGGGATGTTATGTGTATGAGGTATCCCTTGGGACGTTATGTGCATGAGGTATCTCTTGGGACGTTATGTGTGCGAGGTACCTCTTGGGACGTTATGTGTGTGAGGTATCCCTTGGGATGTTATGTGTGTGAGGTATCCCTTGGTACATCATGTGTATGAGGTATCCCTTGGGATGTTATGTGTGTGAGGTATCTCTTGGGACATTATGTGTATGAGGTACCTCTTGGGACATTATGTGTATGAGGTACCTCTTGCGACATTATTTGTGTGAGGTATCCCTTGGGATGTTATGTGTATGAGGTATCCCTTGGGATGTTATGTGTATGAGGTACCTCTTGGGACCTTATGTGTATGAGGTATCCCTTGGGATGTTACGTGTGTGAATTATCCCTTGGGACTTAATGTGTGTGAGGTATCCCTTGGAATGTTATGTGTGTGAGGTATCCCTTAGGACATTATGTGTATGAGGTATCCCTTAGGATGTTATGTGTATGAGGTATCCCTTAGGACATTATGTGTGTGAGGTATCCCTTAGGACATTATGTGTATGAGGTATCCCTTGGGACGTTATGTGTTTGAGGTATCCCTTGGGACGTTATGTGTATGAGGTATCTCTCTTGACATTATGTTGATATGGAGGTATATTTGATACAGGACATTAGGGGCATATATATCATTAGGGACATATTTGATACAAGAGGTATTGTTAGGGACATATTTGATACAAGAGGTATCATTAGGGACATATTTGATGTAAGAGGTATCCCTTGGACATATGTTATGTGTGATGAGGTATACCTTAGGGACATATTTGATGAGGTATCATTAGGGTGTGAGGTATCCCTTAGGGACATATTTGATACAAGAGGTATCCCTTAGGGACATATTTGATGTGTGAGGTATCCATATTTGATTGTGACATATTTGATATGTGAGGTATCCATTAGGGACATATTTGATACAAGAGGTATTCATTAGGGACATATTTGTACAAGAGGTATCATTAGGGACATATTTGATGTGTGAGGTATCATTAGGGACATATTTGATGTATGAGGTATCATTAGGGACATATTTGATGTATGAGGTATCATTAGGGACATATTTGATACAAGAGGTATCATTAGGGACATATTTGATACAAGAGGTATTGTTAGGGACATATTTGATACAAGAGGTATCATTAGGGACATATTTGATACAAGAGGTATCATTAGGGACATATTTGATGTATGAGGTATCATTAGGGACATATTTGATGTATGAGGTACCATTAGGGACATATTTGATACAAGAGGTATCATTAGGGACATATTTGATGTATGAGGTACCATTAGGGACATATTTGATACAAGAGGTATTGTTAGGGACATATTTGATACAAGAGGTATCATTAGGGACATATTTGATACAAGAGGTATCATTAGGGACATATTTGATACAAGAGGTATTGTTAGGGACATATTTGATACAAGAGGTATCATTAGGGACATATTTGATGTATGAGGTATCATTAGGGACATATTTGATACAAGAGGTATCATTAGGGACATATTTGATACAAGAGGTATCATTAGGGACATATTTGATACAAGAGGTATCATTAGGGACATATTTGATACAAGAGGTATCATTAGGGACATATTTGATACAAGAGGTATCATTAGGGACATATTTGATACAAGAGGTATCATTAGGGACATATTTGATACAAGAGGTATTGTTAGGGACATATTTGATGTATGAGGTATCATTAGGGACATATTTGATGTATGAGGTACCATTAGGGACATATTTGATACAAGAGGTATCATTAGGGACATATTTGATACAAGAGGTATCATTAGGGACATATTTGATACAAGCGGTATCATTAGGGACATATTTGATACAAGAGGTATCATTAGGGACATATTTGATACAAGAGGTATCATTAGGGACATATTTGATACAAGAGGTATCATTAGGGACATATTTGATACAAGCGGTATCATTAGGGACATATTTGATACAAGAGGTATCATTAGGGACATATTTGATACAAGAGGTATAATTAGGGACATATTTGATGAATGAGGTATCATTAGGGACATATTTGATACAAGAGGTATCATTAGGGACATATTTGATACAAGAGGTATCATTAGGGACATATTTGATACAAGAGGTATCATTAGGGACATATTTGATACAAGAGGTATTGTTAGGGACATATTTGATACAAGAGGTATTGTTAGGGACATATTTGATACAAGAGGTATCATTAGGGACATATTTGATACAAGAGGTATCATTAGGGACATATTTGATACAAGAGGTATCATTAGGGACATATTTGATACAAGAGGTATTGTTAGGGACATATTTGATGTATGAGGTATCATTAGGGACATATTTGATACAAGCGGTATCATTAGGGACATATTTGATACAAGAGGTATTGTTAGGGACATATTTTATGTATAAGGTACCTTTCCTTGGAAAAGACAATTGAGTTTTGTATGATTATAGGTAGATATGTGTTACCATGCTAACATATTTACTGCAATATACTGCTGAGTTAGAGAGAACTTTCTTAAGCCAGGAGTGCAGGTTTGAATCCTGGAGGCATTAAAATAAATGATGACCTCTGTTACACATGCATGATCACCTGTTATCATTGGTCAAGATCGAATTTAGACAGATCTTCCTGAGTTGAAGACAAGCTTCATTGTACAGTTTGGGATGATTAAAATTAATCAATGGTATTTTATGTATCACTTAATGATACATACAACAAAACAAAAAAAAACAAAAAAAAGGGAATAATTCAAATATCACAGGTAAATCATATGTGAGACAGCAGGTATTAAGAAAAAGTATTACAGCCTTGTCATTGTCTCATCAAACAACATTTACCTTTCTAAAATGTTAGGAAAAGGGACCATAGATATGTAATGGAATCAGGGATACAGTGTGTTACCTGTAACATCTATTTAGTGATAACATAGCTGATTGTTACTTGTTTATTTTCAGACGCTATGAAGCCAATGGTTCTGTTAACACCAGCCATTTCCCAGTGAATGGAAACTTTATTCCTGCTTTACAGGAAGGGTCCTTTGACATCAAAGGGAGCCGGGTCACAAAATTAGGAACAAATATGTAAGGAAGAAAACAAATCTATATTACAATATCAATTTTTCAAGCACATAGCACCATGATGCTTTCTATTTTCATTAATCTGAAGAAATGGCTGTCTGATGGTAAGAAGTTTTGAAAAATATTTGTTCAAGTAATAGAACTCATCAATAATTGCCTCATCAAGGCTATTGATTAAAGATTGGGACACATTGATCTGAAATATGTTATACTTTGAATGAAACTTTTATAATTTGTCTCCACATAACCATCTTAGAACATCAATTTCAATATCCAAAGTGTATGTACCTTACTGATGACATGAAAGATGTAAACATGAAATATGATCAAAGATCGGTTTTGATGTTTAGGTACAGTGTGGTAAGAACAGTGGAAACAATGAGTTCAGGGGCACCAAGACAACAGACCAATGTAGTATCTGATATTGTAAGTATTCTATTGGTGACATCATCTTATTTTACAAAACACAAGGCTCATTTAGTCACTGATATTGTAAGTCTTCAGTTGGGCTCATCCTGTCACCGTACAAAACAGTGAACCAGAAAGTCTATCTATTTGTTGGTGACGTCATGTCATAGTACAAAGCATATAGATCTTAATTGGCAGTTGTAGGCATTTATATCTGATGTGTCAGGGACACTGGTTAAACATCAATAATGCTGGTTAATGTGTTTGTAGTGTAATAGTGATCACATGTAATCTGTTACAGATTAGTTTACATTTGACCTCATGTTGTGTTCACAGGAATCCAACACCCCTGATCCTTTAGCCAAAGCTCAGCTAGATCTCCTCAGCACCCTTATTGGAGGCAGAAAATCAGCCTCCAAGCAAGAGATTCGACTTAATCTGTTTAATAATGACAAAGAGGAGGAGTAAGTTGCCAATGTTACAGATGTTGTTCTGTTGTTTTACATATCATTGTGATACATTGTATCAAAAAATTCCAGTACTCGATGCTTATTGGTAAATTAATCACATGTTGTACATCTGTGTTTGAGGAAACATTTCCTCCAGTTTGATGAGTATATACCCAAGATGCGAGTAGCCCAGTTTCATATGATACATCATACTCTACATGTATATATTTGTGTTATTTAAACAGTATGTTTCCATAGATGATTATTGTGTTAAAAAACAATAAAAAATAAGACAATATCAAATAGTATGTGTACCTAATAATGACAAACACATTGAGTCCTACATTGATGAAGCAGATGTCAACATATTGATAAACACATCTGTTTATTACAGTAAGGATAACTTATGTGGTCTTATGATCTTATGTAAACATCGTTCCTAAAATTCCATTTGGTTATGCTATATATATCTGTACTCTCATAACAGGTATTATGCTTAAAAACTTCTTTCACCTTGGATGTATTTTATTTAAATATGTTTTGTTTTTGTTTCCTAGTGATGCGGCTATGGCTGCCATGAAACCTATAGAAATGGCTGAATCCAAAGTGGTTAAAATTGATGCCTCTAAGGTTTGTTAACATTTCATTTTTGGTTGCATGGGTCTCCCTTCATATATATACTTTTCTTGTACTTTGTGTATCTATATCAAATATTGTTAAGTTTTAATATTTTACTTACTGCATTTCTTTGACAAAACCCCATATCTGGTAATAAGCCAACAAATATCTATTGGTGTTCAGAAGATTGAATTACCGACAAATTATGCTACATGTTGTCATATAAAATTCCTAGCCCCTACTTTGAGTCAGAGGTTATGTATTGGCCCCCTGGGCTTGTTTCAGATAGTATGGTATTAAATGTATTTATACTCACCTTCAATCAAAAGATAATGGAATAAAGAATAATGGTTTAAGTACATAAAACATGCAGTTTACTGATGCTGTACTCAGTATAGCCAAATCAGAGGATTTCATTAAGTTCACATCATATTGGCCTTATCAAGATCTTCACAGATTGGGAGGCAGTGCTACCTGGTAGAACCCATTTTAATGGGTTGTTACCAAGTATGAGATGACTGCTGCTTTGGAACAATGTGTATCATTGACATAATTTTTCATGTTTTGAAATAATTGAAATTTTTCAAAACTACTGTCATAATTGTTTTTGTTACAGAAACAGAGAGGTGCAGAGTTGAATAAAATAATGGGTGAACTCAATGTCCAGGAGAGCGCATCTCATGACGATGATCTGCTAGACCTGATGGACAGTGCATAACTCTCTCACAATAGTGCCTCTCTTTGATCTCACAAACCTTTCATCTCTTGCTCTGTTATATGTGGGATACCTGGTATTTGAATAAAAAATCTAGAAATATTTAACTGTTATTTGGTAACAGTTGCTATTGGTCAAATGTAAAACCAAATTTTAGTGTATTTTGATTAAGATGTAATTATTGTATGACATTTGAAATGTTTAAAAATGTTGGTTTAATTCACATTGTTTCAGGGAATTATTTCCCAAAATGGTTTGTTAAATATAAAGGTCTTAATACAGTGCATGTGTATTAACTGTATTTCAGTGTAACTAAATTATGTATGTACTTGTTTAGAACTCTGAAACATGTTCGCATTTCTTTTTATGACAGTATTGAACCTTCTAACAATTTAGAAAAAAAAAACATTAAAGTTACAGACCTATCTATTACTGTTGGTCTAGATACCTGATGTTTTGTGTTCAATAACTTCCCTGAGATTATCTTTGATTGTGGCACTACTAGAAGATGTTAATGTTTAATGGCGAAGCAAGCTATCATGTCTTTGAATAAATCATCCACCAAAAAATATATAGGAACATGTGATTCATTGAAATTGGTAAGAGCAAGTTTTTTTCTTATTAAGCATTCTAATGATGTTTGCTATCCTTAACAGTCACATTCTAATGATGTTTGCTATCCTTAACAGTCACATTCTAATGATGTTTGCTATCCTTAACAGTCACATTCTAATGATGTTTGCTATCCTTAACAGTCACATTCTAATGATGTTTGCTATCCTTAACAGTCACATTCTGATGATTTTGACGTATATAAATGCTGAATTTTGATTCTAAATATTATTTAAAGATCATTCTGTAAAATTAGTACATGTGAATAGCTGCTATACATGTAGTAGCACAGTTTAGCTTCAGCACTGCTAGACAAACAGTAGAATCACTGACTAATCATGATGAGTTTTGTTGTTTTGATGTGTGAGTAGTGCCATATTCTTCAGTGAAGCTAGGTAATTACTTGCTCCTACGAGAATTTAAGTTCACAATTTCAAATTTATGGTATTGTTGTTATTTTTAGAAATCTGATTGCTTTGACAGAAGAGGAGAAAAAAAAAGTAAAAAAAATTAATACAAAAATAAGTCTTATTTCACTGTAGTGTATCTTAATCTTTTTTTTTTACATAATCAAAAGTAATTTACCACACATCCAAAGAAACAGATGACTGTGTATTTGCAAAAGAATAATGTTGTGATGTTTTATTTATAAAGTTTGGAAGATGTAATGAACCTTTACTTTTGAGAATCACAAGAAAATCAATGAAAGCTGTATTCGAATAAGGGGAGATAACCTTCTTTATATCTGAATAAATATTTTTATAATGATTTAATTCCAAATATTTGAATATACATTGATTCATAAATTAAAATAGATACAAGTATAATGCACTGATGTATGTCAATTTGTTCATATTTGTGTACATCTTATACAGTACATAAAAAAGAGGAAAATATGAGAAACTTTGTAATATTAACATTGAACTCAGGCAAATATTTAATCTTATTTTAAGTCATAACTGGTATGTCAAGTTATGTTTAAAGCCAAAATTAACTTATTTACAAAGGGTAGAACTGAGATGTAAAGATATTTGATATTTTTGTTTTTTTTTTTTTTTTTTTGTTTGTTTTATTCTTGATATCAAAAATGTACATACATACGCTAATACTACATGGTAATTGTAATTAAGATTTGTTTTTGTTGATCTGAAGGAAAGTGATGGGTGTCATTGATATCAACTGACATGATCTCTGAACCTTCTGGAAAGTAGTTATTGTTTGAACAGAGTTTCTAGTAACTTGTGTAGCTTATTCTAAAGAAATCATTGTGACTTGCAGTAATGAGATATCACTTTGATACATATACTGCTATGACATAGAAACAGGTTTATGCTTATTCTTCTTATTTTATACAACAGAATTCATATTTGCATGTTTTTGCTATAAAAACCACTGTGTTGGCATACATGTGTACTGTACTAACAGTTATTTTCAAAATAAATATTTTGCTTTTCAGAGAAGTATATGAGTATCTAAGTAGATTCTGAAATATTATCTGAAGCATAAAACCTCTCTATATTTCTACACCCACCATGATATATTTTGTTTAGTGCAAATATTTTTATCTTGCATTAAAATGTTGATCAGAAAAACTTTGAACATGAATATGTATTTTATTTGAAGATATGATATGCAGAATCAATGCATTGCCTTAGGATTATCACACAAAAAAGGAAGGCAGGGTATTTTTTTTAGCTATATCAACCAAACCTGTGGTATTTTGGCAGTAAAAAGAGTTTTGGTGTTATGGCTAATTATATACAAATGAAGAAGGAAATCGAGGAATAATAAACACATGAATAGATGTGAAACCCTGAGGCAAGTGCCAATACACCTTATGATTCTGAATGCATATGTTTTTAACATAAATTGTTGTTAATCTAAAATATCTTGGTTATCATAAAAATAACAGCTTTCAGGTTTAATGTTAATTTTTTCTCTGTGTGATTTGATAGTGATTTGTATGACTAGCTGTTGGAGATTTCTCAGAGAATTATGACAATGCTTAATTAGGCAGATATAATAAGTATATGATAATGAGCACTGTAGTTAGACTGTAGCAGAAAAATGGTGTTTTAAATACAGCTTTCAAATGAAAAGGCAATAGAGAGAAAACTGTCTTGTCAAAATAACAAAGGCTGGTAAGAAAGGCAATATTATTATCATGGTACAATCTATCAATTAAAAACTGTTCAAGGAGGTTAGAGTAATTGCTAAATCATTGATTTGAAGATAATGCTAGTCATATATCTTTAACAAAAGCACGTGTTTGTCTCTGGGGTTTGAGCATTGTATTTCACCTTTGCTTTGTCCAAGCACTTGTAAGATGTAATCCTTGCTCCTTGTGGTCAGCATGACATTTTTTTCTAACTGTTCACAATTGCAGAAATAGTATTTCACCTTTGGCATTACCATTGCATTTTTATTTTAAACTTAACTGGTGTCTTCTATAGATCAGTCACATGTGTAAATACATTTGTTAAATGCATGTTAAACTAGATAATTAATGAAATACACAGAAACTGTGTTACAAATTTTCATTTACAGAATTTAAGGCCTATCATTGTTGATAACATGAAATTTTAAATGTGCCTTAAAGCTGATATAAAGTAGCCTTTTGTACTGGATTGGTATATATTGTATTATTTTGTATGAGCTTTTTACATGTGACCTCAAACCTTTACCTGTGACCTTTTGCCTCTGACCTCTAACCTTTACACGTGACCACCATCCTTTGCATGTGTCCTTTGTTTCCCTCATATCACACACTATAGTGCTATTTCTCTGATGATACATGATGAAAGATAGCTTTATTGTGCATCCTAACTAAACTTTTTGTTTCTAGTTATTCTGAATACCATAAACTATTTCAATGGTAAGCAGAGTGTAGATGTCAATTAACTGGTGAAGGTTATATAGACCGGAGAGTACTTGTACATGTAGTATGATAGGATACTTAACTGAACACAAGGGTGATCTTAATATGGATCAGGAAACAAAACTCTTTTCTGATATGTCATGTTTATTGGTTTACCTGAAAAATATGTCTACACTTCAATCATATGTCATACCTCTATTTATTCCATTGTATGTATGTTTGGTACCTTGATGATAGTGTGTGAGGTCTACATAAACCTATTATCTGACTGGTTAGAATTGTACTCTTTTCAACATTTGACATCTTTTTCACATGTTGTTAGTGTGTTTATTGCTGTTGGGAAATAAAGAGATTCATAAACAGTGTAGGAATATGTGAATATTAATGAGAAAAAACAGGCTCAATGAATTAAGTATTGACTTATAAATGTTTAATTGTGGCAGTTTGTTAAGTCTCACTACATATCAAAGCTTAAAATGTGCCTCTGTTTTGGTGACCAATCCGTCCAGAAATTTAAGTGCTTGATTTTTCTTTTTTGATATTTTATTTTTGTATCGGTGGCATGCTTCATAGTGTAACACATCTAAAGTGTTAAGTTTGTTATCAGAAATATAAACTAAACAGGAACCAGAACATTAGTTTTGTTTGACAATATCACTCAAATAAAATATTTTCATTCATTGCTTTTTAGTATTGGGACTTCTTGATGTTAAATTCTCTTGTTGTTTGTGTTCGTCACACTTAACAAAAAAAGTTTTTCCCTTCAAAAGATTAAAGAATCAGTACTTTCTGAAAAGAGTTTTTTTTTCCTATCAAGTTTTTATTTACCTTTTTTTGTTTCTTTAAAGCATTCAAACTTTGATGTTATTGAAATGGTATCACAGTGAGTGTCTCTTTTTGCAATTTCTACTAGATTAAGATAGGGGAAACATTTTATTTTTAGAATGTTGGGACCAAACAAATTAATTTGTGCAATTTTTAGGAGTTAGCTGTGGATTTATTACTACTATTTACCTTGTATGACTTGAATGTTCAGACTGGCATTAAATACGATCTTACAAGCCACAATACTTCTTTTGTCTTTATTAGATTCCCTGAAAAGGGAATATCTTTATATCAACAACATTGGACAGTCTTTAGTGGCAATCTCTTAGCAAACTTTTCTGTGTGATGGGTTTAATGCAAACCTAAAATTTCAAAGAATAACTCTTAATGAATGTGCTTGCTATGGATTGATTTTAAGGTAAGAATATTACAAGTCAAGAGGTGCAGAGGGCCTGTGTTTCTCATGTAAATTAATGCTAAAACAGTAAAATAATCATGTGTTCAAAGTGCTAATGTATCTTAAAAGTGGTGTGTTAAATTTTATGATATAACCACGAATGATCACTCTCAGTACCCTACTTTTCCAGATCAGATGTTGCTGTTAACAAATCTGACCCCTATAAATCTTCATATAACAGCTAGTCAAATATCAGTATCCTTTATTCATACTTAGGTCTTGTGAAACATGAAAACGGGTCATAGTCATTGATAAATATATGCATTAGACAACTTTATGGCATCTATCCTGGGGGAAAACTGGCCAGACACCAAGGTATCAGTACCCTGGGTCTGATGAAACGTGATTTTTAACATCAGTTATAACATAAATACAAGACCATTAGTCCTTGAAAATAGGTCAATTAAGGTCAATGCATACGAGGAAGTATAAATACATGTATCTAAATAAGTATACTCAAGTCCACCACCATATACTAACATTTGTGTCATGATATCACATCTGAATTACGTGGAATAATGAAACACAAATCTTAAACATACTGGACTCAATTGTGTTCAATCAAAATTGGCATGATAGTGTTTGGTGTAAATCACTGATCTCATTAAAGTTTACGAAAGACTGTCAGGCAGTGTCCTACACTGCAAGTTGGTTATGCTCATATAGAAATAATAAATGGCAGGTAAACTAACAATAATTAATGATTAAATAAAAAAAGTCTGAAAACACATTTTATTTCCAATAAAATAAAAAACAAATATTTAATTTGAATCTGAATTCTTATTAACTTCTATTAGATATCTGAAATCTATCATTCAATCTGATTGCAACATTTATTTTCTGTAATAGGCATCAGTTATTTTAAAAATTTAAAGCCAAGTTTAAAAAAACTTGTCATCCATCACAAGAACTTTTTTTTGTTGACGGAATCCTACCATTGCTTCAGCAACAGCATCTTCAAATTTTTCGAAAGGAACTAGATCACTCTCTGGAGGAAAAAATTTTTCAGCTCGCATTAAGTCGCATATATCCTTATACATTTTCACTTTTTCTGGAGATTTACTGTTTAATGCATTCCATTGTGTGTTCCAATATCCAGCCAAACGAATTTCCTTAAAGATAAATGCACCAGTAGGAACAACAACAGGTTTTTTTGACATCCCTCCATATGTTACCATGACACCATTTTGGCCTAAAAAGCGTGTCAATTCAGTTGCACTTTTTCCACCCACACAATTCAATGCTAACATTGGAGCTTTTGGTAAGCTTGCTACCATATCCCGCATTTCTCGTGACGATGCAAATTCTTCTGTCACAACATGTGTAGCTCCAAGATCTTTTAGTTGGCTTGTCAGCTTATCAACATCGGGTCTATTTCTTATGATGTTTATAGTAGTAATACCCCATTCTCTTGCCAGCTGAATTACACATTGCCCAACAGAACTGTTGGCACCATTCTGAATAACAATGTCTCCCTGCTTCACTGGGACAAAATCTTTAAGCATTCTGTAGGCCGTACACGGATTGACAGCTAGAGTCGCAGCACCAAGGACAGGAATATCATTCTTGATCTTCTGTACGCTAGATTCCTCACATAATGCATATGTCCTCCAAGTGCCCCAGCCAGCATGTGCTGGCAACACCCAATCTCCCTTCTGAAAGTTCTCAACACTTTTGCCTACATCAACAACCTCTCCTACCCCTTCATTGCCGACATGAGAAGGCAATTTTGGTCTAATATGGTATGTTCCTTCTATCATGTTGATGTCTGACGGATTAATAGGAGCCATCAACATCTTCACAAGAATCTGAGAGCTTTCGAGTTCTGTTGGCATTGGAATAGATTCTTTTCTTAGAACTTTCCTTGGGTCTCCAAAATCGGAATAGGTAATTGCAAATGACTCTCTGGCGTTACTGGACGATCTTACTTGACACGGCTCTTGCTTACCTACCCATATCTTGTGAAAATTGAAAACACCCGGCGACAGCCGCGTAAACTTTCTCATCACGGCAGCCATCTTCGCGTTTTTGTTCGGAATTTATCGGCAGTGTACTTACAACTAGAATAATAACACCCGAGAAGCCCTGAACATTTAAACCGGAAACGAATAACTTAATCGTCTGCGCATGTGAAAGAATCATAGCAACCCTCAAACAAATATGGCCGCAATGTGATGGTTAGATGTTGTAGTTTACAATTGTAAAGGACTCGCAGGATGTCTAAAGCTGGGAAAAGGGTCAAAAGTGGCTCTGGACAAGGAGGAGCAAAATGGGAACAAGCTCTTTTATCTGCACAGTTTGATGAGGTTTGCTATCATTCTGATCACGAAAATTTGTTCAAATTAATTCATCAAAATAATCACAATGTTAAGAATAATATGTGCTGCTGTCAAAAAACTTCATTTTTCAATTAAGACGATTTTATTTTTCTGCATTATAGCTGAAGTTCTATGAGCCAATATGCATACACCATTAATTGTATCATTGTTGTTATTTGTGAACTGTATCCTACATGTACAGTACATTGCACGATTAATGTATGCACAGAACTTTATCTACCAAATTCAAACCCATTTTTTTTTACCTCATTTGGTCAGAATAATGTTCAAACATAACAGATCATCATTTTAAAGCATACTTATGTGATAACATGATAACTTTACCATAGAATTGATTATATGTACTCATTTTTTTATGATCATTTCAAACAATTTGTCACCCTTGATTTTGAAAGGCTATAACCAGACATTATATGACTAGAGGATGACAACACTGTGTGACTAGTAGATTACTGTTCTAAGTCAAAAGTAAAGCAACTCATTTCTTGCTCTTTGGTTTCCTTTTACATTTTTCACAATGCTTGAAATTTGTTTTGATGGCATGTACATTTATACCTTGCATTCTATTTTCCCGATACACTAAATTAATTGACACAGTCTTCAAGTGAAGAGGATGTTAACATTAGTGGTTTTTGCCGGTTACATTTTTTTTTTCAGTATAGCTAAAATATTGCCAAATAGAAATGTTTGTGGGTACATGAACATGATAACGCATTCATGATAACCTTGTATACAAGAATGATATCTCATTCAATTAAATATCTCACGAATCCCTGAACAAATTTGGTTCATTTTCACACCAGCATCATTCCACTACAAAGATCTACACCTGATTATTTTTTGGTGATCATTGATATCCAGGGGTGGGTGATATATCTATGTAAGCCCTTTTAAGCCCTTTTGCATATTTTTTCATTTAATATGTATATGGATCCCACTCATGTGCTGTATTTGTGCAATTTCAGTATATATAATTATACCAGTGTGAATATATTACAGTAAATCAGGAAAACAATTACTAGAATTATGTTCCTGTATAAGTCCAGTGGTTATGTCCAATAAACACTTATTCCTTCTACTTATTGACTAGAGTTATTAAATTTCTCCTAAAGTATCTATATGCATAATTAGAGTCATGGGATGTTGTCTTTATATTCTCTCACAGGAAAGTTGGAAAGCAAATGTCACTTTTGTTGTTGGGAATAAAGTTGATGACTACACATGGATAGATATCTTGGGATCAACTGTTGCCAGTGGACCTCGCAAATTATTCAGTGTTATATCAAGACAGAAGCTTGAGGAAGAGGTAGGTTTTGCTGCAAGGAAAACATCTTGTTTATTGCATAGATTTCATTGAGAAATTTTACATTTTTCCTGTTTTTTTTTTCTTTTGAGGCATGACCTAACAATAGATTTTAACCCTTTTCTCTAATGTTATTGTGTAAAACAATCAATTATGTATACACAATAGATTTTAACCGTTTTCTCTAATGTTATTGTGTAAAACAATCAATTATGTATACACATATATTACAATATATACCTACTACCCAATGTATAAATTTTTTCGTTCAGTTGTTTTTTCAAAGGGAACTGTAATCACTTTGGTCTTCCTCAAGATTTTATTTACTTGAAGAGTTTATTCAGGCAAATTTGTCTGGTAATTATATTTTAGGTGAGAGAGCTTGGTAATCCTAAAGGCAAGAAACCCAAAGATGTCCCACAGCACTATGAAGTTACAGAGCCTTGTAAAATTCATCTGGATAACAATGAAGACATCCCATTTCCTCTGTTAGCACGACTTATCAAATACAAACTACTGGCAATCAAAGCTGCAGACATTAAAAGGCGTGAAACTGAAAAGAAGGTATACACTTGTAGTCAATGACAATTCAAATATTATCTATCTACATAAGATAAAATAATGTCATTCCAATTTAGCACCATGTCATTCTCCTGCTTTCAACAGAACCATAGAAAAGAGAGATCATTGTAGACAAATTCATTTCGTACATGACAGTATGGTCATTAGTGGTATATATGTTCACTTTCAATGTGAATGTATTCCGTTGTAAGTTAATTGATGAAACCGTGCAACTTGGGAAAAAAAATACTTGAAATGTAGAAATGAAAACATCATGGACACTGTGGAATTATAGATATATTTCTCTCTTGGTCTGTTGAAATAGGCATCAGTTGATAAGGATAAGGCAAGAAAAGGATCTGGTGGAAAGGGAGGTAAAGAAAGAGGAAAATCACCACCAAAGGGAAAAGGAGGCAAAAAAACTCCAGAGCCTCCAGCAGCCAAGGAGGGTAGTAAACTGAGAAAGAGAGGAGAGGAAGATGATGAAGGAAAATACATTGGTAAGTAAGCCCATGATCTTACATGTTTTTGTTTTTTTCTTTCAAAATTCAATCATTTTAAAACATAATTCCAAAGAGAGTAACATTTTAAATGATGATTTGCAGATGATGAACCAGATGATGGGGCCCAGCACTATATCATTGTGTATGGATACAACAGCCCACATCTCATCACACAGCTAGCTGAGCTGAGTATCACTGTTGACTCAATCCTTAGAATTTCATCTCAGGACTACAGCAGATTTGAGGTCAAGGATGAAATTCCTGCAGTAGAGAAGGATGAAAAGACTCAAGGTAATTAATGTGTATTTGTTATCAGAAAAAAATCATAGATGAAATGTTTAACAATTAATTAAATTGACATTTTGAAACACATTATAGATTAGCCAATGTGTGCTTAACACTTTCTCAGTCACAGCAAGCATGCATGTTTGTGAGCACTTGTCACAGCTGTAGTGTCATCATATTTCAAACACTTTGAATTTAATAAGTAAAATCTTAAGGTTGGTGACTAGTCTCTATCTTGTCATTTCAACCAAGCTGATGAATAATTTGCATTTTTCCACAAATATACACAAGAACAAAACTTAATTGAATATCAAAAAATAATTACAGGTAAGGTACTTCTGTCTCCAAAATGAACAATATTTTGTTTTCAGAGTCATATCAAACTTGTCTTTTGTCCCTCTACTTTATGAATTATCATTGTTAGGAAAACTGGATGATACTACTCCTCGTAGTGATGAAACTTTGAGTAAGTCTGTTGTAGATTCAGTTTGTCAGGAGATGGGATGTATTAAATTTTTTTAGACAGATTTTGATGTACATGTACATGGTCAGGAGGTGGGAGATATGTGCTCTAAGCAATTTCATAGTTGTTAAATAACCAATGGCCGGGAGTATTGGTAATGGGTATATACATAACGTGTGGTTATATTCTAACATTTTCCTCATTTTTTTTCCAGAATTGTAACTTGTTTACTAAATTATACACATGTGCTATAGTGGTAGTGTAAGTGTTGCATTGCTTTGAATGAAATTTTAAAGAAATTTTTTATGAATGAAAATGACACCCTTAAAAAGAAATTGGAGAGGACAAATCTCAGTCACCTTGTATATGAATTATTTGGATAATACATTACATTACCAGGAAAAGACAAAGCTGCCCAGAAAGCCGGTATGTAAGAGATGGTGGAGACAGTGATTGTGTCCACAACACCAGTTGGTTGTCGGACCCCAATGAGCACTTTTAGCTCTGCTTCTACCTATCAAATGTTGCAATATTGACATCATTCATTTCATTTGTTTGATTTTCTTTGTACAATTTATTGTTGTATTTTAATAGATTTCATCTTGTTAATGACTTGTTTTTCATTAAATGTTTGCTAACATCTTGTCATTTTGTGTAGTTGTACTAACACATTAAAAACTTGATTTTAAATTGTTTATATATAAAATAACACTAATTTGTTCAATACTGGCAGTTTCTGTCCAATTTTGATGTCTTATTCAATTTCGTTGGTCAAACAGAAGTTTGAGAAGAAGACAAAATGAAACCATAAATTTTTCATATTGGTAGTCATTTGCTTCATGATATTTTGAGAGTTCAACTACATGTCTATATTGCAACATATTGATACACATTGTCTTGTGCTATTGAGCAAGTTTCTGCTTTTTCTTGCAGAGCGTTTTTCAGGTTAAAGGTTAACAATGTAGATTACCAAGTATTAATATAAGCACCAGTAAATGTAATGATAAGTACCGGTAGCTGGTACAGACCAATTCATCGGTGTAAATCAAACAAAATGGAGGACATGAATGGAACAGATACCAGATATTAGATCTATAACCCTCAGTCTGTTAGATTACAGCACTGTACACCAGACCTCCAATTGTCACAAATGTGGTAGGAAATACAATTCTATTATCTTCTTCTTGATAGAATTGTAAATGCTGTACATAACAGTAATCCAGATGTTGTCTTTTAACCTTTTTTCATGTTATTAACACATTCTGTTCTGATCTGTATCCTTAATCGGAATAAGGAATACCTATTGACCATGAAACAATGAGGACATCATACTCAAGCACAGTTTTTTAACTTATCAGTATCTAACTTGTTAAAAAATAAGGATCCTTTGTTCTGCGTAGAATAGAAAGCTAGAATCACATAGACTCCAAATATATTGTCTACATGTCTAGAATACATGTCCACTGCAGTGGATACTTTACGATATCAAGATAAATGCCTCTATCAAGGATTAATGATTATCAAACAAGTATCATTTATATAACCAGAATTATAAATGAGTTAATATCATAACCATTTTGAATCAATACTATCTGGATTATAAAATTTTGTTTGTGCAATTTTAATGTTATAAAGTATAATCAAAACTATCTTTTTTTCAATTCTCATATGAAAATTTTAAAGTATTAAAGAAATCTTTTTCATGAGTAATAATTGATATAATCATTAGAGCTGGTAAAACAAAGTGAAGTGATTTTGTCATCAATAAAATAATGTGATATCAAAACTACTATTATAAAATAATGATGTGATAGTCTGATGCTTTATATTGGTGTTTGGATGTCTGAGTGTGTAAGTGTGTGTTTACCTGTGTAAACCTGTGTAGATCTACCTGTTTAACACTTGCTGTGTATTGATCCCAGTCCTGGAGGAGGTAGAGCGGGCCACCAAACTCAAGATCAAGAAAGACCTCAAGGAGTTTTGGAAGGATGTCCTACTGGTGTTACAGAAACAACCAGATGGTTCCCGACTACACGACATAGCTCGACAGGAGTATGAGGTTAAGAACCTTCTGATACCAGAAGATCTTGAAGATGCTGAGCAGAAGGTAAACATTATTAACATTTTGCAGTATAAGAGTATTGACTTTAGTATGGTAAAGGAACACTTATGTGATTTCTACAATAGGAGTTTAGATGTGATTTTATATTGAATGTGCTCCACTTGAATGGCTGGCATTGTTAAAGTATACCAATCATTTGTCCATTAATGACTGATTGTCAAATCTTTAGTTCAGTGATTTGTGGTTTTGTTGCCTGATGGGAAATGGAGAAAAATAACCAGTCTTTTACAGACTGATCGAATGTTGACAACTGTACATTAAGAAATTTTAAAATGTTAATTGATGTTTTCAGAATGTGTTTGGCTTGGCTATGTTTGAGGATGTAGCTTGTATGATCTATGATCTGATTGATTACCGCCGTCAGTACAAAAACTACCTAGAAAATCTCAAGCTTCTTCATGTACCAATGTTCGGTCAAGCAGCACCTCCTGCACAAGGTGAGTTTGAAACAGTTGTTTTATGGGTACATAGAGATTCTTGTTATAGTGTACCCAGAGGTTCTAGTTGTAGGGTACACAGAGATTCAGTGGGGTACATAGAGAGGGTACCCAGATCTATACTTTTATTGGTACACAGAGATTTTGTGGGGTACATAGAGAGGGTACCCAGATCTATACTTTTATTGGTACACAGATTTTGTGGGGTACATAGAGAGGGTACCCAGATCTATACTTTTATTGGTACACAGAAATTTTGTAGGGTAAACAGAGATTGTATATGTACACAGAGCTAGAGATTCTACTGGGTACATGCAGGTTCTGTAAGACAGGTTTTCATTGAGCAGTTAAACATGAAATAAGCTATTGAGAGTCATGCTATGGGTTATTTACAATGTTGAACCTTATGGTATGAACGGTGTATAAAACCTTCGATGAGGAAAAATAAATAGGTCAGCTAGATTCTATGTAATATTAAACATGATGATGTTACTTCCCAGAGGAACGCCCAGCTGTGTCAGGTGCCCCTACCCCATCTGCCCAACAACCTCCTGCCCCCAGTGTGCCCTCTATCCACCCAGACATGCTGGAGGTTGCCCCACAGGTTGATATGAGGTTCTACAATGACCTGATGAGTTGTGTGCCCCAGGAGAGTGTCAGTGTGTCACTTGTCATGCACGCCATGCTGGATCAGGTGAGTCAATGAATATATACAGTTACTGATACTAGACACTTGTATTGTAATTACAAGGTCAGTCTTAGATCTAGAGTCATCAAAGGGTCATATCCATTTGTGTTGTGTTTATTGCACACCAAAATAATATTTTTCCATATTGACTATATTAGTTAATCAAAGGATGTATATTTTTAGATGGTAGTAGCTGAATATTGTTGGTCATGTTTGTAGGTGGTAGCCACTGAGGAGAATATTGATCCCCCAAGTGAACAGCTTCCTCCCAAGAGACAGGATGGCCTCAACTCTGAGCTGGCCGCTCACATCAGTGGCTTGGCTTTCAAACTTGCTCTTTCAGAGGATGAACAGAAGGTATTGTCATATTATTGCATGGTTATTGAACTTTTGTCGCAATGCTATTTAATTGTTTTATTAATAACATTCATATGAAAAATAACTGTGACCATTGAAGTATTTTCTGTTTTAAATTAATTTTTTTACTTTCTAGATTCTGTCTGATGTATTTGATGCTGAAGAGCAACCCCCAGAAACACCAGGTCAGCCATTATTAATGAACTTTCATGATAAAATCTCAGCCAGAACCAATCATCTTAAAAAGATCTTCAACTTTAACCCTGAGGAAGTAGAGAAAGACATGCTCAAGCGCCTGCCATTTGCTTCTCTGACACACATTCCTCGTCCTGGATCTCGCATTGCGAGGGAGCGTGCCGCCAGACTCCAAGAGCTGATACATTTCTGTGCGACAGGAGGACTATCACAATCAGGTAAAATCTTAATAAAAAAATTTGAAAAATATGAAGGAGATCATTTGTATGTGCCCACCCATTCTATGAGGAGAAGAGAGGCATATGTTGTTACTTACATTCTTCCAATTGCAACATATCAAAACATCCATTTCAGTGTTACAGCTCTGATCAGCTTCATTCTGAAAAAGAATTTGATGAAAATTTGTGTATATGAAGATCTAATAATGAGAATACCTTTTCAAAATGAGTTGTGCATAGACAAGGAGGCCATTCCTGTATATAGAAATCTGTTGTACAGTGAAATGCTATGATGATTATTACATGGTATAATTACTTTATCTTCAGAGATTGACCGAGCATTCAAACAGTTTGTATTTGAGAGTATGGACCTTGCCAGTACAGATCCAAATGGGTTTATCATCACACGTGATAGCGAAGGGGTTGAACACTCAGCCATCCCTTGGGATGATCCCTACCCCTTTTTTAAGGGAATGATACCGACCCAGATAAAGGGGGTCAAGGATGAGATAGATGTGCGGTCCTCGAGATCAGGTAACTTTTTCAACAATATAGGATTTCATCTATATATAGATAATCTGAGATCTCACTTGAAGTAAAAACAGTACATTTTATTATTAGAATATGAACTTTTGTCAATTTCATTACCATGTGTTATTTTCTTTTTATCTTTTTGTGATACTTTTAACATAAAAAATGACATATTTTTAGGGAAATATTAAAAATGTTCTGTGTTATGAATGTTTGGTGATATTGTTCAATTTACTCAGAGGTTTTTCAGAACTTGTTTCATTCCAGTTTTAGTTAGATAATTAAGATGCACTCTGTATTTACACATGTGCAAATTCTATACCTGTGTGCTTACATGTGTACACCCTATACCTGTGCGCTTATATGAGTACACCCTACATCTGTGTGCACACATGTGTACACCCTGAATCTGTGCACACACACATGTACAAGTCCCACACACTTGTACTACACATCCTTCCTGTACTTACATTTATTTACCTAGCCTTTACACAGCCTCAGTTGTTGTGAAGGTATACAGCAGGTGTTATAAGATATGATAGTTATCAACACTGTAAGACAGGCTGTGGAATCAATAAACATGTCTGAGTTTTGTATTTCAGTCAGAAAACCAATGTAATATCAGACTTGGATTAGTTATATGATCAATAGCCTCATTCTTATAGCGTAGATAACAAATTTGTCATCCTTCATTTTTAATTCCATTGTAATTTCATCATTTTTTTTCTTTATTTTTCTTAGAATCAAAATAAGCACACTTAAGTTTCTAAAACCTGAGTGATAACTTTTGTTTCACTTCTTCTAATTAAAAGAGGATAAACTAGCACAATGTAAATTTTGTGGAATTTTTTTCCAAAAAACTACTATTTTGTTGGCACTTGAGTTTTTGGACAAATACATAAATGTAATGCTCAAGAAATCTACTGCCACTGATTTCAATATCTATTAGATTTGTGGACATATAATCAGAAATCTTCCGACTGGGAGTGTACCCATGAAATCAACAAAAACATAGTAATTGGCAAATGTAAATGGGTAATTCACAAATTTGTTTTGAAGGATGGCAGTTGCATATGTCAGAATGTTTGGTTCCATGCAGTTGTTCCATGCTTGGTTAGAGTTATCTAGTGGTTAGTGGAAATTTTTATGATCATTATTACTGAAAAAACAATGAATTTGAAAGCAAAATTGACAATAAGGGTGAAAAAGACATCAACATATCTGTAATGCTGTTGCATGATAAAGAACATACACAGTTTTGTTAAATTCGTGTTTGAAAATTTTTGCTTATCACTGGTTAATTCATACCAAGCATCTCGACCCTGGATGCTTGTTTGGCATGTCAATAACAGCATTCTATGACAATGTAAAATGATATGTGTATATGGTTAACTTGATTAACTAAATACTTTATTTGCTGTGAGTGTTGGAATTGTACTGAATTACCTTACAACCTATTTATCCATTAACAAATAACTGTGAAAAATATTTTTTCAAAGAATAGACACTAAGGAAAACTTTTGCTGCAAAAGTCCATTTAGAAGAAAGTTTTATCACTTTCAAACCTCTGTGGTCATTTCTTTAAAATATGAAGGTACTAGTTTTGTATATCAAAATATGTACAATAAAGAAACAGGAATCATTTTGTCAGTGCTAATACCTATTCCTCATTACACCATGAATATCCCCATGTATTGTTGATGTATATACAACATATTTGCCTCTAGACTGTGAGTAGTGGAAGTTTAATTGACACACAACAATCTATGTGTTTGTTCATGTACATATGTATCTGTGTTTTTGTTACCACAGTCACTATCAATTTGATCCCATGTAAGTTCACCATCTGCCATATTCATTCATTTTTATGAATCACCATACTTACCTGGAAAAGCTTGTTCCTGTTTGGATGTAGACTGATCACACCATGTATATTGTACACCCACCTGCACAGTTCAATTACCCATAGTTCTTATATTTTATATTTGTCTAAGGGAAACTATTTTCACAATAAATATTTACAATATATATAACATTTAATCATTAGAGTCAATGTTAAATTTTCATTACCTATTCTTATTAACAATTTTTATATAATTAATTTGCCTCACAATTTCTCAAATCATCATATCACTTTCAAAATACACAAGCTAGAATATACATAATGCCTATGACTGAATTCTGCTGGAAAAATTCAAGATCATGTCTTGATTTTTATTATCTATATGTATTTTAACATTACCTGTACTTTTGCTTGATAAACCCTATTTTGACACCCCACCAGAATTCTATTCATGCTTGAGAGAATTCATATCCTGCATTTTTTTCTGTTCTATTTCTATATGCTCCTATATATATTTACTAACCGGATATATTTTATTTCTTGAATAATATATTTGTAATATTCCAGATGCTTACTATGTTATATGCAAACATATGTGTATTTAACCAGAACATACCTTCTATTCAGAAAATGTTTTCTTGCTTGACAACAATTTTTTTTCCAACATATTAAAATTTATTTTTACAGTGACAGTTATGTCGCTTTACTCGGACCAGTCAGGTACATGTTTGGTGGACGACTGTGTATATATATATATGATATATATTTGATGTGATTTTGTGGTCAGTGGGGTAATCAATCTATATTCTCCTGGTCAATGTCATTCATTTCTGATCCCATTAACACAGACAAGGAAAATCGCATTGTCTATTCTTCTGTAGTTAGGATCATGTTCTGATAAATTGCTTTAAAGTGCTTGTACTTGACTTACAAGGAAATCAAACTATATATAGATTAAAAGGAAAGTCATCCTTGAAAGAAATTAACCCAATTATAAAAGTATCTCAAGTCATCATGTTATCCTTATGTTTTATTTTCCATTTGTCTATTTTCTCGTTCTGTTTTTTTTTTTGTCCTGTCAATAGTTGTTCCTAATTATAGTTGTTCCTAATTAGTGCAATTTCTAGAAGTTGACCTGAGAGAGATGTATAAAGCCCTTTGTTGTTGTTGTTATTCAGTTGTTTGTAATTTAGAAAAGACAAGTTCATAAGGATTAATCACAACAGGCTATGATATTGATCCCTATGAACTGATGTAACATGTCTTGTCCGTTGCCCTGCTTACCTTGTCATGATGAGGGGTTAAGTGTCACAATTGTAGACATGACGGCGTTTGCTTTACACTTCCTTACCTGGATTTGAAAGTTAGTTGTCAGTGTTTATGTTTTTATGTTGTCACATTTAACTGTCAATGAAAACACTAGACTGTGTGTACAGTAAATGTAAATACTGTCTATAGATTTGTCTTACTACAGCACATGGAACAGTTACTGTCCGTCGGTCCATTAGAAAATTGTTTTGTTTCACTGGCATTGATATTGCCTTTGTTCTGTTTCAATGTTCACACATATGTATATACCAATCTCAAACAACCAGGAAATGTTTTTCATAACATTACAAATTATTTGTTTTCATTTCTCTTGAACAATGAGCTTTTTATATTTTATTTTGTTTAGAGACTGATAAATTAATTGTTAGCTTTTGAGACAAGTTTACAACCTTCTATATCAATACCAAATTAATGAAGCAAAACTATTTGGGACAAATTTCAGGCTCTTTAGTGTTGATAGCATGTACTGGGTAAATCTGTCTTGAGATAATTAAGCTGTTGACAGGAAAGTGTCAAGGAAAATTTGCCTAGAGCAATCAGGATACCAAATGACAATCTGAAAAAATCTTAACTAAATTAATCTTTAATACTTTAAATAATAATGATTCCTTTCTGCATGTGTAAGTACTACCATGGGTTTATGGTTCTAATGTGTTGTTTTGCTTGAAACAATAACCAATTGTCTGTTCTGTCTTCTAACCTCTTTGTTCCATCACAGGGAGTTTAAGCGGGTTATCAGACCTGATAGATTACTCTTTGCCTGGTACTCCTTCACCTCCCCCTCAACCCTCCGGTGCTCCTGATAACAACACACAACTCCAGAAGTCTGTCCATGAACCTGAACCGCAGGCTCAGCCTGTAGACAAATGCCCTGCAGAGAACAAGTCACAGAAGTCTAGATCTAGGACGAGAAAGAAAAGTAAAGTCGTGTAGTTAAACAGCGCTGGTCATCTTTCCATGGAATGACCAGGCTGATTTGTTGTGGACACCACTGTTTTAGGAGATAAAAGTTTTAGTTATAGACCAAACATTAGGTTCTAGGTTTTGTTCCTATTGATCAAGTGTTTGTTATCTAGCAGGTGCATGAAGATTTTATCATTTCAAGATTTTAATCCTTTATGCTTTTAATGAGTGAAGGAACTAAACCAAAAGTCAGATTTCATATATCTTTTCTCTTTAACATTTTCCCCTGTGATTTCCATGCACCTACTTGATATCATATTCTATCTATAATGCACAAGCTTCACGCTAGTTACACATTTGTATTTTCTTCATCTTCCATCTAAATGATTCTTTCTAGCCAGTTTTTCTCTGTTTTTCTTGCATGATCTTATTTCTAGAAGTACAAAATTTAATTTTGAGATTTAAATGAAATTTAATCTGTAATGCATGTTGCTTTTGGTTTTTGTGGATGTCTTCTAAATGATTTGGTGGTGGATATGAACTTTGATGTAGTCATTTAATTTTAATCTTGCTATACGTGTGAAATTCAAGCTGCAGCAGTTTCTGTAAAAAGATGCCACCTGATGATGTATAACACTCAGATGTAGTGTGTATAGTAAGAAATCTGAAATTCACTACTTCTAAGATATTTACAAAAGTTTGCGTAAACTAAAGTTGGGTTGTACAGTATATAGATGTCTTTTTGGTTGTTGTTGTCTTGCAGCCTCTGGATAATATAGACAAATGTTTGGACAGTGCTTGAAATGGAATATCTGTGAAACATTAATCTATTTAGGAATCAAAAGAACATATGAAATAATTAGTTATGGGGACTTTATCATACTGTTCTTTAAATTTCTTTGGCTTCTCTTAATATTCAAAATTTCTTTTTAATAAAAAGATATTATGATAATGAATAAAACATAATTATTAATAATGAAAATAATAATAATGACAACTACATGCAATAATTTACAATATCTCAAGTATTATCCTGATGCAGTTTTACATCTGAACAAAACCAATATGTTACCTTGCATGCTGTAAACAGATATTATGCATGCTGCTTTCATTGCGATGGAAAATTTAAAAAGCCAGTTCTAAATTTTCAGATATGACTAAGAAAAAAAACCACTTCAGAATTTAGAGTTGGATATAGAAACAGTAGAATTTAGACTAGAAAGCATGCATTGTAGAATTTAGATTGTATAAAGCAAATGTTGAATTAGATATAGCCTTATTAAAACAAAAACATGAGTACTTCAAGATCATTTCAAAATTTTACTTAGGTCAAGCATGTCATTAAAATCAAAAGCAACTAAATGCATGTACTTGTATAAAGTTTGTTTACGAGGAAAACTCTGCTTATTTTCAAATGTAAAGTAATTAACACTAGACTTTGATTTTTGTGGCAACTAAAAAATATTGAAATTGTGAATTAAATATGAAGTGTTTTATCTTAATATTTAAAATTTGTATTACGTGTGTAATTTTCTCTGATGTTTGATGTGATTTAATTGGTGGAATAGATAGAGACAGGTTTCTAGAATGGTGCAGAGATTGGTAACAATGTATATCAAGTCACAGTATGATCCAGTAAATTTACAATGTTACAATAGTAATACCAGAAAGATGATCATGACTTTATCATGATATAACACTTTCCATTGTGTATTTCCAATCTCTTTGCCATTTTATAAACACTGGTGATGTGGCACATTGTACATGTAACAACATGGCTTAGTAAGATTCATGTAAGGCCCCTTCCTGTTTAGCAGCAATGTCTCCAACAACAACCAAGAGTATGAAGACAGAGGAAAAATCTGTGTCTGTTGGGGACCAGAAGGATGGTTCACGACCTTCTAGTACAGACAGCAAGAAAGGCATACTGCGACCTCCTTCAAGGTCAAGGTCAAGTTCTGGTGGCCACAGATCAAGGAGTAACTCAGGTCAGTGTCAAGGTCACATTAATTTTCAGGGATTACAATTCAGGGAAATGAAAGGAGTTAGGTATTGATAGAAAGTATCGAAAGTACATATACTGTAAAATGTTAAACAGTAAAATTTGAGAATGATTGCAGTGTTCCTTAAAAACAATACTTTATGGTAATAATGTCTGTTGAAATAAGTAAATTACTTAACAACCACAACTTAAAACAACAGTACATCACTGGTAACATTTCTGTTGTGTGGAAATGATCAATGTAAGGCTTAACTTATATGTTACTTATCCTTAGCTATGTTATCACTTATACATACTCTCAGAAATACCTATACACTGCCCTATTATATAGGTTTGTATTGTTGTGATAATAAAAGCTGTTTGTTACACTGTTACAGTTCACTTTGAGAAGGATGAGGAAGGTAAGCCTATACGTCACTATGAGGAGGAGGATGAGCTGGATATTGTTGAGACAGAGCCAGACAAGACCACTGACGAGAGTCTCATGGAAATTGTGGATGCTCAGAAACGCAACCTAGACCAATGGTGTTTTGCGGAACATTATGAACCAAACGTCCTTTTACAGGTAATGAACGTGCTAGTTAAGTGTATAAGTAGGTCAGTGGTTAAGTGTATCAGTTGTCAGTGGTTAAGTGTATCAGTTGTCAGTGGTTAAGTGTATCAGTTGTCAGTGGTTAAGTGTATCAGTTATCAGTGGTTAAGTGTATCAGTTATCAGTGGTTAAGTGTATCAGTTATCAGTATTTAAGTGTATCAGTCAGTGGTTAAGTGTATCAGTCGTCAGTGGTTAAGAGTATTAGTTGTCAGTGGTTAAATGTATCAGTTGTCAGTGGTTAAATATATCAGTCAGTGGTTAAATGTATCAGTTGTCAGTGGTTAAGTGTATGAGTTGTCAGTGGTTAAGTGTATGAGTTGTCAGTGGTTAAATGTATCAGTCAGTGGTTTAGTGTATCAGTAGTCAGTTGTTCAATGTATCTGTAGCCAGTTGAGAAGTGTGTCATCTATGGGAAATTTACAGTTTACTGTTGTATGTAAAGGACAGATAATAAGGTTTGAGATACTCTGTAAATAGTTTGTTAAATCCTGTAAATAGCATGTTTATTGTATCACAAATGATTAGTTAATGTAAAATTGAACAGAAATAATGTCATTTTTCCTTTTACAGATCATCAAGGAAGCTTCCTTCTTGCTTCCATTTATGGATATGTACTACCACAAAAGAGACAACTCACTGATGTTAGTCCTCCACAACCCGTCCAGTCTGGAGCTTCAAAATCATGTTGACTGGCATACAGAACTTCACTGTAACCTTGGATTCAGGTACATTGTACTTAAACAATTGAATCTCTGAAATTTACATATCATGTCAGCATGGTTATGACTCATTTTATCATATAATTGATATTTTTGTGAAAGACATCATGTTTGTTAAGAAAAAGGTGAGGAGTCTCGGTGAAATGAATTATTCTATGTAAACTGAAACATTCTGATAACTGATGAAGAGGTTTTCTTAACTTGATTTTGTTGGTCGGTAGGAATTACATGGAGTGTGTAGCTGAGTCAATAGCTGACTGGAACAAGGAGGAAGAGGCTAAATACCAGGCTATCCTCCTGTCTAAAGAGCTTGTTAAGATGAGGGATGATGAGGAGGCAAGCATTAAGTCTGCAGAAAAAGCCAAGGGCCGCAAGTCACCTCGTAAATCACCAAGTAGGTCTTCGTATTAGCAGCTAATATCTTTTTCTCCTGTATTTTGTTATTGTTCCTTAGAATAAACAGTTGTTTCCATGTGAGGATTTAGAATCCACTTCATCAGAGTGATGATCTGGTCTCCATTACTTATGGCTTATTAACGTTGGTTGGTAAAACTTTCAAATTATGAAAAACCATACAGTTGATATATCAAACTTTTCTACAATGATATCTTTGTGAATCAGACTTGACTGTTAAACTGCTTTTGTGAATCAGACTTGACTGTTAAACTGCTTTTGTGAATCAGACTTGACTGTTAAACAGCTTTTGTGAATCAGACTTGACTGTTAAACTGCTTTTGTGAATCAGACTTGACTGTTAAACTGCTTTTGTGAATCAGACTTGACTGTTAAACTGCTTTTGTGAATCAGACTTGACTGTTAAACAGCTTTTGTGAATCAGACTTGACTGTTAAACTGCTTTTGTGAATCAGACTTGACTGTTAAACTGCTTTTGTGAATCAGACTTGACTGTTAAACTGCTTTTGTGAATCAGACTTGACTGTTCAACTGCTTTTGTGAATCAGACTTGACTGTTAAACTGCTTTTGTTAACTAGACTTGACTGTTAAACTGCTTTTAACTCTTATTGTTTGTTCTTAAATTGATAGGTCGCTCCAAAAGTCCTGGTAAGAACTCGCGTTCTAGTAGCCAGGAGCGCCCCTCATCAGCTGCCAGTAACATGTTTGTCAGAGCTAACTCACTAAAGGCCTGGAAGGAAGAACAAGATAGAATAAAGGCTGAAGAGGAGGAAAAGGAGAGAGAGAAAAGTGCAAAACGAGTGAAATCAGGCAAAAAGGTATGTTATGTTTCTGATAGTTTTACACTGACAGTTCTAGCCTCGGAACATGTATTAGTTTATTATCATGTTGCTATTAATCATAATTTCAAAACAAAACTTTTAATGATACAAACGGTTACCTCTGTGACAGGCTGAAAAAGAGAAGGAAGACAAAAAGGGACCAGGATCAAGGGCCAGTGCCAAGTCTAAGACATCTGCTAAAGAGCCCGTAGACGATCAGCCCAAGGAGGATGGAGATGCACCCCCTGTGGAAGAAAAATACTGGCCGGTATGTGTTCATGTAATTGACTATCTCATGCACAGTAATTGATCAAATCAATTCATCTGATCTGCTTTTTCTGCAATTTCTGAATATGTAGTCTGTAGATATTCAACATTTAGATTTACATGCTATTTACATTTGCAGAATTACTATATGTATGATGAGAATGACATTAGAAGACCCTTTCAATACTCAATTGATTTACGATCACTTTCACTCTCTGCACCCCTGGAAAATGTCTTGGCAAAATTGAAGGTTCCAAGTGAAACACCTAGTGGACAAGACAAAAAGACTAGTTTGGTCTTTTGATGTACATTAAACAAATCTTTGGTGTTGCTCCTTTGTAATCTTTAAAAGGAATGATCAGTATGTCATTGGTCAGTTGTTTTCTCTTGGAACCAATCAAAGTACGTACTTTGTTTGTGCCTTCAATTTTGCCACGACATGTGCCAAGGGTGCAAAGACCCCCTGGAGTATTGAGGATGTAGAAGACTGTAAAGATGTTTTATTGATCCTGCAAATTTTAACTTAGATATGGACTTCATTGGTTTATCTAGTTCACTGGATATGATGTGGGTAACAAACTGATCCATGTGGCTGGGATGACAACCACCCTTTTCCCATCGGATGGTGGCCAGATCAGGACTGAGAAGTTGGAATTTGCACAAGGCACCAACTCTATAAAGACATCTGTGTTGAAAGATGGACATGTGTTCTGTGTGCATGTCATCGACCCAAAGGAGGGAGGAGAGGACAGTGAAGAGGAAGATGAAAACAAAGAGGAGGTTGAGAAGTCCGAACATGAGAAATCAGAGAAGGACCAGGGTACGTATATGGGGGTCAAGGTCAACTTTAGATAATGCAGCATTAGAAACAAGATATACCTCTGAGAGTTATTGTAAATTTAGGTCAGCAGCTTTTTCAAGGAGTTACCTGTTTATGGCTGTAATATCAAAGTTCAAGGTTTTGGAACAGTTGCACTGAGGAGATATAGGGATGTTCCTGGATATAATATAGATCCTTGTCAGTGCTCTAGCAGCTTCACTCCTTGAGGGGTTTTGATAAAAATTCACTTACTTATTTGGGCCATAACATCTTTTACAAATTCAACTTAGGTTGTAGGGTCAAATATCAAGGTAAAGGATTTTTCAACAGTTCTTTTTTAATCATGATGAATGTCAGGAGGCAGAAATAGGAATGTTCCCATAGGTCATGCATGTAATATATGTAACTTTACACTTATCCTTGTCAGCATTCTAGGGGCTTCATTTCTGGGGATTTTGATCAAACTTCACAAATTAATAAAGGAATATAAAATATTATACAAGAATGAATTTCAGGATTCTGGGGTCAAGGTCAAGGTCAAGGTCACTGTTATGATATTTATGAAATCTTGTTGTCACGCTATTGCTTCTTTTCTCAAGATCATTTTAAATTTTTTTTAAAGTCCTTCTCAGCAATCAAGCAGCTTCATTTCATGAGGGATTTCAATCCAACATAATACACATATAAAACACCAAAATAATATAGACAAGCCTTAGTTTCAAGGTTATAGGTCAAGGTCAAGGGTACTGTTATTATTTTCAAAAGTCTGTCAGCACTCTAGTTACTTGTTAGTGGAGGGATCTTGATGAAACTACACACACTTGGCTATCTTCTTTGTTGTGCTCAAATTAGGGTGAAACCACAATGATATTTGTATCGTTTTCAATGCCATGTTGAAATTGATGTATATAATTATAATATTTTTTAAAAGATATTTTGTGGTACAGTAGGTCTGGTAAAGTCATGTTTTGTATACTGACAATAGAAATTAGAACACTTTGTTATGTAAAAATGTAGACTTTTATGTTTTGACTGTTTTTTATAGGTGATAAGATGACCAAAGATGGAGATGCTGGGAGTACAGCAAGAAGTAATTCTACCAAATCTGAGGAAAAGAAAACAAAATCAGTCAGTGCTTTTGGTAGCATAACTGCTAATCTGCAGGATGGAATGACTCTGTCACTCAGTCAGTTTGGTTCTAATGGAGTTTCCCAGGATGGTCAGTATACCTGTTTGTGATGTTGATTGATGGTTATAATTGAGAAAGTTTTCTTATCATAGACATGTTTCTTCTGCAGATAGAAATCTTTATCTTATCACTTAGGGTTTAGTCATTGGTACAAACAGATAAAAGAATTTAGTTTAAACAGTGAATGGATGTGTGTTTAAATCATGACCTCCATGGAATTCTAAAAATAAAAAGATTTGCTCTAAGAAATATCACTTACACAACTGTAGTCAATAAATAAAACTGACTTTGCAGGTAAGAAATATGAGCCAAAGGTCTATATTCCACCACCCACCACTCCAAGTCCTGTACCACCACCATCACCCACAAAGAGTAAAAAGGGGGACAAGGGTAAAGGAGCCCCAACACCAGAGGCCCCACCTCCAATCACAGTAAGTATCCAGAGACTGAATCAAATAAAGTCTTTAAACTCTCTGAAAAGTGTAAATATTATCTTTAAATCCCATTCACTGTCAATACCAAGGGAAAGTCTGTGGAAAAATCTGACAGTTTCTGAAAAGTGTAAACAATATTGTAAAAATTTTAATCTGAGTGAGTCTTCTATTTATTGAATGAATTGAAACTGAAGGAAAAGAAGGTTTTCAAATTAAAAATATGAAAGCAAAAATCATCAGATATGTGCATCTAAATTAGAGAGTTTTTAAGTTGCATCTCCTGTAATTTGTAGCCTCTAGAAACGGAGAAAGAAGAGGACCAGGAGGAAAAGAAGGATGAGGAAAAGCCAGTGCTTCAGCCCTTCCAGCAGTTGTATGTTAGTGCACCTGATGGCCTCAGTGTAAAGTACATGCTGGAGAGTTCTGTTGGTACGTGGAAATTCCAATGTTAGACTGAAAGTTGGAGAACATACCACTATCAGTAATGTGTACAGTTGTGGTCAAGATAGATATAAAAGCAAATTTGACACTCCTAGTCACTTTCAATTGTTTCGTAGTTGTCGATACATTGCCATGGTTTTTGTCCTTTAAGATTTAATATAAAAAATGAAGGTCATAATTTTTTTGTAAGGCCAACAATATACCATATATAGAATACTAAATGTATGAGCAAAAGTCATGTGAATTTCCTGTTTTGTTGCCAGGTATGAAGCCGTTGTCCGATGATGACCGCCGTCTGCTCATAAAGCAGAGTTATCCCTTTAAGACACGGGGTGAACAGCCATGTGAAGCCATGCGAAGAAAGTATGCCTTGTCAGAACAATCACGAATCATCACATCAGAAGGAACAGTGGTCAAAAACATGATGGATGGGTCTATTGAGGTTTGTTTGGACATTCAAGGACACAACTTTTGCTTAAAAAAGTCAAAGTAATTTTAAATATATCATATCATATAAGTGAAACAAGGAATATGTTATTTATGTAGGTGCTGTATGATACATTGTTAGGAATCTGATGTACCCTGTAGGTGCTTTGTGATACATTGTAAGGAATCTTTGGCCTATGTAGGTGCTGTATGATACATTGTTAGGAATCTGATGTACCCTGTAGGTGCTTTGTGATACATATATTGTACCCTGTATGAAACAAGGAATATGTTATTTATGTAGGTGCTTTGTGATACATTGTAAGGAATCTTTGGCCTATGTAGGTGCTGTATGCAGATGGTACAGTAAGTGTTCACACTGGTCCTTGGATAAGCAAGCGAAGTAGCAGTAGTTCCCCCCAGAGAGTGGGAAGTGCCCGTAGTCAGACTGGGGAAAGAGCAGAAACACCCACCAAGAAAGCAGGTAAGAACTCAAAAGTGTTCCAAAGAAATATAGTATGCAGTGAGTGTTTTTTGTGCCAGTTTTCTTGTACATTGTAATATATCTATCTAATATTGACAGTAGTGTACTTGAACAGCGTATAAAAGCTATATTACAATATACAAGCTCTTGTTATTGGAACAAAACATTACAAAGCTTTATTGGACTGGATATTGAAAAATTGCTCTTGTACAGTTTATCAATAATGTTTGTAACAGCAGCCAGTGCTAAGGGAAAAGCCAGCAAGTCACAGGACAAGATTGCAGAACAGGCTCCAGAGGAGGAGGTGCCAGAGAAAAAGAGCATGTGGATCACTACTTATCCTAATGGAGAGAAAATCGCCTGTAAAAGTGATGGCAATGTAGAGGAACTCAAATCTGTCATGGTCAGTTTGGCCTCTGACCCCCAGACAAGCCAGGTATGCTTTTGTAATTGATAAAAAATGGCATTTTCTATGTAAATCGCAAATTGATCTCAATTAGACAATTGGGTTTGCTTATATTAAACATTGTATCCTAATTGATTGGAAGTACTGAACATTGATCAACAAATTTAACAGGAAGTTCTTTTCTCTATGTAGTCCATGGCAACACGGGATGACCATGTGATCACTATAAGTTACCCTGACGGTACTACAATCATAGAACATGCAGATGGTACAAGAATCACCACATACTACAAGGAGAACCAGATATCTAATGGGGATGAGGAGTTTGAGGATAATGGTACTTACTTTCTCCAGTACATACATTTACATGGGAAAATAAGTAATTTTTAAAAATGATGAAAAAATGCTTTCAATACATTACATATATGTAAGTTGTAAATATCCATATGTACGGTACGAGTTGTACTTCCCAGTCAAATAATGAGGGTTTGATGATTTATTATTGAGCAAAAGAATTAAATGCTAATGTGGTTTCAGTCATCAGTGGTATACAACAATATGTTGGGTTTTTTGGAGGGTTTTTTTTATTGACGTTTCAGATTCATATTTTCTTGTCATTTTTTCAGATATAAAAGAATTTGAAACTCAAACAGTGAAGTTTGTGAAGGTAGAGTGTCCTGCATATGCTACAGTAGAATTCAACTGTTTAACAAGTGAGAACTTGACCATATTTGGAAATGGCACAACCATCAATGTATTCCCAGATGGATACTACATGTTACACCAGCACGATGGTGGGCGTGTAGAGGTGGATATGGAGGGCACCCTCACCTACTACCCTCGTCCAATCAGAAATATGGAACAGCTGCTCCCTGAGAGAGAACTACAATACATCCTGTGTCACAATGCAGATGTAGTTGTGGAAACTGTTGACTCAGATGGAAATGTATTTAATGTAAAGAGTAATGGGGATTTTACAGTGATCCCTGTTAATGGAGATGCACTTTCTGAATCTAGTATGGATGAAGGTAAAGGCGATAAAAAATTGACTTCTTATAGAGAACATGCTCCCCGATTTTTCATTCTTCATTCTGATGGAAGTGGTACAGAACTGTTACGGTACCAAGATGTTGCAGAATATATCAACACTGCTGAGCACAGTCCTGCCACAGCAGTCCTTAAGGATGACCTTCCCGATTATCCTGGTGTCCAAGGGATCACCGTTCTCAAGCCATATCTTGGAGGCCCATCAGAGAAATTCTTTAAGAAATATGACCAGGAGTCCATAATTCCTCCAGGCATACGCTGTAGAGATCTTACAACCCTTCCTCCTAAGGAATTCAAAACTCCTGGACCAGGCTATGGAAAAAACCTGGGTCAAGGCTTGTCTGTGGGAGCAGCAGTAAGACAGCCAATCAGGATTCCCATATTAAAATGTCCGAACATCCTTGAACTGAGACAACTTATACAGTACAAACCTGTGTCAGGAGGTCTCAGAGAGAGGTAAATATAGATACATACACAAATACCTATACATTGGTATTTCAGTAGACTACACTGTATTACCTGATGGGACTAAATATAATAATTTTGAACTTTATTAGTCATTAATTCCTACAGATCATTCAGGTCTTGTATCTTGTAATTTGTTTTCTACTTTTTATTTACCGAATGTTATGAAAGTAATTCATTATACAATGGTTATAAGTACACTAATGATAGATACTAATCATTTCTGATTTGAAAGACAAAATTAGTGCAAGGAAAAATGTTTTTTGGCAGTGATAGACGAAAAACTCCAGGCTCAGTTTCTCACTGTACACTCACTGATTTCTTTGATAACTTTCTTTGTAAAACTGTTGACAATTCTTCAGTTTTTTGAAGCAAAATGTTTTGCTTAGATTTATAATATAATCTGACTCAAGTATGCAGTTGAAACAGAGTAAAGTTTGTATATGTCAGAGATCTATATAACGGTATATTTGATGTCTACACAGCCTGCAGGCAGGAGTAAAAGAGTATGCTGAGTTTGTGACGGAGAGAAACAAGGTCACTAACATGATGCAGGTAGTTGATCCAAGGACAGACGAGGAAAGGATACATGCAGCAGACCTTACAGAGATTGGTCTCCAGACAGCTCAGCGGGAACTTCCACAGTATGAGCCTGGTAAGGTCAAGCAAATGTTCATATCTAAATTAAGGTTCCTTGGAACAAAAACATTCAACTGTAGCTTGTTTGCAAAACTTATAGTATATTATAATATATGTTATTTTTTTCAAGATTTCTGAAACAAAACTTCTTTGATGATAAAACTTGCAATATTTCAGCCGATATCAAAGGCATCTATGAGAAGGTGACAGCACCCCCGGTACAAAGTCCTCCCCCAACTCCTCAGCCCAAACGCACCATGGCTGACTGGGAGCGGGACCAGCGTGAGATGAACCAGGAACTAGATGGAAGAGATGCACTCAGAAAGAAGAGAATTCCTACCTACTTTGACAGTGAATTTGGAAAGGCCTTCCTCCTTACACAGGTCATAAACAATTTCCTTGATAAAGTGAAATCTTCAAGAAAAAAACTGTATTTATCTTCATGATGTGGCATGCTGTAAAAAGTTTTTTGTTGAAAAATGTAAATAACATTATGTTCTTGACTAGGTGAAAAAAAATAGTTATTTTGCATAAATCCTGGACATTCTATGAAAACAACACTGGCCCTCCCACACAGCATTTAAATTACATGAGTATATTGACTGCATAATATATATACTTATAGAGCCTTTGTCTTTATCACTGTAATGAATTGTGGAGAAAATGTGGACATTCATTAATCCCAGAATATTCCATTGAAACAAATAGGTTTACTTTGTAATGATGACTAAATTTAAAACACTTTTCTGTTTAACAGGCTAAGGATGTTGATGAGATTTTACAGCAGTTGACAGAGGACCCAAGAAAGGATGGCACAGAAGCTGTCCGGGGCAACTCGTCTAGCCAAAGTAACAACCCTCAGCAAATCTCCCCTGATACCAGTGCATACCCAGCACGATGTAAGCTCACATTAAATCTGTTGTAATAACTTCTTCAATAAGCTCTCGTTTAGCATCTAATTTGGATAGGATATGATAATTTAAGTTTGCAATTTCATTAAACAGTTATGTGAAAAGTACCATATCTTTCATGTTGATACATTTTTCTGCTTGAACAGCCGTAGCAGCAGTGACCTCAGTTCAAAGTGACCGGTCAAGCACTTCACCTGTGGACACTCTCCACCCAAAACAAGTCTCTGACACACCAATTTCATATGCAGGTCAGTTATCATGAAATTGTCTTTAAGAATTTGTGTTGATGGTATTCATGTTAATTTCTGCTTCATAGCTAACAAAATATTGCAATGACACAGCAAGGAATGTACTTAATTGATAATAATCTACTGTTCCAGTGTATGCAGAGACTGTTCCATCCCGTGGAGGTATCCGCCCAGGAAACCCCACCCCAGCTCATGCTACTGGACAAGGCTCCCCAGCCCCTCTTCGTCCAGATAACCCCACCCCTGGGCATGCTGTCAAAACCAGCACTGGCAGACCATGTAAGTCATAGATTCATGAAATTGGTGGTCTTGTATGTTTTTTTTTTTTTTACCAGATTTGTAGATAAACATATCAATTGTTACAGTTAATGGTAAAAAGTGCATTTTCCCTCAGAGCTTTTCAAGATCAATTAGAGATGTATAAACAATATTGATAATGTTACAGATAACCCTACTCCTAAACATGCTGGAGGTCAGATTGACTCACCATCTGACCTACCGTCACAGCTAGACTACCCAGCCATCATCATGGAACAGCCATTGGAGGAGGAAGGTATGCTGTTTTAGGGCCATCTATACAAGAACACAGCTTCTGTCAGACCTATTGACTGTCAAAAAGATCTTCTGGTAAAAGTTTACTAATACATTACATGTACTATTAAACCCAGACTGAAATGTGCAAGACAACAGATAAAAATGTGTGGTCAAATAGAGACTAAAAAGTTTGAACACATCTTTTTAACGGTTTTATTTTCTTTTAATAGATTATTCAACTGGTGAGGTTCCTGAGGGAGAGAGTGAGTTAGTCCTGACCCGAAGCCTGAAGATGGATGTGACAGGTCGCCCAAGAAAGGAGGCTGTAGTGCTTCCTCGGGGAATCAAGGGAGGACGTCCTGGGGCTATCCCCAACACCAAGGTAAGCAGATAAAGATACAGAGTCCTTGAACACACCTGACAGGTATTTATCACAAACTGTTTTGACTTTAGAACCCTGATAAAACCTTATCATGTTTCCCAACTGGTTTCCTTTCTGCTGACCAATTCAAAATGATTTTGTATTACAGCTTTACATATGAACTAGTTATCTCTCTGACACTTTATATATTCACAAATTAATCTCTTCGCACTTTCACCCAATTGAAACATTTTACATTTCAATGAAATCTAAAGAGTATATTTACTCTTAACATAAGTTGCATTCTATTTCTAGAATCAAAATCATATAATATTATCTCACAAATAATATTACACAAGTAATATAACTTGGTGTTAACAAAGTTTAACTGTTTCACAATTCAGTATAAGAACATTGAGGTGAGCGTACGTCGAAAAGTGAATACATCTGTGACAGCTGGAGCATCTGTCCCTTCTCAAGTCCAGTTGGAGAAAATGAGGGGCCTTATCCTGCTACCAGAGGAGATTGACTTTGGAGTCCTGAGAGAAGGGAATACATATGTCTGTACTGTCTGTCTAAAGAATACAGGTGTGGACTCCTGTCGCTTCAAAATTAGACAGCCCCCTCCTGCTACTGGACTTAGGATCAACTACAAACTAGGACCAGTGAGTAACCATTGTATTCAAAGATAAAGCCTCCTGACTTATTGAAGTTATCTAGGATATGTTCATGATGTTATTTAGAATTACAAATTTTTCAACTTACAGGTACAAAGTCAGTGTGTTTATAATGTTCATTTTTTTCATGCAATATACAGCTATATCTCCACTATCCTGTGTATTTGTGTTATACAGATTGCTGCAGGAATGAAGACGGATCTTGATTGCGAACTGTACGCTATTGCCGTTGGAGTGGAAGGAGAATCTGGTGTTGGGTCAATCAGACATGACCTAGAAATTGTCACAGAAACTGACATACTCTTCCTCCCCATCACAGCAAATATCCTTTTTTGAAAGTTCACAGAAAGTTCAGAAAAAAGTAGAATGTGATCAAGACTACTGTATTTTTATCAATATTAGTTCTTCATGTACTTTTGCATATTCATATAAAGCATGACATTTCAGACTCTAACACTTTGTGATCCTTAACCTGCTTACCTGTTCTGACTGCGGATGCCTACGACAATAGGAGTCCCAACAGCCCTCAGGGGGGGAAATCCCCAGGGACACGTTTGGTTTCCACCCGTCCCCCACAGAGTACAGGCATTATCAGGCCCAGGAAAAACCCCTTCCCAGGTCAGTCATCTTACACATGGTCTGTGATAAGACTGATGGAACTAATATGTTAAATCTTTCAATGTTTTTGAATTCAGAAATTCAAACTGAATATTTCTCTTATCGATGTTCTACTCAAAGTGATTTTAGCCAGGTTTTTTAATTAAGTTTCTGTATTTTTTTTTCAGGTCCACCTCAGCCAGATTCCACATATGTGAGATGAAGATGATGAAGTGCATAGTGAACTTTTTCAGTTTGTGCTCAACAAAATGTCCTTTGTGACATACATGTAATTATTGAGTAAAATCTGTGATATATTTCAATTGTAGGCCACAAACATTTTTAAAATTCCATTTAAGTAACTGATATTTTTCAAATTACAAATGTAATAGGTTCCTTTTTAGCTTCTCGTTTCCTGTGGATGCTAATACTGATATACAAATGTGTATTGTCACTAATGAAGTAAGACTTAATTCTGTCCATCATATTCATGGAAAGATTCCTGCCAAAGATGATCTGATACATGTAATTCTATTGACATCAAAAATTATTTGAGCAATAAGATGTGTACATATTGACTGTCACCTTGTGATTTTTTTCATTTGGTATGAAATCATACAGAATGCAGTGTTAAAATTACAATAACCTGTAATACCACCATTTGTATATTTTGTATAAACTGTATTTATGTAACTTTTGTGAAGATGAAGTAAATACATGGACATCATATTCATGCATATTGGATCTTTTTATTTACATTCCTGAGTAAAGTATGTTGTGTAAGATCACCTTGATGTTAACTGGATCCAGAGTATGATACTTTTATTACAATAGTGTAGATAGGAGGATGTTGGTGTGCAATTGATGACCATGTGGAAGTATACCACACCAAGCTCAAGTACTCAAGCAAAGGTGTTCATAACTTAACTCTAATTTAATTATCAACGAAAAACAGTATATTAATATTCTACCTCCTCATGGATGTTTGGTGAATTTTGCAATAAGGAAAAAAAATTGTGCAAACCTAATATTTTTAAATGATGGATAAGACTATTGCTCGTTAGATGCACCAGTATCAATATTTGTAACTATGAACTTGTGGTAGGCATAAGTCCGATGTTTAGTAATAATGTATCTGCCTGTGTTAATTCATTACTGACGTCTACTGTGAACAATTATATATTGACCAGTGTCCAGAGGCATTCTGTCCTTGCTGATCAGCTACACATGTTCATGTATTAATTCGTTCCCTGGTTACATAATTCATTACCCGACTTAGATCCACTTTCTAGGTCACTGGGGTCAAATGTGTTGAGAAATTCAAGCAGTGAAAAGAAATTCTTTTGTCAATTAGAAATAAGTTCCGGGACATTGCTTTAGTGTAGTAGTACGTATTAGGAATACGCGCATTGTATCTCTATCATCTATGTTTTTATATTCAGATGACCGTAAAGGCCCCTGGGCCCATGGATTGTCATGATTTCGATTTTTCTTTGTAATAATAAGATTCCTTCTTACTTATGATTCCTATATCACGATTTCTCTGATATACCAGACATTTCACCAACAAGAAGTACAACTCATTGTTTCCATAGTTGCTTAGTGATGAAGACTTTCGGGAAATTTTGTGGCCGAGTGGCTTATACGCCCGTAGTTTGATTCCCTGTATGGACGTGAAAAGTATGGTAGTCACCTGTCCGCGTGGGTTTTTTTTTACTGGTTACTCCGGTTTCCTACCACAGAAAGAGCTTGAGCGCTCCCACCCGGGCAACACTGGAGTAAATGATTAAAGCTGATTACTTGTTTCGGCTTCGGTGTAGATAAAATAAAGCTTATATTTGTGCTTACATTTTTCTTAATTCAAAAGAGGATGTGGCATTTCTCGAAAAGATTTACAACAAGACAAGAGTAAACGGAGTGGTCTGTACTGAAGTGGGTGTGTCCATGGGTGAGACACTTTGCCCTTTCAGGATGGCATGCGATGTGCCTTCCGTACGTTGTTCAGTGAGGTTGTCACCAGTTACTTCAAGCAGACCCCCGCCTCAAAATGACTTTTGCTGTTTATGGGTCGATAAACATAATAAACAAACTGGTCCCTAAGAGTGATTACTTGACCTGTGTCCTATCAGTACAGAAAATACCGCTATCTTTCCGGTGTAGCACGAGATAGCGATATACGATATCATTGTACATCCCATTTTATACAGTGTATGCCAGTGCGCTATTGTTATGGACGCCGAAGCAGACGACAAGAAAACCGAACCTCAATGGCTTCACAAGGTTCCCGCCACCGCGGAAATGTTTCTTGCGCGCTTCCTGAAAGGGTTCACAAGTGGAGTCGTCTTGTACGGGGGAGTAATGGGCGTGTCGGCTCTCATGCGCAACCCCTTCCGAGAAAGGTAAACTTAAAGAGTGAATCCCTTCGTATTGTCAGTAACTATGTATAGGTAACGAGTTAGACTCTGTATCTAAATACTTATGTCCGATTCGTCTAATAGATAACCGATTAAACAATGTTTGCTCACATGTCTGATGCAGTTTTTAAATACCGTTGATAACAAATAATTTTGTTATATCTCTCAAATACGCTTAAATCAGCTTCCAAAGAAAAGTTTTTGTTATTTTTATTACTTTGTTAATTTGATTTCGACCTTTGTTTTATAAATATTGGCATCTTTTGAAACTATTAGAAAGCTCATCAGAATGTTTCATAGCCTCTAATGACTGTTTTAGTATATATTTCGTTCATGTGTACTAATGACAGAACTAAGACACTCGGACAACGCCCTTGTTGATGATTTGATTTAATATCCCTTAACTGTTTTTCAAACATTAGGGAAAAAAAGTATGGAAGTCATGGTATTTGATTTTAACATTATCATTTTAGTCAGCTTTGATGTTTCCAGAGTAACAAGATATTTACTTTGATCAATTAACGTTTAGCATATCAATTATTTTTATTACTGACATGTCTGTAACAAATTAATCATATTTAGCATCCATGCGGCACTATATGCTAAATACAATGTACACTGTGTTTACTTCGATTCTCTGATTTCCCATTAATTTTATTCCTTAGAGTTTTCACGAAAATAATGTATTCTTGTTCCAGCCTTCTGTCATTCACCACATGATTTCCTATATATATATATGACAGTTCCTATAAATGGACTGCCGTGTATTCGTTTTTTTTATTCGACCTTTGTAGAATTTTCGAACTTCTGATTAATGATATGTTGTTGTCCCTCATTTTTCTTCCAAGCGAATGATGCCTCAATTATTCGCAGAGTAATCTTTATCTCTGAGTCAGATTGCAGTCTTCTCCCAGCCTCCAGTACATCGCTAGCATTTTCACGTAATATGCAATGTACGACTAATGTTACGTTTTTTTTCTGTTCTGCCTGAAGAAACCATACTGTGCCATGTCATACCACTTGTCAATATGTTTGTTTTATCGCCCCAGAGCCACTAGCCATAACATCTATAGTTGAGGTAATACAACGGAATGGTACAAGGTTCGATGCCTTGTCTAGCTTCTTACCTTTTACTCTCCTGTTAGTAACCTTTGTTTTCACGTAACTGTTGGCTCACTTGCCAAGGGAGTCCCTGGTTATGAGGGGTGCTACAATGCTAAAGCCTGGCCTGGTGGCCAAGTGCCTCAATTGGTTTGAAATTGTTCGGATATCCTTAGTTCGAACCTTGGTTTGGCCAATTGCATTCTCCCTATATTGTATCTACTGCTATGGGCAATTCTGAATGGCTGTGTGATATCGACTTTTGGGTAAGAGTACATACGGTGTCAAATAGATAGGCATGATATTGAAGAAATACGAGTGGATTCGTATAAAAGCCAATATTTTGTCTGGTAGGTTTATCACGAACAATACACCGTATATTACGTAATAGTGTATATAAACTAACGTAAGTACATGCTTGTTATTCACATTATGATTATAGATTTTACTCATCGCAAATACCAGCTTAGTCATAATTTCTTCAAATCACAATTTTGTTACATGACAATTAGATTGTTATCACGATAATGATATCGACAGCTGATCTTCCATATGTTCACAACTAGACATGACAGACAGACAGACAGACATTCTATATTTCCTCCTGTTAGAGATTACGTTGTCTTGTTGTTTATACAGACATTCTGTGTTTTTTCTCCTGTTAGAGATTACATGGTCTTGTCGTTTAGATAGACATTCTTTATTTCCTCCTGTTAGAGATTACATGGTCTTGTCGTTTAGATAGACATTTTTTTATTATTTCATCCTGTTAGAGACTATATAGTTTTGTTGTTTGGACAGACATTCTTTATTTCCTCCTGTTAGAGATTACATGGTCTTGTCGTTTAGGTAGACATTTTTTTATTTCCTCCTGTTAGAGACTACATAGTTTTGTTGTTTAGACAGACATTCTGTGTTTTTCCTCCTGTTAGAGACTATATAGTTTTGTTGTTTGGACAGACATTCTGTGTTTTTTCCCCTGTTAGAGACTATATAGTTTTGTTGTTTAGACAGACATTCTTTATTTCCTCCTGTTAGAGACTATATAGTTTTGTTGTTTAGACAGACATTCTGTGTTTGTTCTCCTGTTAGAGACTATATAGTTTTGTTGTTTAGACAGACATTCTTTATTTCCTCCTGTTAGAGACTATATAGTTTTGTTGTTTAGACAGACATTCTGTGTTTTTTCTCCTGTTAGAGACTATATAGTTTTGTTGTTTAGACAGACATTCTGTGTTTTTTCTCCTGTTAGAGACTATATAGTTTTGTTGTTTAGACAGACATTCTGTGTTTTTTCTCCTGTTAGAGACTATATAGTTTTGTTGTTTGGACAGACATTCTTTATTTCCTCCTGTTAGAGATTATATGGTCTTGTCGTTTAGATAGACATTTTTTTTATTTCATCCTGTTAGAGACTATATAGTTTTGTTGTTTAGACAGACATTCTGTGTTTTTTCTCCTGTTAGAGACTATATAGTTTTGTTGTTTGGACAGACATTCTTTATTTCCTCCTGTTAGAGACTATATAGTTTTGTTGTTTAGACAGACATTCTGTGTTTTTTCTCCTGTTAGAGACTATATAGTTTTGTTGTTTAGACAGACATTCTTTATTTCCTCCTGTTAGAGACTATATAGTTTTGTTGTTTAGACAGACATTCTGTGTTTGTTCTCCTGTTAGAGACTATATAGTTTTGTTGTTTAGACAGACATTCTGTGTTTTTTCTCCTGTTAGAGACTACATAGTTTTGTTGTTTGGACAGACATTCTTTATTTCCTCCTGTTAGAAATCATATGGTCTTGTCGTTTCAAAAGCTTACAGTATAAACTTTACATATGTTCATATGTTACATACTTTTAAAATATTGTCCTAACTCCAAACAAGGACCTACCATGGAGAAGTAGGTTAATTTCTGTGAATATCACTAATAGCGACCATCAGATTGTCCCATTTTCCGTGATGATGATATCATTCCCTTCACCAAGAATGAATGAAAAGTTTTCCATCTTCTAGCTTAGTGTGAAGAGTATATTTTTTAAAAAAAAATACAAATTTTATCACAAATTTGTTCCAGAAAGATGTTTCTGGTTTTGAAAAATGCAGGACGTTGTTTAAGGAATTGTTTAACGCCATTTCTTCACCACATTGTTGCACAATTTACACCTAACTGTAGGGGAGCTTAATTCACATCTCCACGAAACTTCAAAGTTATAGACCATAAGGAATAAGCCAAATATATTGATGAACTGCCCTGTAGTATAACAATTAGCGACAATTTAAAAATTGATTTACATCAGGCATCAGATAATTGTTTTGTTACAACCCTCCTTAGCAATCGATTTCCACTGAAAGTCCCTACATAATACACCAGAAACGAATAAGTCGAAGAAGGATGACTAGAAGCTGAATTCATTATTGTGTGTCTACAATGAAGCTCGTGTTTTGAAACGATTGTGATCATAAATGTACATCAACTAACAATAAAAATAAGCGTAGGAAAAAGACAATCTAGTATTACACAATTGTTATAATTGGTGGTTTTGTCTGTATTTCAGACTTCCCGACATTCTGAAGCAGATATTCTCGAAAGACTGTCTCAGGTTTGCTGGATTCCTTGGTCTCTATCCCAGTACATACGAATTAGTCAGGGAAATATTACAGGAAAGAAGAAATTCAAAGGTAAAGAGAATTAAAACAAATCGAAATTTCATAAAAATACATTGTAACGTGTCAGTACAAACATATTTGAAAACAGAGACAACCGCATAAAGGAAAAGAGAGCCAGACACATGATTTCATAAAACAGTTTTGCAGCACTAAACTTATTTGATTCTGCCGTGTTCCGTAGTTCTGACTATGAAGCCTTCTTTTAAATATTTGTTACTTAATCTTTACTTTATCTTCTTCTTTAATTCTATATTTGAATTAATGTTGTGTGTTTAGGACGGCTGGAACAACTGTATCGCTGGAGGTTTGGCTGGTCTCACTATATGTATAGAAGACCCGGGCAGGAGACTTATCTACACACTTTTCGCTGTGTCTCGTGCCTTTGGAGCTCTCGTTTCTACCTTGGTGACAAGAGAAAAGATCCCAGAAATTCCATATAGTGAGACAATGTTGTTTTCCTTGTGCTGTGGTTTTCTGGTTCATTGTGTAGCCCTCCGTCCAGACCTTCTCCAGAAAGGCTACTACTACTCAGTGCTCAAGTGGTCACGTGACTACAACGACAAAATTCTACAGACTCTGTTTAGAGATTCCGGTGACAGGTTCCTCGGGTGCCAAGAGGCAGGTCTACACCCAGATTCCTGTACCAAGCACGCCTTCAAAGACATGATATTCAGTATTCCGTCATTTGCCAAACTGTACCTACCGATACATATAGCACCTATTGTTATTTTCAGATGGAAATTAATCGTCAAAAGGTAAGTCTGAAGCCATCTCTCAAGCAATGTCATGTTAAGTTCTGCACTTGTTCTTTTCCATATTCCAATATGGGGTGAGTGTTCCTCTCAATCTATTTGCGTCCTTAATTTCTGGATTTCCATAGTTCAGGGCCTTAGCATCATTGACGAGTGCTAGAGAGACGAAACATCTCATGATACAGTTTATTTCATTAGTGTTCAACATATCTGTATCATAATACATTCGCCTGCAGTTCTTTATTGAAATCTTTTCAAATAGTGTCACGGTAGTGCGATTCGCCCTTTGAATAGTCTGTTGTACATGGTGCTGAAAGAAAAGACGACGACACCCGCTTTGTAAATCTTGGTCAATCTAAATAAGTAATGTTGCGTTGCCAATGAAGAACACGGTAAACTTCAGCGGAATATCGTGTGCAGATTAATTTATTCAATACATCATTAGGTATAGTAAGGTGTTATCCAATTGTGTTGTACATAGTACTGAAAGAAAAGTTGATAAATGACTGTTCAGGGTAATTGAGGTGTAACATTTTCCGGACAATTTACATTCGATTTGTTCATTTAAAGGAATGTGTTTACTGTTTGGAACTGATGATATTCATTCTTTATTTCAGACCGAAGTCTATTCTGAGATCATTGCTAAAAAATGTCGTGTTTTCGACATCTTTCCTGGCTTCCATGGTGATGCTTGCTAAATACACGATTTGTCTCCTGAGAAACCTGAGTAAGAAGCCTCCTCCATTGGCCAGCTATATTCCTGTGATTGGCGGACTTGTATGTGGACTTAGTGTTCTTTTTGAACGAGCAAATCGACGGAAAGAATTGTCCCTGTTTTTGATTCCTCACACGCTCTACGCGCTATACACGTGGATCAAAGGTCACAGATTGGCATCTAACATCGATGTGCCTTTCGGATCCGTGCTGCTATATGCTGTATCGATGATATCAGTAATGCACGCGTACGAGCGCGAACCAGAGTCACTCTCACTCCTCCTGAACGGCCTGCTGCGATATTTTGTAGGCGATATAAAAAATCCAGTTGTGCGACCCCCAAAGAGAATAAGAAAAATCAGTGACATTTTTGCATAAGTGAGCAATTCATTCACTACCTTAGCGCTAGTGACCTCAAGAATCTAGAACTTGCTGGAAATGCATCCACCAAATTGAAGATACCGCTGATCTGTTTACTAAATGGGGAAATGTTTCTATTATGTTTTTGTCGATCAGATCAACAAATGTTCATTTCATGAAAATTCCATGATTGTGACGAAAGCTGTCACAGACGAAGTGACAAAAATAATACTTTGATATTGTTTAAAAGGGACCACTGTAGTGTGAGCATATCCGAACAAAGAAATGGTGTCAGATATAAATGATGTGTGATCATGCCGCCCAAACACAGTTATCCTATCGGATATAAGGAACAACTTAATGGTGTCCTAGCTGTCCTCTAGGATTTCTACATAACGGGAGTCTAGCGTCGACGAAGAAATCAAATACATGATCTAGTATAGACTGTACCTATAACCAAATTAATGTATTATTCACAAGTGCAAAAAAGTCTTTTAAGCATGATATTTAAAACATACCATATAGCCGATTATTTTCGCGGAAATGATATCAAAGACGGTATAGGAAGTACCTAGATCAGACTCAAGTTCGATAAAACAAGGGCAAAGTATTGAAAAATCACATGGAGTATAAGACCAGGTGTCACGGAAGAATAAGCGTTTTCTAATTAATCGACGACACCGTCTAATTAAACTTGATCTATTTATGAAGGTAATGTTATTTTACCAAATACCTGGTAAACAATAACGGAACCAACAGGCAAAAATGAAATAGGAAAGACAATATTTCGCAGTGAGATCATTATAGCGGTGATAATATTTCCCTATAATGTTTCAAACAAGTTTCCATTATTTATATTTGTTACTGGGTGCTAATGGAATCACTACCTTGAGTGCAAACTGTCAGGGTCTGGGGGATCATAGAAAAGATGTATTTTCATATCTGAGGAGTAAATCATATAGTATTTTTTTGTCTTCAGGACACTCATTTTACAAAGGAAAAGGAAAATATCTATAGAAGTGAGTGGGGTTTTGAGTGTTATTTTAATTCTTATAAATCAAACGCTAGGGGAGTTGCTATATTAATGAACAATAATTTTGAATTTAAGGTAAACAAAGAAAAGAAGGATAGTACAGGTAAGTTTTTAGCTTTAGATATCACAGTTGAAGGGTCGAGAATAACTCATTAATATCTATGGGCCGAATTATGATACCCCAGACTTTTACAATTGCATAACTGAAGTTATTGATGATTTTGAAAATAGTAATATTATTGTATGTGGTGATTTTAATCTTGTTTTGAACCCAGAGATAGATCATGATAGTAATTATAAAAAGATAAATAATCCTAAAGCTAGAGAAAAAGTTTGTGAAACCAAAGATAATCATAATTTAGTAGATATTTTTAGAGAACATCATGAGCATATTAGGAGATATACCTGGAGAAAGAGTAACCCACTTAAACAGGCTAGGCTTGATTTCTTTCTCGTTTCAGAAAATATGTTATCCAGTATTGAAACTTCTTCGATAGACCCAGGTTATGTCTGACCATTCTTTTCCAAAGATTACAATAAAGTTTAATGAATTTATGAAAGGAAAGGGCTTGTGGAAATTGAATAATTCCTTACTGCATAATATAGATTATCTCAACCTTGTATATACTTGTATTGATGAAATTAAAGCTAAGTATTGTTTGCCAGTTTATAATCTAAATTCCATCCCTACTATTTCTCATGCTGACTTACAATTCACTATCAACGATCAATTATTTTTGGAAGTTCTTTTGATGGAAATAAGGGGTAAAACAATTTCTTTTTCAAGTTACTTAAAAAACAAAATATCAGAGAGAATAGTCTTCAGAAATCTATACAGGAGTTAGAGGATAAGGAGAACATTGATATTCACGATTTGACAAATAAAAAGAAAGAACTTGAGGCAATAAGGTTACATAAAATAAAAGGGAACATAATTAGGTCAAGAGCAGAATGGATAGAGGAGGGGGAGAAACCTACAAGATACGTTTTCAGCTTAGAAAAATAGAAATTATACGTCGAAAATTATACCCAAATTACAGAAAGAAAACAATGAATTGATAACTGATCAAGTCGAAATTTTAAATGAAGTGAAACTTTTCTATGAAAAATTATCTTATGCTTCTGAAAATGCGATTTATGCTAATTTACAAGATTTTCTAATTCACTGTGATGATCCAAAACTAAATAATACAGAATCGGAAAGTTTAGAGGGTATAATTACACGAGAAGAAGCAGGAAAAACACTTAATAAAATGAAAAACAATAAAAGTCCAGGATCAGATGGTTTTACTGCTGAATTTTTTAAATGTATCTGGAAACAGATAGGTACTTTTGTTGTCAGATCCTTGAATTTTGGATATAATAATAATGAGCTTTCTATAACACAGACAGGGGGTCATAACTTGTATACCAAAGGGAGATAAGCCTAGACATTTCATTAAGAATTGACCTATATCACTTCTGAATATCGTATATAAAATATCTTCAGGGGCAATAGCAAATAGATTAAAAACAGTCTTAAATAGACTTATCAATAATGATCAGGCAGGTTTTTTAGCAGGACGTTACATAGGAGAAAACACCAGACTTATCTATGACATAATGAATTTCACAGAAGAAAATGATATACCAGGAATGCTTTTAATGATAGACTTTGAGAAAGTATTTGATTCTGTTGCATGGGATTATATAGACAAAACACTTATGTTTTTTTGGATTTGGAGATAGTATAAGAAAATGGGTGAAAACTTTTCACAATAATGTTTCATCAGGGTGGGAATCTTTCAAAATTTTTCAATGTCAAACGCGGTTGTCGACAATGTGACCCGATCGCACTGTATATTTTTATATTATGCACAGAAATTTTAGCAATAAGATTAAGAAATAATAACAATATAACAGGTATAGATGTTAATAATTTCCCATTACTTCTTTCTCAATATGCTGATGACACTTTGCGAGAATCAATTTCTGAACTAAATTTATTCGCCCAGATCTCTGGTTTCAAAATTAATACAAGTAAAACACAAGTAATATGGATTGGGAGTAAGAAATATAGTAATAGTACATTTTTACCTGATTTAGATTTACAGTGGGGGAGGGATAAATTTACATTGTTAGGAGTAGATTTTAGTGTGAATTTGCATGAAATGCCTAAACTTAATTATGACAAAAAGCTGGTTAATCTTAAGTCTCTTATTAAAACTTTGAGTAGAAGAATATTAAGTCCTATAGGAAAGATACATATAATTAAGTCCATTTTAATATCACAGTTCAACCACTTATTCATTGCCCTCCCAAATCCCAGTACTGCTTTTATTAACCAGTTAAATACAACTCTTTTTAACTTCCTCTGGAGTGGCAAAATAGATAAAGTAAAAAAGAATGTTTTAACTAAAGATTACTATGAAGGGGGGTTGAAAATGGTTAACATTAAGGCCTTTATTGATGCACTTAAACTAGGATGGCTTAAGAGATATTTTTTTACAGTGTAAATACAAACAAGCGGAAAACATTTTAACTAGCTGTATAGACGTTGAAAAGGTGTTAGTTGTGGCAGTGATTATATAAGAATGTGTCAAAAAAGCTGTAAAAATAAGTTTTGGTGTGATGTTTTTAAATCGTGGGAAAAGTTATTGAATTCTTATTGTAGTGTAAAATATGAACAAGTGTCACTCCTTAAAACCCCCTTATGGTACAACCGAAAGCTGACTATTAGTGGAACTTCTGTTTTTTATAAGGACTGGTTTTCTAAGGGTGTTAGAGTGATAAATGATATGTTTAAAGACTCAAGCTCACTTTCCTTCTATTCCTTTACTGAATTTACACAGTTATATGGTATTCGAACTAATTTCCTTAAGTTCCAGGGGCTTGTTAACTGTATACGAAAAAATTATAATCTACAGAAGATAAATGGCACTCATTTGACTTTACCTTACCTTCCTCCTAACATGGAATTATTTCTCAACAGATGTAAAGACACTAAAAACGTATATACTGCTCTATCCAAAAACAATGAAATTCCTACTGGTAAGAAAAAAATGGTCTGAACAATTTGATTTCGAGGAATCAACACGGGCAAATATTTTCTCTTTGCCTTTCAAAATTACTAATAATTCAAAACTTCAGTGGTTTCAGTATAGAATCTTGCATAATATTTTAGCAACAAATGCGATACTCTTACACTAGTCCAATATGTACTTTCTGTAAATCTGAAACAGAAACTATAACCCATATCCTTTGGGAATGTGATAACGTGCAAAATTTTCTACAGAGTTTAGAAACACTACTTGAAGCCCTCCTTATACCTTTTACTATCAACAAAGAATCTTTTCTATTTGGATACTGGACACTTAAAAGTAGGAGCAACAAAATTGACAATGAGGTCAATATCATTATTGAATATTATATTTATAAAACCAGATGTTTAAACGGTTTTCTTAACATTAATGTGCTTATTAATTCAATTAAAGATCATTACAATGTTAAAAAATATATTGCAATAGCAAAAGGAAATTCTTTTATGGAAAAATTTAGTTTAGAGTGGAGAAAATGGAAACAGTAATTATGTCTTTAGATATAAAAAATTTCTGATACATATGTTTGTCTTATTACTTATAACTCCCTCCAACCCTGACAGGTGTTCACCAAATAGTAGTAATGAATCTTTTAGATGTTTAAACCTTAATTTAACTGATAATTCCATGCCTGCAGCCTCTCTCTCTCTCTCTTTCATCCCCCCTCTCTCTCTTTCCCTCCCCCTCAACCCCCCCCCCATCTCTCATCTCTCTTTTCTCACTCTCTTCCTCTGTGTGTGTGTGTGTGTGTGTGTGTGTGTGTGTGTGTGTGTGTTGATCATGTAAAAATTGTATGTCTGGTTTTGTTTTCTTGTGTGAGAATGTGTATATGTATGTATATTAAAAATCATACATGGATGATGATGGCGATGATGATGATCATGTATCATTAGTGTGAAAATGCTCGGATGGATGATGATGATGATGATGATGATGATTGTATATGGATACTGTGTATATGGATACTTTTGATAAGAATGATGATAATAGCTGCATAAAGATGTATATATATATATTGACGATGATGACGATGATGATGATGATGATGATGATTTCATTATCCCTAATGTGAGTATGTGTGGGTATGTATGAGGGTGTATGTGTGTGGGTGTTTTTTTTTTTTTTTTTTTTTTTTTTTTTTTTTTGTCATATGTAATGAAAATTCTTTAAAAATAAAAAAGAAAAAGAAAAAAAAAATTCCCTATAATCTTAATTATATTATATATATATATATATGATGGTTACAAGGTTGTCAAAATTTCGTCACACTTTTATTAAAGGAAGACTTCAGTTTTTACATACAGCAATTCCGGTGCCTATTTTCCTGCCAATAAATTCATGAACATTGTAGTAATTTAATATGCTTTAAAATATGTCAACAAATTCTAATTCGAGTTAATTCATTCCAATCGAATACTTGCAAATAAGTGAAAATTACGGCAATATAAGAAAATGGCACTAGTTTACATAACAAAATCCAAGAGGTTACCAAAATTATACCAAAAAAATACCCTGACAGCAGATTTATCCAAACTGAACAATAACATTATTCATACTTTATCGATAGAATTATAAAGGAAATAAGAAGCTAATCGCAACATAAAGTGTTACCTTTCCGTTTTGGGTTTAATTTTTACTAAGTACTATCAATACTTTTTGCTTATATTTTTGTGGTATTAGCGCGTAAGAAAGACGTGCGTCCGTTGAATATGGAGTGTATCAACAAAAGGAAAATTGTTGCCATGTCGGAGTTGGCGGTGACTAGACAGAGGACATTTAGTCCGTGATGCACGTTTACGTTCACACATTCTTTCATATCAGCTTACGCGTGATGATTCAAATGAAATGTATTCTTACACATGGCTACCTACAGATAACGTTGTCTATATTTGATAAGTATGGATTTCAACATACAGTATCTTTTCAATAAATTTCAAATATCAACTAAAATAGAAACAACAAAAATTATTAGATGTTGCGAAAAAAAAATGTTTTTAGACAACTCTGAATGTCTTTGTGAACATAACATAGAATTAAATTGTCAGTCACACTAAAAATAATACTTCAGAGATAGAGTACAGACGATAAAGCTGATACTCTACTTTTGCTTATATATCAAACAGTCGTTAAAACTGAGGACAGTCGGTCTATATTAAGTTTGTGTTTCATTGGATCCACCAGGGACGTATAATACATAATAAATCTGTATTATACGTCCCTGGACCACTATATTTATCATCTGTGTGTTGAATTTGTTTATTGATCCGTATCCAAAAAAAGGTAAATAATTGATTTAGAGATTTCCAGTGTGAAGCACCTCAACATCGAATAAAGGGTGGCTAGAATGATACCTGTACACCAGCACAATTACTAGAGTAGAAAGTTGCACATCAACGTACATACCAATCAATAACCAGGGGCGTAGCTAGCCCAGCAGAAATGTGTAAGCCCAGACGAGGGGTCTAAGTATCATGATTTTGTTTTGAATCGTTTTTTGAGACAGTTTTTTTTTTATTTCAATCCCTGATATTTATTTTCAACCTTAGTTTTGTAATTTTGTCCGACATACTCTATGCACGGTATTTTTTTATGTGTAAGTCCAGGCTTTTTCTTTCTATGTAAGCTACGCCCGTGATAACAAAAGGTATAAGTGACACTTAAAACAAATAACAACCACCACTATGCTTTTTATGGAAGAGACTCAACGGTTGTGTCTTCAAATGTTTGATTTTACGTCGTTTCGCTGCAAAATATTTCAATGATCCTCTTCAGCAGACGACATCCGTGATTCCGTGTACACGGGCCAGACGCCAGTAGATATTTGCGCATGCGCTCATCGATATAGGTGATAGTTTGGCGTAGTAAATATCCCTGCATATATTGAATTTCTGAAGACTTTTTGATGTGAATGATTCCAGGGTTTGGATACAGGTCTACACAGCAACAATATGACGTCAAAATCTGTCGTTTGGGCGCAGATACCAGTAAGAGTGAAGGGCAGCTCAATATGCGCCCATCACCACGATACGGAAGTAACTCTCGCCTGTCGACAGTGCTCGGAGCTAGCATGTGTTAGGTGCATTGCCAGTGTTCACAGCGGACACTTACTGGACAACATCGCTGACGTCATTACTACTAAGAAAGGCAACATTCAGTCGTTCATTCGCCGAACAGAACATCAGGATATTGTCAATCTCAAAACAGAAATCGGTTCTATTACACAAAAGATAGAACAAAATGAAAGGAGATTCAATTTTCATCAGAAAGAACTTGAAATTCAAGGGAACCGAATGAAGGACGAAATTAACATTATCGTCACGAAAATAGTTTCTGAATGTACAGAACTCAAGCGAGAAAATGAAAGTCGATTGAAAAAATATAAAGTTGACATGGAAAAGAGAATTAAGGAGCTAACTATACTGGTGCAGAAATGTCAAGTTGCTTTAGAAACTGAAAGTGATGTTGAAATATTTGACGCGGAGAAGGAACTTTATCCGTTACCAAATCCGGAGTTGAACTTGTGTAGCCTGGCATTTACACCAAACATGCATCCTCAAGGATATCTCGACCTTGCTATGGGGAAGCGGATTGTTGCAGGGTATTCAATGACGTATGCTTCTATACATGAGGATAATGAAAACGATTCCTCGACGGGAACATTGGCACAATTGAAAGAAGTCACCCAGCGAAATGCACCCTTCAATGTCAGTGCAATAAGTGCAAAGAGAGAAAACGGTGCGTGGATCTGTAGCAATGAAGTATCATCTATCTATGAAATAAACGATCAACATAGAATTAAAAAAAGCTGTTTTAAAGTATGTATCAATGACATCAGTGTGTCCCCCGTAACTGGTAATGTGTGGGCATGTTCAGGAGGCAACAACGCCATAATGGAGCTCCAAGCAGACGACTCATCAATCCAGAGGTTTACAACTTCTTCAACACCGCGATGCCTCTGCGTGACACAAGATAGCAACATAGTTGTAGGAATGGCCTGTAAACTTGTGTGTTGTGACGTTCAAGGAAACGTCCTGCTTTGCAAGAATGTTAGAACAGCCACGAAGGTCGCTGCCTGCCCAAACACTAGGAGGATAGCAGTTGTCGAGTTAGATTTCCGTGAGCATGATGGTGAAGGAAGGCCTCACATTTTGGTACTTGATCGAAAATTCCAAGAACAGTATCGTTATTACAATAACAAAGAAGACAAAGGTACCAATCCAGAAAGTGCTTCAACAGCGTTCCACCCTAGTGATGTGGCGTTTGATTCGACGGGCAATCTTCTTTTCGCTGACTATGAAAACAAGTCCATCTTAATCATGAACAGCACTGGGGATGTTAAATCCATTTATAGTGATCCATGGCATGTCGTAGCACTCAGCATCAACGGCATTGAGGAGGTGTGGGCAGTATTCAGGTACCGAAACTACCCAAACTATAGGATCAAAATGCTGAAACCAGAGTTATATACGTGACTTTAGATAAACCGGAAAATCTGCTAATTGGTGATTAAGGAAATAAATCAGTTTCGGTCACCTCAAATTGACGCTTATCAGACACGTATGTATCATGTGTTATGTCTCTGTGTTAATGAATCTCGGTTACTTAACATTTGACAAGACTTCAACGGTATTCAACCGTACCATATATGTACGTTGTTTGGTTCTGGACTTCATCCTTTGTAGCCGGATAGCTTTTTAGAAAATGTTCGTTTCTCGTTCCAAGAACATTTCATGTCAAGCTGGTTTGAGATATATGGATATCTTCATCGTGTGAAAATCTCAAGTTTGTCTGGATCATGAAGATATAGGGCCAACTTCCATCCTCAATTTGCACATGCGACCTTTAGACTTTGGAAACCATATTTCGTTTTAGTTTTTATCAGCTTCATCCAATGAGCTTGCCAACCAAATGTAGTATCTTGTGTAAACTTCTGAAGAACATCTCAATCGTTCACTGCCAAATATATATTCTTTGTAAGCTTTTTTTAGTGTAGCCTTTACCGTCATGTACAATCGAGAAATAACGATTATATAGTATATGTAGTGTTTCCATTACAAGATCACTGGAGAAGGGAGACGACTCGGTGTTGTATAAATGATAAAATATATACTCATATTAATAAGTCAACAGTTTATTATCAAAAAATGCATGTTTAAGAATGCAAATTATTATAACAGTGAAAAATAATAATAGCACAGATATTGCAACAAAATTATGACTACTACAAATGGAATCCCAACTATATGGAAATCAATACACACAGTAAACAAAGTGTTTATCTTAATGTTCTAAAAGTTTTCTGTTGTACAGGTATAACAATACTGGTACTGGGGACTGTTAAAGCACAACATATACAAACTGCTTCTCTACATGTAACTTCAGTCTTTTTACAGTTCAGACGACCCTTGAGATCTAACTCCACTTCTTAGTCATTTCTCACAAAACTCTGGAGATCTAACTTAAGTAAAGTATTATTTGATCATTGTCCTTGAAATGAGATAGAATGTTTCTATTAATTGGTTTCCTATATTCAGAAAGTTATGCACCATAAGTAAAGTATAAATCGTAGTCTATAATTTACTGGTGAATTTTCATCAAACCATTGGACACCCATCAATTTGGATGTTCAAATCATAACTCAGTTCATTTATACATAGACAGCATACCTCGAGAAAAAACATTATGTATGAAAAAAATAATTTACCTTAATCATGATAATCAAGTTATAAGCTGTGGAGAAACCAGTTCTGCATGAAGAAAGATTTGGTTTCAAGTAAAATAGCAGAAATAGTACAGTCTGAAGGGAGAACTGGGCCTAAAAGAGGAAACACTGTCTCCATCTATATCTTTTATGTTAAACTGCCATTTATATGAAGCTAGCTGTGCATATGCTTAGATAAGTCCTCCAGTACAACACAACAAAGAATCATTCATATCTGTATGAGGGGTCCAAAAGCCATGAACACATGGCACCAGATCTACACAAAAACAGGATAGGTACCACTGATTTACCAGTAAAGTATGTTTACCACATATTTTTATACACTCGATATCAGTGCTCTATAACACAAGATAGCAATACTTATGCATAGTTAACAGGAAATTGAGCATTTCATCAACCAGTTGTACTTAAAGCAAAGGAAACTGAAAAACTATCAGACAATGAATCACATAACGTGAAATTCTTACAATACATCATTATTTCTCAAATGATGGTCAATAAGTCAAGTCTACTGCACTTCAAACCACATCAGCTGACACTGTCCAAACCTAGACGGTATATGATCTGTTGATGGTAATGGTGAAAATAATCAGAAACCATAACAAATATGGACAAGTACACCTCTTTTTACTGAAGGAATTGATGAGAAATTGTACAAAGTCTACTAAACATACTGACACATCAACTGACACTGACCCTCCAACATCTTTTAAATCTATTCAAGAGAATTATGAATTTGACACCAGCAGAGGTACCAAAGAGCGTTCAGATTCCTTATGTAAACTGTCTTGATGACTTGGTTAGAGTTGAACAAAACATAATATAGCTAGTGACACTATTTCTTGAGAAATTGCTCCTCTCTATATCTATACATCTTATCCTGAAGATGATGCATACAATGTTGAATAACATGGCATTACACACAACACCATTATACTCCTAAAATGTTGAAGTCTAAAGGCTTGATGTTGAGCATTTCTTTAGGTTGAAGGAAACTGTTTATTTATACAACAAGAAATAATTTCACGGTGTGAAGTATGTACTAATACATATCACCTATAGAGTAATATTCAGCTTGTACAATCATCAACATTTATATTAAACATCTGAACTCTGTATACACATACAGTACAACAAACAGACCAGGATCAACAACATAATAATAAATAGATTATACTGTCACCCTACATACATCACAGTTATTACTTCAATGTTCTTACCATAATTGTTTTTCCCTAAAATCTTGGATATAAAGCATTAACAGGATTGCAACATTCTTTATTGATCATGTTTATTAAACTTTAAAATTTAATGCTAAATATTGTACTTTACATGAAATGTATCATCACATTTTAATTAATGATCTTCTAATTGTATTTGATCTATTCACTCTTTATCATCTAAATTCTCCATCTTTATATCAACTTTGATCTAAAACATTATAGCCAATGCCCCCAGAATGATGAAATTGATTCAGGACGGGTTGTGAAACGATTGAACAGGACTAACAGGACAGATAAGGCCGACAATTATGGACATCCACATTCTTAACATATAAAAAAAGTATACTAAATATTACATACTTCCGAGTAAGTCAGACACTGATAGATTGGTGATCCACTGTTTGTGACATCGATATCTTTATAATATTACATAATAATAATAATACCTGCTTTTTCTGGTGTCCAAATAGATAGTTTACATTTCATACTAACACTAAACAGCAAGAAAAATATCAGGGTTGTTATATTATCCTATTTCATTAAAACCCTAACCAGTACATTTTCTGTATAACAAAGACAGGTGTCCGTATGATACAACAGATCTCATTTCTACCATTACCAAGATATAAAAAAAACGTGAAGCAACACCAATGCATGGCATTTTAGTAACTAAGACTGTTTGATAGTCAATTTAATGATACAAGTTAAAGATTAGGTTTAGGGTTACATACTACAAGTTAAATTATTATAGAGTGAACTAAGGTTCAAGTTAAGACTAGGGAACACGCATTTGATTTCTTTGCTTAAGTTAATGTAATACAGACATGGGTTTAATATACATTTTACAAGAAATAGGTAATTGTAGACTTTTTTATTTAAATTTTGTCAACGTATTCAATGTCAACAGGTACCTACTACCAGTAAATGGATTTCATTAGATTTACTTTATCTAAGAGAATGAAAAGATAATAGTTTGATAATGACTTCATAAAAATAGCAGGTAACCATTTATCATACATATAGTGATTACGAAATTATCAAGCTGAAAAGCACTTCTCTGGTAAATACATTTGGGTGTGTTAAACAAGATTATTTGTCTTATTTTAGACATGTAGAGATCACTTAAAAGTTAAAAAGTTAAAAGGAAACAAACTCCTCTAATTGTGGAAACATATGTTGACATTTTCACTGTCAATACTAGAGATTATACACATTACCTCCCAGATCAGTTTTTCCTTAAACAAAATCTGTTGTGATTTAGGTATATACATGACATATAATAACATTCACACTCAGCACAATATAACAAGCATACATCATACACCACATAACCACTAATACAGCACAAAATAATATCACCAAAAACATGTTCGATACGAAATTCAGCAGTTGATGTGTAAACACACGCCAATAGTATTGAAGACTAATGTTGTGTCAACATCATTCAATTATTTTTTAATTTCACTGGAACTCTGTCCTTTGTAATGACAGAGTCTACCCTGCAATCCATTTCTATCTAATTCTATCTAATGGAGACATATACCTATCATTTCTTGCAAAATACTGTTACTGTACAGCGTTATACTGACTGGTCTCAATGTGACAAACATTCTTTAATGTATTGCTTTAAATTTTTTTCCCCTGAAATCTTATTGGAATTAAGGAGACAATCTTTAGTGAGGAAATTCCCATTATAATTCTGAAGTATATAACTTCTGTAAAATTTCAAAATGTAAACTTTGATACCATTCATTTACATTTTTCAGGTCCCTAACCTTTGCATAAATTCCAAAAACAATTTAAAGGCAAAGAAACATATAACTAGCACTTTCATCTCCTTTAAACTTTGTTAGTCAACACAAATGCCAAACATCAAAACTAAGGAAAAGAGACATAAATTACACAATTCCAGATGTGGAATATGGAAGAAAATTAAGATGATCATTGCATTACATCCTAAGTCCCTCAGAAAACACTGGCAATATACAAATACCTCATACATACAGCAAAGATGCCTTCTTGTCTTCAATCACAAGATGCCATCCTGTACTCCATGAAATGCATCTAAAAATAATCAACTGCTCTAATATCTTTAATCTCAAAATTGAGGAAGACCTTTGTAGTCCTAGGTGGCTATTTTCATCCACATACATTTGGTGCATCACTGGTTTTGTTATTTTCATGATGAGTAGATGTTACGATCTAGTGCAAATATGGCATCTTTGTAACACAAAGCAAGAAAAATGATATCTGATGATGAATGTGGAAAATGTGAAGGTGTTGTACACAAAATCTGCAGGAGCACAACGTTGCTGTTACAGCTCTTTTGAAGGTGAACCTTCTAACAGAGCTGATCGACTCTTTAGAGTTCCTGGTGATCAATACATTTGAAGATAACTACTATACAGGTAACACTCCCTCATAAGCAAAGGAGGTCCTCCATAGATTTAGTCCTGGAGAATTCCTCTAAACACCTATTACTGTCAAAATACTGTGTCAAACTCTCGTCGAGATCATCCTGACAAAGGTTAGTTCTAAATGAAGGTACAGGCCTCACACGGTTCTCTGCCAGTCTACAAAGAAATATACTGAATGTAAATCTGGTTTAAACTACTGGAGAAAATATATGCCTACAGAAATACAGCTTCATATACATATGAATTATTCCCTAAGGCTCTGCCATAGACTTAGCAATGAAGATGTGTACCAATACTTATAATTAAGTATGAGGAGAAGGTATTTTTACTGCAAAATCATTTTGCAATAATACTTGATTACAAAAAACACATTAATATGCTAAAATTGTTGTACTCTTTTTATCAAAACTTGTGGTTAATACTTTGTGTACTTTTTATTAAGTACTGTAACAAGATTAGGAGTTACCAGGTACCAGTAATACATTATCATATTTCATGAAATAAGAACATATTGACAGTTTAATGTAAATTATAAAATTACCTGGAGAAATCATCATCCAAGTCTTCAGCAGCAGCATCATCATCATCAAATTGTTGCTATAGGAACAATGTTGTAAACAATGGGAAACATTTTAATGACAAAGAACATTCACATATACAAAGATAAACATAACTAAAAATGATTGGTTCTAATAGACCTAGTTAAAACTTTTTTTGTATTTGTATCTCTGCTACCAATGTACTACCAATATATAATACCAATAATGATATTGGTTTACAGTTCGCTTTTTCTATCCTTCCTTCTCTAAAATTGGCACCAAATCACTGTTACAAATAAGAGGATGTCAATCTCTCTGGTATGACAACATAATTATATCAGAGAATGATTTGATTTATTTTGTGTAATTTTTTTTCTAATGGAATACTTACCCATTCACCACTATCAGAGGTGTTGGAAGATTCTACAGATTTAGAGCCAGGACTCCTTAATTTTGGAATAGTAATTTCTGAAGAATCTGCAACGAAACATGGTAATTTGTCAATAAATTCATTAAACATAAGCTATTTTTGCATGTACTTTTCCAACATATAAAGATAGTGTAGTCTTAATTTTGAGTTGAAATGCATAATTTGTTTTTGTATATTTTAATTCTTCCATATACCAACAAAAAGAGGGGGTAGAGAAAATGTACGCAAATAAAAAAACACATGTATGTCTATGTTCCCATACATAGAAGTATCAATATTTGACAAATACATGTAAAATGTAATGTTGAGACACAATAAGGGAGGTTTGGTTAAATAATCTTCTCTTTGGGGAAACATCATGTTCTCATGTTGATAACTTTATATAAATCCTACAGAAGGCCATCAGTTATTAAGTTTTATCTTTCAATTCTCTGAAAAACTGGAAACTGGTATAGATTTCTTAGACTAAGAATACCTGTAGAGTGAGTTGATGTAGACATGGACTTTGCTGAGGTTTCATGTATGCTTGGATCACAGATTCTGGAGGTGCTATTGTTGTGTTTGGACTGTTCATTCTACAATATAATAAACGCAATTCTTTAAACAGACTTTCTATAGTTTTCTATGATTTTGTATACTCACATCACTCTCTCCTACATGAGAATGTTTTATATTACTTAAAAGCCCTTGAAGTTAAAGAACTAAACATTCTGTATCTTCAGTTCATTTCATCTTTCTTTAGTAGTACATGCTTCATTACAAAACAATCTACATTAGTCAATTTCATAACTGCTGCAATAACATGTATGCAGCGTCTAATTGAGCTCATGACATGTCAAAAGATATGTCTACCAGCTATAATTTTGTACTGAAATATATTGACAACATAAATTTAAGGCTTTGCTTTCTGATTAAACTGAAGAGACTGTATCAATGAGAATTTCAAACAAAATAAAGAAATATGTTTCCAACAATTTTTAATGGTTTGGAATAAGGCTTTGATGTTCTTATAATTCATCTTGTCATCAGATATGATTACAGAACAATAAAATACAAATAATCAACAGGTTTCATTTTATTTTGGTTTATATAACAAAAAACTACAGGTAATCAACAGGTTTGATGTTGATGACAATCTACATTATTTCATCTTTTCATGACAAATAAGATCAGAATGTTACACTTTGTGTTAATTTTGACTGATTTAATAAGTAATTAGTACTTACATTTCTAATATATCAAACTCACCATGGTAGTTTTTGTTGCTTTCTCATTTTCCCAATTTCTGTCACTATCATGGGCAAGTTCAAAGGCTTTAGACACTGTCAATGTTACAGCTTGTGCCTGAAAACAAGACAGGTTTCTTATGCATGCATCATCTTTAGTTTCTTGGTCAATCACAAACACTTCAATTACTTCACACCTGATTTTATGCATCCTTGATACTCCAAGGGTTACTCTCACTATCACTCTCTGCACCCCTTAAACATATGGTAAAATTGAAGGCACAAGCAAAATGATTTGATTGGTCTAGAGCTGGTTCCAAGAGAAAAACTGACAAATCCAAGCTAATAGGCTCCATTAAGATTACAAAGGAGCATCACCCAACTTAAAAGCCATTACAACATAACGTTATGCAACCTGCAGATTTGTTTGATGTACATCAAAAGTGATTGTGTCCCTGGAGTATTGAGGATGGATTTTATGCAGAACCAATTTTCTTTCTGCTATATATATGTATTATATTTCTATAAAGTTTCAGAGCTTAATGTTTTTGTCCCATGGAACTTTTATTTAGATATACATGTGCTTATTCAGAAGAATTCATTAAAGAAATCTCAGAGTTACATACAAAGAAAGGACAGATCAGATCACAGCAAGGTAAAAACTGTACTAAGTCAAGTCTTTATTATCTATCAACCAAGAGGATTCAAACAGCAGTCTTAACACATACAAAAGAAAATAAATCCTTACTAGTTTCTTCTTCGGACACAAGTAGGCATGACATTCCATTGTTTCATTCACTGTTGTTCTAGCCATATAGGCAAACACTTTATCATGGTTTTTGTCAGCTGAGCAAAACGATATTCTGAAATAAAGAAACAAAATATTATTGTGAAAAATATTATCTGTATAATCATAACATGAATAAACCAGAAGGAAACATATGTAGCCTAGCAGGAGGAATATGATGAAAGCTGAGAGTCTGAATCAAACCTGGAAGATGAAAACTGAGCTGTATCAACCTAGCTATAGGGTATGAAGAAAACTGAGACTGGATAAACCTAGCTATAGGGTATGATGAAAGCTGAGAGTCTGTATCAAACCTGGAAGATGAAAACTGAGCTGTATCAACCTAGCTATAGGGTATGATGAAAGCTGAGAGTCTGAATCAAACCTGGAAGATGAAAACTGAGCTGTATCAACCTAGCTATAGGGTATGATGAAAACTGAGACTGTATCAACCTAGCTATAGGGTATGATGAAAGCTGAGAGTCTGAATCAAACCTGGAAGATGAAAACTGAGACTGTATCAACCTAGCTATAGGGTATGATGTATCAACCTAGCTATAGGGTATGATGTATCAACCTAGCTATAGGGTATGATGTATCAACCTAGCTATAGGGTATGATGTATCAACCTAGCTATAGGGTATGATGAAAGCTGAGAGTCTGAATCAAACCTGGAAGATGAAAACTGAGCTGTATCAAACAAGCTATAGGGTATGATGAAAGCTGAGAGTCTGAATCAAACCTGGAAGATGAAAACTGAGACTGTATCAACCTAGCTATAGGGTATGATGTATCAACCTAGCTATAGGGTATGATGAAAGCTGAGAGTCTGAATCAAACCTGGAAGATGAAAACTGAGCTGTATCAACCTAGCTATAGGGTATGATGTATCAACCTAGCTATAGGGTATGGTATGATGAAAGCTGAGAGTCTGAATCAAACCTAGCTATAGGGTATGATGTATCAACCTAGCTATAGGGTATGATGAAAGCTGAGAGTCTGAATCAAACCTGGAAGATGAAAACTGAGCTGTATCAACCTAGCTATAGGGTATGATGAAAGCTGAGAGTCTGAATCAAACCTGGAAGATGAAAACTGAGACTGTATCAACCTAGCTATAGGGTATGATGAAAGCTGAGAGTCTGAATCAAACCTGGAAGATGAAAACTGAGCTATATCAACCTAGCTATAAGGTATGAAGAAAACTGAGACTGGATCAACCTAGCTATAGGGTATGATGAAAGCTGAGCTGTATCAAACAAGCTATAGGGTATGATGAAACAGAGATGATATCAACCAAGGATATGATGAAACTGAGAATTTATCAACGTGGATAAGATGACAACTGTAAGACTATGAATCTGATTGAATGAAAACTGACAAACTATAATCATATACAGACTGGAAATAGGATGAAATATGTACAATTTTAATTATATACGAACCAGCAGAATTATACCAGAAAAGCTAATATATAAATGGATAGGATTAAATTAAATAGGAGATAGTTTTCACTGGATAGTATTTAATAGGATAGACATTTTCACTGGAAAGGATTAAATAGAGGAGACATTTTCATTGGATAGGATAAAATAGGGGAGGCATTTTCACTGGATAGGATGAAATAGGAGACACTTCCTCATTGTATACACACATAAATATATGTAATTATCTATATCAGTGTAAAGTGTATAGATTGTCAGATATATTAAGAAACAGTTATTCTATTCTGGCAATAGTCTCACTCTTTGAAAACTGAGATGATTACCTGTATATTGAGGTTTCTTGGAGAACATCCTTGGAAAGCATATCCACAACTTGGATACCAGTAGGCGATGCTGTCAGTGCAACTTTCTTCAGCTTTTTCCCCAACGCTTTAGCCTGCAGACCGAAGATCACAAAAAAACTATTATACCTGCTTCACTGTAATATTAAGTATTAATAATAAGAATTTAACTAGTACAGTAAAATATTTACCTTACAGAAGATCTCTATAGGGTATGATATGAGGGTATGAAAACTGCTATATCGAAGCTATAGGGTATGAAGAAAACTCACATAATCAAACAGAAGCAACAAAGAGAAGTTAGTTGTATTAAGCATTGTTTCCTTCAAAATACACCATGCACTGACATATCCTTATTTCTGGAGTCCAATGGGAAAATATGATACTAGAAAACCACAAAATATAGGATACAAATCATAATATCAATGATATTCCTTGTGTTAAATGTTTTTCTACAGGAATTGAAAAATATGAGATGATACTTTTTTTCTTCATTTTCAAACATTATGAAATTGACACACTTTTTAGCTTGAGGAACATCTTTAACTTTTTTGGCTGTGAAAAGGTTAAAAATCACTGACATGGAAATATCTTTCTATTCTAAATGTTAATCCTGTGGTTATTGATCACAAAGGTAACTGGAGGTTTCGGGATTAGGAAATAACTTGGTTTAATACATAATTCAACAAATAAATTAGACATATTCCAAACCCCAGGTTTAAAACACTGTAATGCCTTTCTGATATCCGATATTTGGTTTGTACCACATCTTGGCTTCACGATCAATACAATGTTATTACCACATCCTGTTACATACCATTGTGACAATATTCTGTACAGCCTTAGTGCTGGCCCCATCACCATAGCTTTCACCATCATCTGCCTCCTCCACCAGAGTAGAGCCCAGGTACTTCATATAGAATGTCAGGCCATCTTTTACAGCCTCTTTATTCTCATTGTAACCCTCTGGTAGCTCTGTAATATTTAAAAGAACCTGGTTACCCTGTACCAACTCTACAAAAGGCAATCACTGATATCCTGTACCAACTCTACAGTAGACAATCACTGTTACCCTGTACCAGCTCTACAGTAGACACTTACTGTTACCCTGTACCATCTCTACAGTAGACAATCACTGTTACCCTGTACCAACTCTACAGCAGACAATCACTGTTACCCTGTACCAACACTACAGCAGACAATTACTGTTACCCTGTACCAACACTACAGCAGACAATCACTGTTACCCTGTACCAACACTACAGCAGACAATTACTGTTACCCTGTACCAACACTACAGCAGACAATCACTGTTACCCTGTACCAACTCTACAGCAGACGATCACTGTTACCCTGTACCATCTCTACAGCAGACAATCACTGTTACCCTGTACCATCTCTACAGCAGACAATTACTGTTACCCTGTACCAACTCTACAGTAGACACTTACTGTTACCCTGTACCAACTCTACAGCAGACACTTACTGTTACCCTGTACCAACTCTACAGTAGACAATCAATGTTACCCTGTAACAACTCTACAGCAGACAATCACTGTTACCCTGTACCATCTCTACAGCAGACAATCACTGATACCCTGTACCATCTCTACAGCAGACAATCAATGTTACCATGTACCAACTCTACAGCAGACAATTACTGTTACCCTGTACCAACTCTACAGCAGACAATCACTGTTACCCTGTACCAACTCTACAGCAGACAATCACTGTTACCCTGTACCAACTCTACAGCAGACAATCACTGTTACCCTGTACCAACACTACAGCAGACAATCACTGTTACCCTGTACCATCTCTACAGCAGACAATCACTGTTACCCTGTACCATCTCTACAGTAGACAATCACTGTTACCCTGTACCAACTCTACAGCAGACACTTACTGTTACCCTGTACCAACTCTACAGTAGACAATCACTGTTACCCTGTACCAACTCTACAGTAGACAATCACTGTTACCCTGTACCAACTCTACAGCAGACAATCACTGTTACCCTGTACCATCTCTACAGTAGACAATCACTGTTACCCTGTACCAACTCTACAGCAGACAATCACTGTTACCCTGTACCAACTCTACAGCAGACAATCAATGTTACCCTGTACCATCTCTACAGCAGACAATTACTGTTACCCTGTACCAACTCTACAGCAGACAATCAATGTTACCCTGTACCATCTCTACAGCAGACAATTACTGTTACCCTGTACCAACTCTACAGCAGACAATCAATGTTACCCTGTACCATCTCTACAGCAGACAATCACTGATACCCTGTACCAACTCTACAGCAGACAATCAATGTTACCCTGTACCATCTCTACAGCAGACAATTACTGTTACCCTGTACCAACTCTACAGCAGACAATCAATGTTACCCTGTACCATCTCTACAGCAGACAATTACTGTTACCCTGTACCAACACCACAGCAGACAATCACTGTTACCCTGTACCAACTCTACAGCAGACAATCACTGTTACCCTGTACCAACTCTACAGCAGACAATCACTGTTACCCTGTACCAACACTACAGCAGACAATCACTGATATCCTGTACCAACTCTACAGCAGACAATCACTGTTACCCTGTACCAACTCTACAGCAGACAATCACTGTTACCCTGTACCAACTCTACAGCAGACAATCACTGTTCTACCAACTCTATAGCAGACAATCACTGTTACCCTGTACCAACACTACAGCAGACAATCACTGTTACCCTGTACCAACTCTACAGCAGACAATCACTGTTACCCTGTACCAACACTACAGCAGACAATCAATGTTACCGTCTACCAACACTACAGCAGACAAATGCTGTATTGACTCTACAGCAGACAATAGTTGTTTTCCATTTTAGAATACATGCATCACTGATGTAATTTACACTTTTTTTAAAATGATGACGACTGCACACTCAACCCATTAATATTTTAATCAACAACAATTGTAAAACTGCTGACTGGGCTAATCAATAAATTCACTTAGTCATGTATTTTCTATTTTGCTTCTAATTTCAATGCCAATGTGAATACAAATATCTTAGAAACAATGTGTGTAAAACAATGAAGGTTGGATTTCAAATGAACATTGAATTATATGCTTCCAATTAGTTTATTACAGTTTAATCCAATATCTTTGTGCTATAGTGTGAGAGTGAATTCAACAGAGACCTGTGGACAGGCATGAAGTGCTATGATGATTAGCTGATGACATTGCTTAGTCAATCATATGTATGTTTGGTATGAGCCCGATCAATTAGATGATGTATCCAGTCTCTGTTTGATGGCTGACAACAGCATTACATTACATATACTGAAATATATCGTATAGATCTGCATTATTAATGACTGATCTACATGTATATGTGAAGTATAAATTATCTGGTCTTTTCTTAGCAATTTCAACACGTCTGATTTTACAAAAAGAATTCACTATCTCTAGTACACACAAATTTACAGTATAAAAATCAAAGGATTTTTTTTTTGAGCATGTTGCTTTTATTACAATCCACAAATGAGTGATAATTTTCCCAAACCCAGCAAATTCATAGTGCTTCGTTATATATATTCAATTGATCATAATACAATTTTCAAATGTATATGCTGTACATGTTCTGACTTCTAGTTTATAAGGTTAGATCATGCAGTACATTAATGTATATGAAGCTGTGCACTCTGTGGTATTTTTTTCTTCCATAAGTGGCCAAATGCAACAATTAAACCCTTTCTCTTTAAAATTAACTTTCAAATTCTCAATGCATGCCCCTCCCTTCCCAATTTTTCTCTGTTTTAAATATCCCCAAAATATATGTAGGTCTATGAAAGAACAGAAAACTCCATCACTGTGATCCAACGATAACAAACTATCCACTCAGCTCTGTATATATAGTGTCTATTTCCTAACCCAGACATCTATATCATAGAAACAGCTATAAATAGCACATACATGAAGCAGAATTGTATCTATTGCCTGTATGTGTGATTTAGAATGAACCCTTCAGTCCCATAATAACTCGGTACACAGAGCAATTTAATGAATACAAGATAAACATAATTGCTAAATGTCACGAATAAATACATAAAATGCATTTGTATTACTAACCATTGGCAGCATGTAACTATGATAAGCCAATAATACTTTCTCTCCTTACAGAACATGTATACATGTAGTACAGTGGTGTTTGTTACTCTATATACCCCTGAGTTAAAGTAGTCTACATTATTTATTTGACAAAGTAAAAGTATCAAAAAGATTGCACCTAAAAAGCATTTTTGGACTAGCAAACTTCCACTGTCTTCATTTATCTAAAAATTTCCCTTTTGACTTATTTCACATAATGACATACATATACCTGATGTGTACTTTCTCATACCTATATTCCCACATATTTCACTTGATCATTATAAATAGTTAAAAAGCCTTGCTGGATGCTTTTTATAATTAAAGATCATTCCAGTATAGTGACAATGTGAATGAGAGCATTTTAGCTCTTTCTACGGCAGCTAGATTTATTTAGGGATTATGGTACAATTAGCTCAACTGGAATTTGAACTTGAGATCTAAAGATTCAAGACAGACGCTCAAAGTTTCAGTAATGTTATTCTGTCCAGGCCTCTCCCAAGTCTTATAGTTTTAATACATAAGGCCCATGCAAATACATGTAATTGATCACAATACAGAGTTATTAATTTTGAACTTTTACAAATAAAATTCAGTTAAAATATTCACAGAAAGGATCTTACACTAGTGTCAATGTAATATGGAATTTGTTAACAGAATTTAATACTTTGTTATATCACCAGCATTTAGGTGGTGTCTAGATCTGATTGATGTGAGTGTAAAATCCTATTTACTTGTAGTTAAACTTTATTTCCGAAAGTAAGTGAAAACTCTCAAATTATTTCCCTTTAAGATATACCGGGGAATTACATTTTTCACTCCAAGAACAATTATGTGATCATGATGTCATCAAGACGTGACTTATTTATGATGTCAAAATAGTGTTATTACATGTGTCTTACAATATTTATGACATGGCTGTATGACATGACACAACAGATCAGTTACATCATAAAATAAATTATACCAGGAAATAGCACCATGATGAACCAGAGTTGCAGACAAATAACTTGCTAAATTTAAAAAAACTCGAGTTTCATTTAAACATGAGAAATATCCATCACTCATTGGGGAACACATGATAAATAACCATCACTCACTGGGGAACACATGATAAATAACCATCACTCATTTTGGAACACATGATAAATATCCACCACTCATTGGGGAACACAAAATAAATATCCATCACTCATTGGAGAACACATGATAAATAACCATCACTCATTTTGGAACACATGATAAATATCCACCACTCATTGGGGAACACAAGATAAATATCCATCACTCATTGGAGAACACATGATAAATAACCATCACTCATTTTGGAACACATGATAAATATCCACCACTCATTGGGGAACAAAAGGTAAATATCCATCACTCATTGGGGAACACATGATAAATAACCATCACTCATTGGGGAACCTCTATCACATAACTCTTATGTGATCTGTGGACTAGGACCCATAACATAATTTTACTTATCTTAAATTTTATTTGATGTGAAATATGAACTATTTCATTACAGTGTCATGTGCATTTTTGAGTAATGTGACGTCACCAAGAAAAAGTGAAAATATTGCCAGATTATCATTTCTTAAACAGTCTAATTAAATGGACCCCCATACACACTTTATTTTTACAAAGTTTGCAAAACTATCAACAGTATGTGATAAACACAATCTTTCGATGGTTTCCACTTCAATGTGCTTGATGGAAATTATCTCAAATTTTCATTTAACCTCATCCGTGGCTTAGTGAATAAAAAGTTCTTGTCTCACAAGTTCCCTCTGAATAGAAGCTACCCTGTACCATGTTTATTATGTCATGTATATGCAGACTTCAGTTGGATACCTATAAATAATTAAGACTTTTTAGTTGTAGTGCTGAAGTTCTGTCGACTAGAGCATCCATATGCATCTAGAATTAGATTGGATGTCAGCTCCATTATACTTTTCATCTACCTTAGCTGTTGATTTTCATAATACATGTTCTCGTTTCAGTGATTAGAATTTCAATTTGGATTGATTTGGATTGTAAATTAAATTTCTATATATGCCAACATCCTGCTGTTGACCAGGGTTGTCTCTAGCACATTTGTTAAAATATCAATGATTGTGGAGGTCCCAGATTTGAGATCAATGCAAGTGAAGCAGTATTGCACCGAATGTTACCTGATGGATTTATTGCGATAAATCTTTAAACCTCATGGTCCTCATTTGGGAATCTGACATTACTTAGCTGGACTGACCAATATTTACATGCCATGCTTTGTAAGATAAGTCTGGGATACTTACCATTCTGGTAAACCTAGTCTACTTCTTCTATTACACTTTTTTACAGCCTTTTTTTCTGTGTAATTCTTTCTTTGGCTCATATTTCGCCCTTCTTACATTACATTTCAAGTTTGGATTCAGAATTTAGGATGTCTCATATTTTTTTAACTTAATTACTTCTTCAATATTAAGGTCACTATCGCTCGATAATAGAAGTTTTCACAATTTTTATAATGCTAACAACAAACCCACAGAGTTTTACTGGACCTACCCCCCACCCCTTCCAACCCAACCCAACCCAACACTATACAATTAATTACATGTGTATAAATTATGTAATCCTAGTAAATGCTAGCCAATATATAATACACTGCTTGGCTAGTCAAAACTTCTCTTTAGCTCTATCAGTTGAGCATAAGAGTAATAAACCAGACGTCCCGGTTTGAATCCTAACAGAGACATTTAAATAAAATAATATACAAATTGGCACCCATATTGGAATTCTGGAATAGTACCTTCCATGCATCACTGTAACTCCTGGAAACTCAAGGACATGTTCTTTCCTGGTGGGGGTGTACCTGTGGTAAATACTAACCACAACATACCCCTAGGCTAGACAGAACTTCTCAGCTTGATGAGTTTGGCTTTATACTATTAAGTCAGAGGTCCCCGATTTCAATCCTAGCACTGGCATTAAAATAAGGTGTGTATCATCTACAATCTCGCAGCTGAGGTTCTATAAGTGCTCAGGTAACAGACTACATACGGTACAATGCATTGGTAAGATGATTACATTATAGGCCTATAAATGAATTCAATCTAACACACAGTACACATGCTGTTGCCAACGCCCTATCCCAATATATATATACTATATGGTTATCGTCAACTGACTCAGAGGGTAAGCCTATGTTGTGCCAGGGTGCTCCCTACATTGAGTCGTTTAACTAAATACGCAGGAAGGAGACAGTTTGGTCATTGGCCAAAATACTGATATAGCCAAGCGGGATGGGGGTCACAACCAGTTTGACTTACTCTTGTGTCGGGACTTCCCAAAGCCGTCCCGCAACACATTGGGGCTCTTCTTCATCGCACGACGTAAAGCATCCATGTTTATGTCAAACTAGAACACAACAGTGTAATGGAATGCGGTTACAATTCTTATCTCTGCCTCTTTTACATCCGATTTGTAGACCACTGAATGGTTGGTTACACCTGTTCCAAATATGGTAAGTATGGGCGTTCACTTGGCAAGACAGAGTATGGTGCGACAGTCATAGTCAATCAGAAGCTTGAAGAAAATGTATTTTCATACCGAAGCGTCTTACGGACTGTGATTACTTAGTTATGAATGAACTACAGGTCATCCCCTATGATAACTGCAAATCGATAGTTCACAACTTCAGAGGTTGACAATCTGAAGGTATAGATAAGATTATAGATCAAAGTAAATATTCTGAATCAAGCATTTAAAGGGAAACAATCTGCATCAAACGCATAGTAATGTCAAAAACGAATTAAACCGACGCATAATTAGCCTATCATTAACGCAATTAAAATCAAATGCTTTACGCATCAACTTTGCAAACGTTCATGCTTTAAACCTCATAAATTGTATCAAGTCGGTGGTTAAACATAGTTTTGATTATTTACGTGATTTCGTCAAAAGCATCAGTCAATCAAACAATGTGTTAGAGAAACCAGTCTACTATGTTAAATAAACACCGTAGTAAGCAGGTCATATACACTGTTGTTATATATTACTATCCGTATATATCAAACGTCTCTGATATACGGAATTAAATTATATATCATGGTACTGGAATCGGAGCTTTGATAAAACAATTTGGCATGTCAAAAAGCAACACGAAAATACAAATATGTCAATAAAATCATAATGAATAGCTCAAATTCAAGAAAAACTAGGGCAAAATATGAATAAAAGAAAGATTTACACGGAGACTCTTGAAAAAGGTACAAAGAATATAGGATAATGTGTTCCGGAAGAATTCCTTGTAAACGACGGTCAATCCAAGCAAGTAATATCACGTTGTCAAACTAAAAAGAATAAGGCAGCAACAAAGGGACAAATAGACCAGGGACCTGAATAGACAAACTAACGAACATTAAACACATCCAGTTACATATCGCACACATACAATATTTCTTAATGTAATCACTATAACGAACGTGAAATTAGCCCATAATGTTCTGTGCCACGAGTTTGCCCGTCAGTTGACGACTTCTTGCAAGAGAATCATAACGGGGACTGGCCCTTGAATATCGAATCACACGCGACATGTAAACACCATAGATTGGGGATGCTGGCATGTTGCTATCCAGAGATGCAAAATACACAATTGGGAAATAGAGATCATCACATTTATCATAAAGCTTGGTGGATGGCTGTCCATATTGATTTCGTTGTAGGAAAAGGTCGAGATATACGGTTGATGTAGAAGTGTCTATCGTGTCTTTGTTTTCCTATTCTTGTGGGTCAATAAAACTCTTGTTATTCAACAATAACGAATTGCAACGTGTTTAGCATCAGTTTTATTTGTTCACAATGTTCGTCCTAACACCGTTTTCCCTTACTGGTAATTATGAGCTGCCGCTTTGTTGGACTGTCTACCTGTTGTTGTACTTTAATTTTAGCGATGAAAAGCTTGAAAGATCTACGGTTTGCTTTTTCGCATCAAATCTACACTGAAATTAGCATCTGAATGATCTTTCCTGAAAATACATATTTTTTCAAATAATGTACATACTACCGTACATTTTTTTGCGATCTTTCTATAATTGTTGGCTTGATATAAACATATTATCTATAAGTTCTGACAACTTGTGCACTTATTTCCCGAGAATCCTTGGAAATTACGTCGAACACCTGGAATATTTCCTTCTTTTTTCTACACGTATGCAGAAGTTATGCAGATAAGAAGAGAAACTAGAAAAGAATGCGGACGGAGAAAAAGAAGCTTTGAAGCTGTGATATGAGAGAAAGCGTGAGGTTAGAGAAGGTAATTCATTATATTAATACAATTACAAATGACCTTAAACCTATTACCGAACGAAAAATGTTCTGGTTGCCCCGCAGACAGATTCCATTAAAATGTTGTCAGCCCAGTAAATACAACAAATATACATTACATTTCCCCTTTCGTTTCTGCATGCACTGTCTCGTTATAAATAATACTATGAACAGAAAGGTTAGCGTGCTTTCCTGGCATTACAAGTGAATGATTGAAAACGAAACGACGTTTTTGCTATATATAAAAAATGAGCAATATTATTTTGTTCAAATTCAACGGTTTCCAAAATCATTCAAGCTCCTCGATCGAGGTTCACACAACTATAACTTGTATTTCGTTTGAATTTCATAAACGAACGCATGTTTCTGGGATTCTTAGGACTTTTGCTATTAACCATTAAGCATCGCTTGTCACGAATACAAAGGAAAACAGCTGACGCTACGCAGACGATTCGTTGTAAAGGCACCGGCTTGTCAGTCCAAACAGTCCGCAACAGGTTGAAAGCCTTCATACCAAATGAAAGCGCTGCGTCCCTACACTGAACCCATTTTGTTCCGACGGCAAGTATAGCTGAACCATGAATTCATCGTCGGAAGGCGTAACGGAAATGTCTTATGTTTTTTCCTGCAACACAGTAACGGAAGGCGCAGGGCGCGTGCAGGCGATGAAAGAAGCGTTTTGCGAACTGCTGCGTGGCAGACCGGAAGTTTTCCATTTCCTTGAACAATGAATTAAACTTCTCTCCTCGAATTATTCACCGGTTTACGAGTACCTCGCGACGACCCTGCATTGTCGTCTACCTCGTAAACGATTGTCCTGCCCGTTACTAGTGGTGTCACATTTGAAATCGACCTCCACGTCATCTAATGTCGAATAAAACCAACTAAGTGCAAAGTTTTGATTTAACCACGATAATGATTTATATGGAATAATCAATTACTTCACAAAGGCGATAATGAAGTTTCTTGTTTCTGAGAGTGGTTCAAGTAGAGGATGGATGGCGTTTTGTTTAAATAAACACATAGTAAGCAAATTGTAAAGAAATAACAGCGCAAAAGTAACACAGAATGCTAAGGACGTGTTGTCTACCTAAACATGGTTACGAACCTTCAGCAACAGAAGCTACATCTATATCGTACATTTAAGTGTAGTGAAAAATGAAACTGACGTTTCCACTCACCTGGCCCTGAGGGTCAAGTAAACCCATGCTGTTAGGCGTCAATCATCTGTCCATCCGTCCAATATCAACTGGTTTGAGATTAAAGTGACTGGTTACAAACCACTATCAGTTGTCAACAGGAATAATCATTGTTGTCTGGTAGGTTCATGGGAGGAAACACATACAACTCTGCGAAAATGAATTACCTTGACTCACTTCAAGGTCACGTGGTAAAATTTATTTAAACACTTTCACGATATCTTCTGATAAACCAAATGAATCCGTATTTGGGATGTAGGTTTTCTGGGATAAAATCCGACAAAGAAATAGAACTTGACCCATATTTCAGGTCACATAGGTCAAATGTATTAAAACAACTTCTTCTGATCAACAAAATTGCCTAGAATCACGATAAATGTATTTAAGTGATAGGTTCCTGTGATGTAGCCCAACAAATATTGCGAAAAGAATATTCAAGGTTTTATCAAAACAAAAAGCCAAGAATATTTTTACAGGTTTGGGCTTTAGGATGCAGCTGAACAGTGAATTAAAAGAAATCCTTAACTATGGTCCTTACAGGATAACACCAAATAATAGTCAATAGACCTTCATAATATATGAAATTCAGACAGCGCCACTGTCTGTATATGTTATCATCGATATTGTGCCATGTCCCATGTCCAATTTATGTCATTTTAGTATGGTGACACCTTAAAGATCTCCGTGAGTGTCAATTTCACGACAATTACGTACCAGGATACGAGCTTATTTTTTCTGTAACTTTTTGATATCCATGACAGAGTTAGGCTCGATACAGAGAATACCGTCATACCGACCAGAAGTGACTATGATCGACTAATGATTAACGCCCGGGATTGGAGCTGAACATTGAGACCTAAAGCTCCGAGTTCAGTAACAACTTTGTAAGACTAAGTAAGTATGCAAGTAAGTAAGCAAGCAAGTGAGTATTACATTATCATTAATAATGACATTTCGGATGTTTTCTTATTGTTTCAATGTAATTTTAACATTTTCTTAGATACATGTAATTTTCACATATCACTTATTTTCAATTTGATCACGGATGTACGCTCAATATTAAATCTGGATATATCATGGTGTACACACGCATGATTTTTCTGCGTTGAGACAGCTATGCTCCTTCGATATCAAAGTAACGACATCCGTCCGTAAGATGTAGACACCATCAGGATATTACAAGAATTAAAATAGAGTAAATGTAACAAAGATTTCTTTAGTTTTCTGGAGTACTCATTTGTTTTAAAGCAACCGCATGACACGTGGAAATTGTAGTGTTTCAAGGAAATCGAAAAATAGATATGCTCACACAATGCTGCTATTGTGCTGACAACAAAGAATATTTCCGAGAATCATTAATTTAGATTCAATTATTTTATCCGTCATATCGTTGGGTCACTTCCCGTTCACGGATCAGGAAAAGTTCTTCATAATACCACTTTATGTGTAATCACCTGTTTCCGTCAGCCACTTTAATAAACATTTCACATACTAGTGGAATATCACCCGCGGTATATATCCAGCAATAAGTTCATGTGTGGAAATAATTCCCTTCCAATCTCTTTCTCTAGGAATGCAATATCACAATCTAGATGTAGATCAATATTCATACAGAACCATCATCGTATTGGCTTTTTGGCCTTATCGTAGAACAAAAAGTCCTCCTTTCTTAGGAATCCATCCCTCTGCTGAAAGCGGGTCTAGCCTATGGCCCGATTCACCCAAGTATGTACTCGAACAAATTTCAACAGATGTAAAAGACCAAGAGATTTCAGAGGGATCTTGGTGCCCACCATTATTTGATCATTGCTTGTTCTTTGAACGTTCGATCTATTTAATTCTTTTCTCTTCTCTGCTATTAATGATGAGAAATTTTAACACTAATCCTTTGCAGAAATAGTGATAATAATCTTTCAACTGCTAATTCCAAGATGGTCACCTAGAAGCCATTTCGTTTTTTTCTGATCAGGCCCAAAATCAAATGGAAGCAACTCGGGACCAAGGGGAACCTAAGCATGAAACATGTGAGACATCTATTCAGTAATTCCTAAGAAAAACCCAGAACAAACTTCACTGGGCGAATTCTAAGATGGACGCCTGTCGGCCATTTTGTTTTTCGGATAAGTTCTAAAATCTAACGGGTACACCTTGGGATCACGGGGAACCTACACATGAAATTTGAATAAGATCTATGCAATTGTTCTCAAGAAATAGGATAACAATCTTCATTGAAAAGAAATCCAATATGGCCGTCTCTCCGCCACTTAAATTTTCTGATTAGTCCCGAAATCAAGCGGGCACAACTACACACCACGGGAAACCTACATGTGAAAATTGAGAAAGATCAATTCAGTACTTTGAAATAGTGACAAGAAATTTGTTTACTGATGGACGTCCGGCAATTTGAAATTGCTGAATTTTCCTTACCCTGCCCCATTCCTGTGGTCAATGGGGACCCAGACTTGTAACCTATGTCAGGCTTCTTCCCAGCAGCTTTTTTCTGCAAATATCCTGATTCTGAGTTTTTCAGTGTTTTAATTTGACCCATACGACCTTGAGTAAGAATTTTTTTCTCAAACTCTGTAAGGCTTCATCCTAGAAATCATTACCCTACACAACTTGGTTCTTCGAAAGAATCCATTAAAAGCATGTACAACAGACAACTGACAGACAGTTGGATGTAATGGCAGATGATTTACTCCAGAATTAATGTCACTGGTCCCCCTGATCATGTGAGCATGAAATCAAAATAAACTGCACTAGGGTAACTCATTTTTATTTACCACTATTTATCAAAATTATTAAGAAACAAGTACAAAAAATTCATAGTAGCTGTCTGTAACACAACGGCATAGCCGTTACACTATTTTCTCCACAATGTGATGTCTGTAAGTTATCACAGCACCATATACATTTATAAAAATCTGACTAATCAAGCACTCATTTCCATTGAAAACTTGACATCAACATCATGTACCATATATCAGAACTAATAGTAATTTTGACATTAATCTTTTACACTTTTAGCATTTATTCATGTTAAGGTAACTGACACTCATGGCTAATTATTGTCATTGTTTAATTGATTTCTATAAATAATCATGATGGCTTAATGATGTAACTATTCTCAACTGGTCTTAGATATGATTTATACATGTCCACATCTTGACTGATCACTGCCATCACTCACACATGCCGATCCCTGCTAGATTGATCAGAGCCATTACTTATATATGTCCTATTCCAGCAAGACTGACCACAGCAATAAATTAATCATATTGTTTCTCAGCTAGACTGACCACAGCCATCACTCACCATACATGTCCGATCCCAGCTAGATTGACCATAGCCATCAATTATTCATGATGTTTCCCAGTTAGACTGACCACAGCCATCAATTATTCATGATGTTTCCCAGTTAGACTGACCACAGCCATCAATTATTCATGTTTCCCAGTTAGACTGACCACAGCCATCAATTATTCATGATGTTTCCCAGCTAGACTGACCACAGCCATCAATTATTCATGTTTCCCAGTTAGACTGACCACAGCCATCAATTATTCATGATGTTTCCCAGTTAGACTGACCACAGCCATCAATTATCAATGATGTTTCCCAGTTAGACTGACCACAGCCATCAATTATTAATGATGTTTCCCAGTTAGACTGACCACAGCCATCAATTATTCATGTTTCCCAGTTAGACTGACCACAGCCATCAATTATTCATGATGTTTCCCAGTTAGACTGACCACAGCTATCACTCATAGATGCCCTATCCTCGACTGACCCCAGACATCTTTCATTCATGTCCAATCCTAGACAGAACATATTCACCATCACTCATAGATGTCCTTGCCTTGACTGACCCCAGACATCTTTCATTCATGTTCAATCCTAGACAGAACATATCGACCATCACTCTTACATGGCCTATCCTATGTTGACCACAGCCATCACTCTTACATGCCCTATCCTAGACTGGCCCCAGACATCTTTCATTCATGTCCAATCCTAGACAGAACATATCCACCATCACTTTTACATGCCTTATCCTAGACTGGCCCCAGACATCTTTCATTCATGTCCAATCCTAGACAGAACATATCCACCATCACTCTTACATGCCCTATCCTAGACTGGCCCCAGACATCTTTCATTCATGTCCAATCCTAGACAGAACATATCCACCATCACTCTTACATGCCCTATCCTAGACTGGCCCCAGACATCTTTCATTCATGTCCAATCCTAGACAGAACATATCCACCATAACTCTTACATGCCTTATCCTAGACTGGCCCCAGACACCACTAATACGTCATACATGTAGAATAGAAGTTCTTATAACACAACCAGTCAAAAATTAAGAGTTTAACATTTTGATGACTACATGGTCATCTTCATCAGACAAATTACCCATGTGGAGCGTACTAGCTGGCGTACATAGTGTACAAGCCTACAGTAAATTGTTATGATCTTGTGTATTTTCTGGTCTATAAGCTGTTTACCATCTTTTTGATCTTTGATCTTAGTGTAAACAGTATTTTAGGACAACCGAAAAAAAGTTGGTTGATTCCTTACCATCTCATACACTACCTATGTCATTGCTAGTATGCTCCACACTAATCATTTGTCTGATGAAGGTGACTGTGTAGTCATCGAAACGTCAAACTCTAATCTTCTACTGGTTGTTTTACAAGAACTTCTATTAAATTGACATTGCCTGCCTGAAGAAAATGTTCCAAAACATCATAAATGTCCTATCCTAGACTGAAAACAGACATCACACATACATCATACACATCTTATCCTAGACTGAAAACAGACATCACACATACATCATACACATCACATCCTAGACTGAAAACAGACATCACACATACATCATACACATCTCATCCTAGACTGAAAACAGACATCACACATACATCATACACATCACATCCTAGACTGAAAACAGACATCACACATACATCATACACATCACATCCTAGACTGAAAACAGACATCACACATACACATACATGAAAACAGACATCACACATACATAATCATCTCATCCTAGACTGAAAACAGACATCACTCATACATCATTCATGTCCTTTCCTAGACTGAAAACAGGCATCATTACTACATCATACACATCTCATCCTAGACTGAAAACAGACATCACACATACATCATACACATCTCATCCTAGACTGAAAACAGACATCACTCATACATCATTCATGTCCTTTCCTAGACTGAAAACAGACATCACACATACATCATACACATCTCATCCTAGAATGAAAACAGGCATCACTCATACATCATTCATGTCCTTTCCTAGACTGAAAACAGACATCACACATACATCATACACATCTCATCCTAGACTGAAAACAGACATCACTCATACATCATTCATGTCCTTTCCTAGACTGAAAACAGGCATCATTACTACATCATACACATCTCATCCTAGACTGAAAACAGGCATCACTCATACATCATTCATGTCCTTTCCTAGACTGAAAACAGGCATCATTACTACACCATACACATCTCATCCTAGACTGAAAACAGGCATCACTCATACATCATTCATGTCCTTTCCTAGACTGAAAACAGGCATCATTACTACATCATACACATCTCATCCTAGACTGAAAACAGGCATCATTACTACACCATACACATCTCATCCTAGAATGAAGAAGACATCACTTATACACCATTTTATTATTATGTTATCAATGCTTAGCTACAAGTATTATGTTGTCATCTGCTTGTCACTCTATATTAGGAGACAGATTTACATAAGTATTGTTATACTTTTTTCTGAATCCTATTTATATTTGTAATAATGATGTACAATTATGACACGTATGAAATAAATAAAATATGTTGAAACTAAACTTATACACCATACATATGCTATCCTAAACTGAAAACAGACATCACTCAAACATGTCCTTTCCTAGACTGAAAATAGACATCACTCATATATCATACATATGCTATCCTAGACTGAAAACAGACATCACTCATACATCATACATGTGCTATCCTAGACTGAAAACAGACATCACTCATACATCATACATGTGCTATCCTAGACTAAAAACAGGCATCACTCATATATCATACATATGCTATCCTAGAATGAAAACAGGCATCACTCATACATGTCCAATTCTTGATTGAAAACAGACATTTTTCATTTATGGCCAATCCTCGACAAACATATTCATCACTAATATATGCTCTATCCTAGACTGAGCCCAAACATCGCTCATACATCATACATGTCTATCCTAGACTGACCCAAGCCATCATTCATACATGTCCTGGTACATCTCTCTTCCTAGTCTAATGTATTCCTCCTTCTCTGCAGAAGACATCTTGGCCACCATATCGTCAGTGACCTCATGATATGGAACAGGCTCACCAGCAACGTGGACCATTGGGATGGAATCTTCCTCCTCACTCTCCATCTCCTCAACTGAAACAGAGAGTAAAGTGACATTTGTTGTCTTCCTAATGTCTTTGTGTACTGAATCTAGTGATCCTACAAAGTGTTTTTATTTCAAGAATTCCCTGGTTTCTTCCAACAGTTTTGCCCTTGCACACTTAGATGAGGGCCACAAGCTAAAGTGATTTAAATGAATTATCATTTTTCACAATTATGATTAAATCAAATAACTTCATTGGATTCTGAGTTCAGATACAGCAAGACACTCATAACAGTTGGACAAATAAAGCCAAATAAGATAATTAGCTGTAATGCACTTTCATGGTGGTACAGTGACACATGTACTAGTTTAAATGTTCTCTGACTCACCCACTCACATTATTGCTAAAGCAAATATCAGGCCTTTGATATAAACATTGATTATCACAGACGTTTATTATCATAGATAATGAAGCTAGTATAGAAGTAACACATATGCAGAAAGTCTACTCCATCAAGACATTAATGTTGAAGTAACCCTTCTGTTTACTGTAAGGTTTTGGTACCGGGTATTTACCTCTATTTCTTTTTCACTGTTTACATCATTTAACATTCGGAGTGTAAATATTTTCAGAGAATACTTGTGATTTCACTGAAATAAAGCTTAGATAATAACTCTAATCACTATTTAAACATAATGTGTAGTTTGAACGTTAATAAGACTTTAGTTATTTTATGATCAAAACGCGGACAATATCCTACATCAACTGACGCTACTTTACAATTTCTTTTCAATTTCTCTTTCAGAATTTTTAATCGGCAACATGTCTGAATCAATGTGATAGAAAAATTACATCATTTTTTGGTAGGAATTGTACTGATTTGTATTTTCCTCATCGTAGAGACCATGTCAATAATTTTACTAGAAAGTCTGAAATGATTTGTTACCACCTGACAGCGATTGGACTACGTAAAATTTGATAGGTCACATATATTAGCCAAGGACCACATAAATGTGGTAGTCCTAGTCTTAACATTGTATTACCAGTACTGGTGACTTTGTCCTTGTATTACCTGCTGCAGCTGTTGGCTTTTGTTTCCTTGTCCTCTCATCTTCTGAGTCACTACTTGAACTGTCACTGTCAGCCCCTTGGAGCCCTGAAGTCCCAGGTAAAGGGGGACCACTTTTTTTCTTCTCGTGAATGATTAACAAGGTCTCTATTTCGTTAGTATTTGGGTATTTAGGAAGTTCCACTCCAGATGGCCCAGCCACATCCATTCTGTCTGGCTGTTAACGAGTCAATCAAAGAGTTAGTAAAATATGACATTTAATGTTATAAAAGTAATATATATGTAAATGGTTTCAGTGAAGCGAATTTTTTCAAAAAAGTTCCTCAATTCCATCCCTTCTTTGCTTAATGTAAAATCATATAATACATTGCAAAATTTATTTTCTGGGTGAAAGATGGCACAACGTTAATGTTCATTACATTTGTACATGTATACACTTTTCTAGTTGATAACTTCAACAAGTAAAAGAAAACTGAAAAACTTGAGTGTTTCTTATATGGCACTGATGTAGAATGAACCTCCATAGTTGTAATGACCATTTTTATCTATTGCTTTTTCTTTGTACAACTATCAATTTATAAGAAGAAAAGTTCTCTGAATTAGGCTGTGAATATTTGGGAAGCAGCTTGTATTTACCATATCCACAACGTCATTTGAAGCAGTAGTTTGTACTGTACTCTTCACCATCCATTCAGGACGATCCTTGATTTTCTGTTTGTCCCGTTTCTGTGCCTCCTCCTCAGTATCCATAGTGATGGTGACATTGCTTTCCATGTCAGTATATCCAAAACCTGTCCCTCGTGTGGCATCTCCAGACCAAATCCTTGATTCACTCTCTTTGTTACCGGATGGCTTGCTGGTACCATGACTGACAAAAACAAGATTAATTGAAAACAGATAATCAATAAAAAAAAATACTCAATACCAATTTAAAAGGATATCTCTAACTGGAGAACATATTACAATTGTACAAAAAAGTTATTTTTCTGCTGTGAGAACAAAGTGGTTTTGTTTCTCCAAATGTAACTGACTTTGAAAGAGAGCAGGGTTAAGTATGGGAATTAGGCATGCATTGTTAAGCTGTTCATGGCCCTTGTGTTCTTGATGGTAGATGAACTAAAACTATTAGTAGACCCTCATTTCGAAGAAAACAAGACATCACTGTTTCCTCCATGAATATTATTCATATTTTATATGCATATATATAGGATATTCAGCACTTTTAAACAAAGTCACCCTCTTCTCAACTGTCAACAGAAATTAGGACATACAATATATCATGATGTGTATTGTCTGCCATACCACATAAAGTTGAGTTAACATGGGATGGATCTTATTCAAGATATAAATAATAGATACACATTTTATCATGTATAAAACATATCAACACTGTTGCAGTTTACATGGCTTATCACCTTACCTTTTTAGATGTCTGATATCAGTTGGTTCAGGTTCCATTAACTCAGGTGCCAGCTTAATATCATCACATTCCTTCAACAAGTCAAATACTGACTGAATCTGTTCATTAAACTTAGCTAACAAAGTCCTAGCATCTTTCTTTGGCATAGCACTTTCATCTTCTTCCACCTCACACTCACAAAAGGTACATCTAAATGTCTGGCTCATGAAATCAAAGAGCTGATCTGCCTCCAAGTCTGTGTATGATTTACAACAAGAAGGGCATTTAAATGATGCTCTACTTGTATTGTCCCTCTCCTCCATTTCAATTTTGCGTCGCACATGATCAAGTTTGTATTTGACTACATTTACAAACACCTGGTAGCCAATGAAGTAATAATTATGTCTTGTACTTTTACCTTCTGCATCTGTTTCAACTTTCATCCTCATTTTAACAATTTTTTCATTCTTCAGTGTATTAAGTAGTGATCGTAAATGTTTCCGGTCAAACTTTAGCAATTCTGCTATATCGTCCTCCTTCATACATGGGTTGCGTACCAGTAAGTCTATAACTATGGCATGTTCCATACTGTAGAAGCCTCTTGCTATCAACCTAGCCAAACGCTTCAATGTCTCCGGGACCTCTGTTAAAATGTCTGGCTCATTCATGATGGAATTCCTTGAACTGATACCTTTAATTCATTACTTTATCATGGTTCTGCCATCTAAAATGAGAAAAAAATCCATAGAATTTCAATTATATATATTGTGGTGCAAATTTTTAATGGTTAGGTCTATATCTATATACATGGAAATTTGTCTATCTAGATACAATGTGATAAAATTGTCTAATATCAACAAGACAATTTGGTAAATAAAAGTCCCCTACCAACAAACTGCCTTACCAAAGTGAATCCATACTTCAAGTATGAAGTTCCATTGACAAGAAGTGTATGAAATAAAGTGATCTGCTTTTGATACAAAGCAAGATACATTGCCTCATCAAGTTCCAGATATCGGCAATGTAAGAGATTGAGCCTTAACAAGATTGCAGAGAGACAAACAGATAGTGCAAAAAACTATTTTCCCCTACCCACTCCTCCCCAGGTCCGGTGGGGCACTTGATGATGAGCTATAAGTGAAATTAAAAAACTAAATTAGGAATTTCAATAAAATTTGAAAAGGGAAATTCAATTACACAACAAAACGGCATTTTAAATCATATTCTAAGTGATTGCTCTTGATCAGGTACCTTTTTACAAAAATATAGACCTTATTTTCTAACGACTGAATATAACATGAAAATAATATTAGTGTACACAGCTGAATGAAAATAATGCTCACCAGTATAAGCTGAAAATATCAACTACAGCAGAAGCTGATAGCAGAATTTTAATTCCACTTTCATAAGAGTTACCTCTCCTTGACCACCAGGTTAATTTGTAGTTACTAATTCTCTTAAAAATACTTAATCAGACAAAAGTGTTGTGATATTTCTTGTTGAATTGTCACCAAAAAAAAGACCAAGACTGATGGTTTTTTAGTGCAGTGTTAATTACTGGTGGTCAGGTTAAGCAGCGTTAACTCTAGATTTTCACTTTTCATAAGTAACCAGGAGTCAATTGATTTGCCATCAGACATGAAAATAATGTACATATCTAATTTTTGCTAATTCAAGCGACACTTTTAAATTGCAAAAAAGCGCAAAATCAGAAAATTTCTATGTTTTTTTTCCTTTTTATTGTAAATGCAGAGTTATACTTCTATACATCTGATATACTTAAATGCACCTCAACTCTTTCTACTCATGAATACTCCTATAATGAACAAATACTAGTCAGTACGTACACTTCTTATCTAGTATGACTGGTCTGTTAGATCTCCAGCTGATGTTAGGATTTACACAGGTATGTATCTAATTTATGTCCATTCTAGAGTATTTAAAGGGCTGGGCATTTTCATAAAAATTGCTTAGTACAAAATTATCCTGATATATGACATCGGGCCACCTGCCTAACCTAGTGCATTCTCCTTTGATAATTCAGTTTCTTCCCACAGTAACACCTTTTACATATGCATGCTTCAACAGGATCATTGTCATTAATATACAAATATTTAGGATCATTGAACCTAAAAACAATTGGGTCCACAAATGGCGATATACACAATTTGAAACAATCTTGCACAATTATATTTTTGTGAGTTGTGGTTAAGGGGGGATAACTTGCCCAGGTTATAGAGCTTTTAGTATTCAGATACAGACCATAGTGCTAGTATTATTTACAAAATAGTATAACTGAAGTAATTGTCACCTTGCTTAAGACAACGTAACTTGAATAATGAATACATGGGAAATTCAACATTTGGTAGATCATTAAAACATTACAGTATATAACTTGTTCTTTGCTTGGATAAAGTTTGTTGAAGCAGATGGTAATTTTTGCTTCCTCTAAGTGAAGGTACTTACATGTAGTCTGTCAGACTATTTCAATGGTAGGGTAGTCGCTCAAATTCTGGTAATATTCGAGTAGGTTTTTAATACTTCTTAAATAAGATTATTTCCTCAGGACATTCAATAAGTAGTGGTGTAATGATATTGCGATACAGATCAATGTCATCAAATTTTCTGATTTGATAAGATACAGCAGAACAATATCACAATATACCCATTGTACACTAGTAATATTCCAGAAGAAAACCTACTAACATTGCTTATGAGATGTTGCACAAATCACTGAGTAATTTTCAATTTTTGAGATGATGATCATGATCCAATAATCATGTGGCACCTTGTAATACATGTGGTTTTAGTTATTATATTTATGTCTTTTATTCATGTTCATTCACATAAGCGTCGGTTACTTTCGTTTTGTGAAATGTATACATATAGTAGGCCAGGAATAGACATACTATTGTTGGTTATATATTGTACATGTGCTGGACACTGACTGACCACTTGACCTGTGACATGCGATGTTCAATTCTATCTTCCTTTTCCCACCTAACCTTTCTTATGTTTGATTGCTGGAACTGTAAATATGTGTTTTCTCATCTAACATTACTTTATCATGCCATACACGGTGAATTCCTAGAGCTATGCATGTACTGTGAAAAACACAAATATGGGATGGCATCATCTGGTCTGGTTGGTTGTTGAAGAAAACCTTCAATCCCGACCTTGCTACAATTACAACACTTGTTAGGTAATTAAAACTTTGTATTTAAAAGTTTGTTTTAAATTCAAAGTAAAGGTGGAGGAAATGAAAATGCTGTGTTTGGTTTTTCATATTGGTTGACAATACACAGGCCTATCATAGGTTAATTTTTGTAAACATGTTGTTTAGTCAGGGCTATATACAGAGTACATACAATGCAAATTCTTCAAGAACTCACTGATAATGTTGTTTGTGATTACCATTTTTTACTTTAAGACTTCGTATATATTTTTATAACCTTTTGATATCTATCAAACTGGCTTAAATTCACAATTGTAGTAAAATAAAAATTTGTTGTTTTGTTTCATGTTTTTTTTTATTAGAGATTTAGGTTAAATGTGTCAAAAGATGAAGTGTTGTTTAAGGTGCAAATGCTTCGAATATACACGATATGAAAATGTTAGATTGTACATGTATTGCAATTGGCAAGACATCCACTGTAGTGCGTGACAGTGATCTTAGATGTGTGGAATATGTTCTTACTGCTATAACATAACAGGCAACTGGCCATGGTCAGTGAAGTTATAATTTGGCGCTATTGTGTCGACTTCACACGGTGTTTGTTACAAGTTTCACGCTTTGCAAACGTATTTTTAGAACAATATGTGATCACAGTTCTATTTATAATAGTACAGTAAATAGAGTACAAACTCAATTATTTCCTTCACGCCTATCCAGGGATGATACATATATAACTGAGAAAACACGATCAGGTACATGTACTTGTGGAGAAAACCACTGTGCTCGTCAAATGTTAATAACACGTTAGTCATTACCTCTCCTTTCCAGTCCTTTTGGTACACGGAGTATACTTCTTCCGTACGACTAGTATAACCCATACAGCTTCGTACGGTTATACGATATACTGTGTATGTAACATATCACAGTAATATTACACGCTTATTTACGGTCGTGATACCGCGCTTGCAACCGGATGTTAAAAATGACATTCTAAATTCACAAGACTAGATACGGACATGAAAAGAGATTCCGGTAAATAATCATACCTCGTAAATATGTGGCCATGTATACAGATTATCAAGGGTAAAACACTACAGTATTTATGAACTAAAGGACGCCAAGGATGAATGATTATATTAGATTATCTGCCGTAGAAAAGAAGGGAAGTAGGGTGGCGTATTCATGACAATAAGCTTACGATAGAAACTGCCTTTCGAAAAAATGATTTTAATTTGGGTAGTCCTGTCTTATGTTATTCAAATCCTTCCAAAAACATACAATATTATCTTCTTACAAAAATATTATCAATGAAAATGTATCTCAAAAATTATAATTTACGACAACGGAGTCATCAAGATCACAATGATCAAGAAACTAATTTAGTAATCAAGATTACTATTTCACATTTTCCACAAACTTTTATGGGGAAATGTTATGGTTGCCATAGTGATCTCATTGAGAAATATCATATCTCTCTGTGCGACATGAAGCTGGATGTATTTGATGCTCGTTAATGTGTCTGTGAGTTCGGTTGTTGAGTATACCTTGTTCTCATTAGAGAACGTGACATTACATACTTGGATTGAGGAAGGTTTACATGGCGGGTGTCGTCGATGAAGCAGAAGACGCTTACTCTTCCGCAACACCTGGTCTTATTATCTTTTTACTTTTTCAGGAGTGTCCATATAAATCTTTCTTTTGTTCATATTTTGCCATAGTTTTATGAAATTTGAGTTTGAATTATGATTATGTTGACTTGATGGTATTGATGTTTTTTTTTTATATTTATAATCTTTGCAGGAGTTTCATAAACCACATATCCGTGGAATAGAAACTCACGAAGGTCCTTTTTATCACATGACCGATTGTTCATGCAAATGTTGTAGAAAACAAACATTTCAACATCGAATTTGAAGTGATTTCGACTCTATGGTCCCAGTTGATAAGTCACAATGCAATCTGTAAATGTATGGCGTTATATCATTTCAAAAACTGTAGGTTACATGATAATGATAATGTTTCTTTCTCCCATCGTCTTACTAGAATATAAAATCATCTTCCATGATGTCATTCTTCATTCGTCGGTAACTGTCTAAAGTCCTTTCATTTGCTACCGTTCTTTTGTGTGGACTTTTCAGTGTTATCCTATTTGTTTCAGTCATTTAGTGCTGTCCTTTTGTCTCGGCACTTTTGCGCTGTTCATTTGTTTTGATCTTCTAGTGCTGCTCTTATGTTTCGATTTGTTTCCACATTGTCTAGCCGTCCTTTTTTTCGATCTTTTACTTCTGTCCTTTTGTTTCTATTTTTAGTGTTGTCCTTTTGTTTCTTTGGTTTCGACCTTTTATAGGCGTCCTTTGGTTTCGATCTTTTATAGGCGTCCTTTTGTTTCGACCTTTTATAGGCGTCCTTTGGTTTCGACCTTTTATAGGCGTCCTGTGGTTTCGACCTTTTATAGGCGTTCTTTTGTTTCGACCTTTTATAGGCGTCCTGTGGTTTCGACCTTTTATAGGCGTTCTTTTGTTTCGACCTTTTATAGGCGTCCTTTGGTTTCGACCTTTTAAAGGCGTTCTTTTGTTTCGACCTTTTTTAGGCGTCCTTTGGTTTCGACCTTTTATAGGCGTCCTGTGGTTTCGACCTTTTATAGGCAGTCTTTTGTTTCGACCTTTTATAGGCGTCCTTTGGTTTCGACCTTTTATAGGCGTCCTGTGGTTTCGACCTTTTATAGGCGTCCTTTTGTTTCGACCTTTTATAGGCGTTCTTTTGTTTCGACCTTGTAGTGTTGCCTTTTTATTTCAACCTTTTATAGGCGTCCTTTGGTTTCGACCTTTTATAGGCGTCCTTTTGTTTTGCTCTTTTAGTGCCATCCTTTTGTTTCGAGATTCTTTAGTCGATCTTTAGTGTTGGCCTTTTGTTTCGACCTTTATGTCTTTTTGTTTCAACCTTGTAGTGTTGCCTTTTTATTTCAACCTTTTAGTGTTTTTTATTTCGACCTTTTAGCGCCGTCTCATTGTTTCGACCTTTGGCTTGAGGTAAGTCTTATTCTGTAACACTCGTGATGTTTCAGTTTTGTTGATATATTTGATTAAAGACCTACAGTGGTGTCAAAAGCATATGGCGAACCCATGGTTTACGTGAGCTTTCCGATACTGATCCATTCCACTAAGCTTGTTTTGTTGTCTCCGATCACATGACCTAATTATTGATCCATTATACTTTCGACGCATTCGTAAACGCATGAAGTATTCTATATCAGAAGAATTAACATATATTCTCATATTTCAGAACAGTGCTGTCAGTGATGAAATGGTGAGAGATAGATACAATAAGACATGACACCGACCGCTCTTTTGAGAAGATGTACAACTATCCTCGATGCAGTAAGCTCGAAAAATTAAGAAAACAAATTGAAAACGAAAGTACAGATTACATTATGTAATATACAATGTATCTAAATCAAAACTCGGAAGGGTGATATTTTTTAACCGGATTAGCAATATATGTAATATATTTAAATCAAAACTCGAAAAGGTGATATTTTTTAATCGGATTAGCAACATTTGTAATATATTTAAATCAAAACTCGATAAGGTGATATTTTAATCGGATTAGCAACAGAATTAATTCGAGTGATCAACTGTTTTTAGTTAAAATGAATAATAAATCCATGTTCCTTACTTAAACTTTTATTTGAAAAGAGACACCAATGGTTCGAGTTTGTAATACTAAATGAAATATCTCACAAGATTAAAGAAACATCATTATAGGGTGGACAGTCATATTTTGAAGGTATCAATTTTCCTGACCCACTAAGGCGGAAGGACAAAAATAGGGAAAGAGACTTTTTATTTAAATCCTTTAAATCTGTTTTAAACACAAGGATTTTTTTTATCAATTTGGATGTGAAGCGCCTTAAAATGAAAATTCAAGTTCCTCAAGGACGGGAGAGGCGAGACAAAATAATAATAATAATAATAATAATAATAATAATAATAATAATATTAATAATAAATGGAACTTTACTCCTTCTAACTGTAAAGGTACGGTGGCTGGAAACGGACATCAAAGTTTTGTATCCAAACGAAATATTATTGTTAGAGAAAATCAAAAACTCGTTTGAACTTTTCATAAATCGACATTATGTTTATAACATAAAAACGTGGCACCACTGTTACAAAAACATTCATGCAAAAAGTTCTTCTGCGATAAAATGATGAACTTTTGCGTGAACTGTAAGCTGAACCCCATACCAACAAGCTGTCATTATATATAAAAACAAAATGTGTTAAAAGCTAAATACTTCCACAAATTGAGATCATAGCAGCATAGATTAAGCCCACAAAACCACCCTTACAACCAATCAAGACCTTTGTACGATACAAACATTGAAACATTTGGGGAAAGAAGAGAAAATGTATTTATGGATTTACACTATCAATTACACTCGTGCCAAACATTAAACGCCCTAACACCTTTCTACTGACTATATGTCCTTGCATATAGGCCTACTTGCCTAAAACTAAAAACGATCAAAAATTGACTTGGCTGACGGACGTCTTCAGTATTCATTATTAAATTCGCTGTATCAAAATATGTCGAATATATACCCATTGCCGAACTGACAAACTCTACTGAATTTGAACCAATATACATGGTCAGGTCTGTGAAGTAACAGACACCAACACGTGTTAGACGTCTGTTGTAAACACTAACGATCAGTTGATATAATAATCAATGTAAGGTGTTAATGCCAATGAAATAAACGTCGATGAAATAAAGTAGAGTACTGTTACCACACAGCAACTCTATAGAAAGATACACCGTGAATATTACATCATTCGTGACGACTTCCATAAATATCATCCGAGATGGAACTATTCAGTCTTAGCGGTCGTCAGAATTCATACGATGTTATGAAGTTCTGATGTTATAATGGAAACAAATTGAACTTCAGCCAATCAAGACTCCACTAAGTCATATAACACGTGTAGTAATTATATCACCAATCAATACGTAATGAGTTTTAATATACTCACAAAAGGGCAACTAGATGATAGAGAATAGAATAAACGGTCAGTGTCTTAAAATACAACTTTTTCAAGGAAAAACAATGACAAAAATGACGAGGCACGCCTACATTTCTGTCTCGAGCTGATCGTGAATCAATTATCAGGAACGCTAAAACGCTCAAACTGTGTTTACCTGACGCTCAATACATTGTATTTGCTTCGCGCAAAAATATATTTCAACTGATACAAAACTGTTTTCTCTCTTTTCCTTTTCAAATTTATCATTTTTTTTATTAAAATTACTTTGCCTATATATTCAGAATGTAATTCTTGCAAATTAATGTACGGTGAAAAATATAGCTGTTTTACATCACTGCCGAACACAACAAAAATATATGAGGCAAGTTAATTTTGACAATGACAGTCAGTTGCAGATTAAAAAGTGACTAGACTGAACTTATTTTTATGAAGTATTCTTCATTGTAATGCCAAAGACATACATAAATATAATTTCTGTTTTCCTAACCATGCCAGGCAGAATGAAACCTTAGAACCTTAACAATGAGACTGGCTATATATTTTTTTACAACAAAATAAAACTAAAACACTAAGCATGTGTATACATTTTGTTTATCATATTTTTTATTTAAGCAGTAATTGGTAAAGCAATAGTTGTACAAACAATGATTAACTGATAAAGAATGTACATGCTTTAAAAATAAGGGAGACCAGATTAGCTGTAAAAAATCAACAATGAACATAAACAGGAGTTCACAACAAAGATGAAGCATACACAGTAGGAAGAAAAACCTACAGGATTTTACGTAAAATTCTCTTGATACAAGATTTATGAAGGGACTCTAAGAATTTTCATTTTATTTTGCATTTGAAAAGTAAA